CTCGACGTCGTTTCCCTTGATGTTCCTTTAGTTTTCGATCAGAATGACGTCATTTTCAACTTAGCTCGCCAAAAACGTCGATGAGATCCTGGAAGTGCTCCGATATTCACTCCTGGCTGCACAGATCGAGTTTTCCGAGATGCGAGAAATCGTCGCCGGGGTTGTGGAGCGGCTGATTGATGATAAGATGCTCGTCGAGGAGGAGGTGATTTTTTCTGTGGGGAATGGCTCAAGGGTGGGGTTGCTTGCTAAATTTTGAGAAATCATGTGAGATTGACTTAAAGTTAATAAAGCCTTCAAAGAGAGTCTTCATTTATGGCTCAAGAGGTTCCTAAGAAGTTGCACCCGACCTTAAAACGGTTCACGCGGGGTTCAATGCGAGCTTTTAGCTAAGACTAGGCTCTCTAGATGTAGTTTTTTACGCTGATTCCGAATCCGGTCTCAAAAGTGGCCCAATACGTCTAGGGAAAAAGTTATAGACCGTGAAAAGTCGAAAATTTCATCCCGGGGCGTTCGCAGTGAGCCATTCTTCGTGCGACCCAAACATAGAAAAACATAGAAATCTTTTTTGCTACTTCTATTGATAGGAACCACACTTTTTAAAAATCAATTAAAAATATGTTTTTTACACTATTCGATAAAGGAGGCTGTGAATTTTCATAATCCGTTTAGTTTTCGAAAAAAGGTCCACTAAGAAAAAAGTTATGGCCAAAAAAACTAATTTTTTTATTAAGATTTGTAGGTCGATTACATATTTTAATAGAGAAATTTAATTTTTAATTTCAGAATTTAGCTAGTAGAAACGCTTCAAAACCGTTTTTTCAACAAAAAATCGTCAATTTTGGTGACGTGAAGGGGCGGGGCTTGGCGCTTCCTATCTATTGGACCTCAAAGAAAAATCCTGAGAATCTTTTTCCGTGTTCCCACACCTGTAAATCATAAACCTTTAATCAGCGCTGAAATACCTAAAGCTCTGAAATTAGTCTATTCAGGAAATCCTCACCGTGACGGACCTCGGCGGCGCGGTTTTCACGGCCGGATTCTCGCCGCACGACGCCACTCGACTGCATTCCGAACTGCTGGCGTCGTTGAACGAAGGCGTCATTTTTTCCTCCCATTTTCATCTTCTTTTCATCATCACGCCCTACGACTGTGTGTGCAACATCGACTGGGACCTTTTCCATTCGCTGGTCAGACTTGGGTGACGTCATCAAGCTTCGGATATTTTTAAATGACGTCAGAAGTAGGATGAAGGGATTTATTGAATGAATGACGTCATTTTAAGCTTTCGGAGACGGTTATAGGACTTTAGTTATTCAAGTTGAGAGAAGCTGTGACGTCATCAAGCTTCCGATGATCATGACGTCAGAAAAATTCGACCAAAGTTGAGCAGACCAAAACTTAGTCCAGCAAACAAAAAATTAGTGATGTGCAACATCGACTGTAACCTTTTCCATTCGCTGGTCAGTCTTGGGTGACGTCATATTTCAGTCCTTTTGAATGACGTCAAACAAACTCCGCCCCCAAAAAAGCTCTTGGGTGGCTAGTTATTGAATTGAATAGATGACGTCATTTTGAGCTTGTGCAAAAATGAATGGATAGTCGTGATACTTTGTTAATCAAAGATTGAGAGAAGCTGTGACGTCATCAAGCTTTCGATGATCATGACGTCAGGAAAACAGGACCAAAGTTTAAGCAGACCAAAATTCAATTAAACAGATCGAAACTTAGTCCAGCAAATGAAAAATGAGTGATAGTGTGTTCACATTTTGAATGTAAACAAACTCCGCCCCCAAAAAAGCTCTTGGGTGGCTAGCTCCCTGATTGGTTTGATAGGGGCGGAGTTTGATCATCGTGACCTGAACAGACTTTATTTCAGAAACGTAAGAACCGTGAAATCGCTCTGAAAGTACTCTGAAATATCAGACTCTCTTCGGTGACGTCATGAAACTTTAAATTAGCTGTCAAGAAAAGTTTTGGTGATGTCCGTAGGCTTCAGACCCTTTGAAATCTGTGTTGAGCACGAGCTTAAGCTCCAATGACGTCAGAATATGGGTGAATGACGTCAGAATATGGTTGAATGACTTCACACGGATATCATCACTTTATAGCCACTTTTTGAAACCCTTACTCGGGTTTTGTAGGTTTAATTTATGCAAAAAATGTTTTATCAATGGTTTTTCTTTCAATTTCAGTACGTCGCCTTGCCGAAAAGCGAGAAAAAGCTCCTGGCCGCGTGTGGGCTCCACGAGCACGTGATCTTGAGGGCGATTGTCAAGAGAATTGAGCAGGTCTGGACTTTTCAGTCTCATAGTTGATTCACCGCTAACTTGAGAGTTTTTGATAAGGCTTTTCTCGAAAAATAACAATCCGAAAATGAGTTTGATCGTCTTTGAAGCACATGTTTCTAGCTAGAAATGAGTGCAATTTTGTGGTAACTTCAGACTTCTGGATCCGCGCCAATGAGGCTTTACATTGCGCTCATGCTACTACGGGTTTGGATGCACGAGCCGGCCTGGGCGATTGCAGAGAGGTTGGCGCCAAACCGGGAAAAGTCGGGACATAGTTTGAGCTTTTGGCTCATTTTAGTGTTGATCCGAGCTTTTTTCGATTTTTTGAGAATTGAAATATGTTTGAGCGCTTTTTTTCAAATGAAGGATTTCTGCAAAAAAAAAATAATCTCCATAAAAATACATTTGATAGAATTCAGTTAGAGGAGCCTTGGTCGCATTTGGAATGGCTCTTGACGCGTTGCGGATAAGACGTGGTAAAAAAAATTCACGCCATAATACCCTATGCCTCTTCGCGTAAGTCGCTTTGAGTTTGGCGCACTTCGAGGCAATTGCTTCACGTATCAAGTTATTCCAAGTGCGACTCATTATCTTCAAGCTGGACAGAATAATTTTGAAACTGGGAAAAGAAGAAGCATTTTGTGAATTTTTTCAGATTTGGTGTCGAGCGTGGCTGGATGCAATCGACATTACAAGGGGCAATAGCCCAAGCCGCGTCAATTTCCAAGTTTTCTGAGGTTTTTTTTTGAGGGACTTGGGAGCTTGAGAAAATTTAGCTACACAGGTGTGCTCTAGGGACAAAAGGGCGAAGTTTAGCTAGGAAGTCATGATTTTTTAAAAATTACCTGTAATTTGGCTTTTTTTTTTAGAGCATATGTTCATGTTACTATTAAGCCTAAGCAATCAGTAGAAAATTAAGTTTTAATCTAAAAAAAAGAACCAAAGTGTCTTAAAAAGAACGCGAAACTGGAAATTCGTGACCTACTGTTAGTAAATCTATTATATTCAATTTTCGATGTTATAGCTATGTCTAAACCTCTTTCTTTCTCATGCTCTTTAGGTATTGTCAGGGGCTAGCGTTGAACGAACTAAAGTACGAAAACGCCGATTTTTCACAACAAGTTTATTCAGTTTTGCCAAAAAGAGAAATTTAGAAGATCCCAAACATGTGGCCCCTGAGGCTGTTACTTCCGGAGCTGGTACAAAGGCTCGCCGAAGCCGCCCAACCCGAACTCCTGCCTCTGATGGCCATCGACGGGGTGAAAAAAGCGCGTGCGGCACAGCTCTACAAAGCTGGCTTCAAGACTGTCTCCCAGGTTCATTTCATTTCATTTCAAGTGTTTATTCGCCATTCCGCAATCTGCACGACAAATACAAAAAATAAAAAATCAAAGAAAATCGAATGAATCTAACAGCTGATCTGTGGAAAAAGGTGGCGAATTTAGGTTCTGCCGTTCATTACTTGCGTTTTTAAAGGCGCATAGACTTATTCAAAATCTCGAGACGAAGAGTTTTTTTTTCCCCTTTCTTTAGGCTTTCTGCACCTTTAGTTATGTTACAAAAGGGTCCTTTTACTTTGCGGTTGGGGATTTTTGGAAAATTCTCCCAGAAAATTCCCTAAGGAAACCAAATATGAAATAGAAAAGTTTCAACCCGCAAAACTTTCTGATTTTTGAAAATTAAAGACTCAAAGTGGTAAAATGATCCTTTCTTGAGATTTGATGGTTTTCTTTGACTTTCGGGCTGTCATTTCTCAAAAACTAGGCTGAGACTTTCAGGTGACTTCTCTAGTACATCAGGAAGTGTTCTAACCAATTTTCAGAAAATTCCAAAACGAAAATTGAAAAGTTAGCAAGGATTTTTGAAAAAAAGAATCAATTTTCTTCTTGTTTCAGGTCGCCAAATGCAGTCCTGACGATCTACAGAAGGCTCTGGGCACTATTCGAAGATCACAGGCGACGAGGATTATCACTAGCGCAAAAGTATCGTTTTCAGTGTTATTTTAGGCCTTTTTGAGGATTTGAAAAAGGAAGAACTTTTAAAAAGTTTCGATAAATTTTCATCAAATGTTGATTTTTTTTTTAGTTGCAGCTTCAATAGTGTATAGCTTTTCAGACGTTGTAATCTTTTTATATTTTTTTAATTTTATGAAGATTCAATTTCATTTTCTAAGGGTTCTGGAGTCATTTTTTTTTTTGGCATTCGAAAAATCGAAAAAAAGGATTTCTTACGATTTTTGAGCCTTTTTAAATATTTTTATGCTATTTCATCACATAAAAAGTATCTTTTTCTTAGATCATGTTTCATTTTAAACCTTCAAAAACCTCAAGAAAAGTTTTCAAATAATTCAGACCCTTCTGAGGGACCAACTCGACGAGAAACTGGAGGAAATCGATGCGATGGGCCTCGACGTGAAGGATCTCGAGAAGGAGGCCGAAGCCAAGTCCTTTTCAATAGAATAAAACCAATTTTTATCGAATTTTCGCTGTTTTGTTTGTAAATTTCGTGTGACATAAACCTTTTCACTTTTATATTTATTCGACCCGTTGATTTTTGTACAATGTCAGATTGATTATTTATCGCTCAGCTCGGGGTTCATTTGCTCCATGAGCTGATCCAGCTTCTCCTCCAGAATCCTCAAGATTTCTTTGTCGATGAACAAGTGCGTCTCGTCTAGCTCCTTCAAATGAAAAATTAATTCATTTTTAAGCATTTTATATTTCGAAAAAGTAGAACGGATTTTAAAAGTGTCAATTGTGGATTTTATCATTTTTTTGAGCACGCCTAGACACTTTTTCTAAGCAAGGCATTAGAAATTCACAATATAAAAACAAAAAAAAACCTTGACAATGAATTTGGAGCCGAGTTGTCGTGATTCGTCGAGATGAATGAGTAATTGACGCATTGCTGGGTCGCAAGTCACCAGAACCCCTTTTTTCACGTTCACCATCCTTTAATTATCGAAATAAATGTACAAAAAAAATGAAAATAAATTGGGAGAAGGGTAAAACAAATTCAAAAAAATTCGTGCAGCATTGCAAAAATGGCATGCCGCAGGCTTGCAGCCCTCGCCACGCCCACCGGCCGCGGGCGATCGATTCAATTTTTTTCTATTGTTTTTTTAATTAATTAATGAGTTATTGTTAGATTTTTTGTCTCTGTAACGTTGCAATATATGATAAGTTTTTAAGGCATTTTTATTTCAGGTGACTTTTTTTCCATTCATTCAAAAAATTGAAAGGAAAATGATAATTTCAATTTCGACTTCCAATTCAATTTTTTCTGATTGATTTCAAGTATTCACATGAAACAAGACTTGTAGAATGTTTGCAAAGCAAAAATGGGACTTTCGGAGCTGTTTTGCATTTTATAGGAGCGTTATTTTCTGAAACAATAAATTTCTCGTTTTTTTCAAATCTCCGCGAACTCAATCAATTCATAAATTTTCCTTTCCCTTTTCCAGTGGTAATGGGTCACGACAGTGAGCCACTCACAGCTCAGTACAAAACCCAGCGGCCGCCTTGGATCGGCCTCTGGAGCTCCAGGGAATAGTGAGTTCGATGAAAAAATAACTGGAAAATGATAAATTGCAGCACTGGACGCCCGGATTGGTGGAAGGAAAACGGAGCCCAAGATCCGGTGGTTCGAAATGAGAAATTGCGAATGTACAGAGCGCGATATCGCGAGGAGGACCCCGATTGGTTCGATCCCAAGGTTTTTTTTTGAAAAATATTTTTCTTATTTCCGTTTTTAATCGATTTTTTGTGAGTTTTATTGTACTATTTGTGTTAAAAATAGCAATTTTAAAGCTTTTTCTGATGTGTTTTTGTTAATAGAATTTTTAACGATTATATAATTTTTTTCCTTCTTTTGTCCTAATTTTTTTTTTTCGAGGATCTTAAGCTCATATATATTCTCGGAAGATAATTTTCAAGCCATTCTTTCAAAAAATTTTCAAGCTGAATTTTGTTAGAATCTAGCGATTTCTTTCCACTTCTTTGTAGGGTATACTTTTTTCAGGTTCCCGACGGAACTTCCCTCTCGGGACCACTTGGCCTCGACTCGAAAAAGTACAAGAACATCACCAAGAAAGCCGATCAACCTGGGGATCTGAAAGAATTCCAGGAGAAGGTTGGTTTTCTCAAATTTTCAAAAAAGTAAAAAATTTTTAGGTTTTCAAAGGCTCGCACCAGTACAAGGCGATCGTTGAAAAGTTCAATTTGAGCAAGGAACATCCGGGTTTCGACGTCAATCCGACGCTGAACGATTTGGTCAACTGTTGGTTTTGGAAATTGGTCTTTTTGTGATGGTCTTTTGAGTTGAAAAAAGGTTATTTGAAGTTTTTTTGAGTCGAAAAGAGCTTTTTGAAATGTATTCAGAGGCTCAGGCTTAGATTTTGGTGGTTTCTATTATTCTGTAGTACTATAATTTGATCATATTGAAGTTTAGGTTGGGTTTCATGTGTAATTTTGAAGCTTAAATCCGGTTTAAAACATGTTATTGAGGCCCTTTTTAGCGTAAAATTGACTTTTCTCGTAAGTTTGAAGAAGAAGAATTTAATGGCCATATAAGTCCCATGATAATCTCGCTTTTTTTAGCGACTTCAGGCCGTTTTTATATCATATAGTTTTTTTATATTTTGGGATTTCAAAGCGAATTTTTAGACGATCACACAATGTTTTTTTGAGGTTTTTTTATATTAGGATCGAAATTCCTTGAAATTTTGCTTCATAGTGCAATATTGTGTGAGCTTTTTCTGAAGTTAAATAAGAGAAGTCTGGTATTTTTCTGAATTTCCTATCATTCTAGGGCACGAGATGTTGTATTTCTAGAAGATTTGGTGTAACTTTGAAGAATTTTTATGTTGAATTGAGTTAAAGAAAAAAAATAATTGGCGTTAGGTTTTTTTGCTTAATTTCGAGGTTCCTTGTAACTTTGAAAAAGAAAAATCAACTTTTTTGAAAGGATTTTTTTCTTAAATTTCTTATTTAAAGGGGATTTTTTGCTTGTTTGAATTATATGATTTTTCATGTTATTCGATTTGGAAACGAATTTTTGACGTTAATGTCGTATTTTTTGAGGTTTTTTTATGGTTGAGAAAGAAGAAAAAGGTAGAAAAAGGGCGCCTTTTTGCTGCATTTTTTTGAGCCGTCTCCCTTTTTCAACCATTCTTGATTTAAAATCCTAGAAAAAAATGGAAGGTTCGATAAATAGACCCTTTTTTTGCTGCCTTTCTGCGGCCTTTTTTGAACCTCTTTCTTTTAGCGGCCATTATTCACCTTTCCGACTTTGCCCAAGTTGAAACTTAAAAAATTTTTTTCGCTTTATAATGCATTTTTCATAATAGATAGGCTGATTTTTTTGAAGAGTTCAAAAAGATTTTTTTCAATGTTAATGTCATGTTCAAATTTTCCGCGAAATGCAAATTTATCTCTGTCTCTCCGAATTTTCAGTTATCTTTTTTTCTTTCTCTGATGGCTATTTTTTGGATTTCACGGGAGTCATTTTTGAACACGAAATTAGCTTGTTAGTGCGGTTTTTTTTTGAAATTTTCGATTTTTTTTTGGTGAAATTTGTTAAATTTTCTTGAAATAGGCTGTAGTGACTTATATGGGTCCAGGGAGCGGATTTTGGCGGGAAATGAAAATTCAAAAAGAATTTTTTCATTCTAGATTGAGTGAGACTTGGTACTTTACAGCGCCTGTCTCGCAGTTGGGCCGGAACGCGATCATCCCGAACAGCTGGTACCATTTCGGACCGAGATTCTTCGATTCGCCTCTCAACGAAAACGCCCACATGAAAGGATTTGCCGCCGCCAAGTACGCCGCAATTCTGTGTAGGATCACGTCGACGTGTAGCCAATCAAAATCACGTCTCTTAAGTGGCCCCTTACACGCTCCTCGAGATGCGCGCCATGTCATACGCCAAAAACTTCGAGCTCAATAAGGGTCCCGACTATAAGGACTTTTTGAAGGTGAATGACGTCACGAGGTTTCATAGGGAAATTCAGCTTTTTTGCTCCTAGATTTACAGTAAAACATGTTCTTGATCTTTTTTTGATTTTAAGAAAAGTAAGATTTTTAAGTAAGGTCCTTTGAGAATTGAGGATTTTTCTGTCAGTGTTAGAGTCCTAGAAAAAGGGTCCTCAGATTTTAGAAACTGATAAAATTGGTTTTCGCGCTATTTTCAAGGACCGCTTAAACTTGAGGCTTTTCCTGGCATATCCAGGGTTTAAGAACAAAAAATGTACTTCAAATGTTAAGAAGGACCTCAAAACTTGAGGCTTTCCCTGTCAGTTTCAGAATTTCAAAACGAAACACCCTCAAACTGGTAAAATTAAGAAAGTGAATCATTCCCAGAGATACGCGAAGCTGGCGCCCCTTCCCTTGTCGGTGGCGTTCGCCTGGGGCTTTACCCTCTCGGCTGCGTCGACCTTGCGGAACCGCGACGACGTCTACAATCACTTCTACGCGAGTGCCGCCGTTGGAACCGTCGTCGCCTCTATGAGTGAGAAAAACAGGAAAAAACTGAATCTGATGGCGGTATCTGCACCCTCCAATATTCACGTGCTATTTTTATGGCACTCTCTGAAGAGGGAACAAAAAACTGTCGAGTCGGACTATATATTATGGAATAGAAGCACCGTGGTCAGAACAAACGGAGTAGTCTATCCTTTTCAAGGGGTCCCTAGAGTGGAAAGAGATGTAAGTCCTCCGTGAATCTTCCCAGACGTCTCCGAGCTTTTCTAGGGAAGTCTCCGCTCTTAAGTGACCCCTAGAAATGCTCAGATTTGCGTCCCCGAGGCCCTAGTATAGCTGATTCACGGCTGTCTTGAGCCCTTGAAAAAAAAAATGGGTCCTGACACGATAAAAAAAGAGATAGTGCCTAGTTGGTGGAGAGTGCAGAGTTAGCCGTGAATCGGCTATATAGCGGAGGTTTTCTTGAACATTCTGACGAACGAGTTGGTTGGTAATTTTAAAAGTTTCCACTAGAGGGACAACTTGCGCCTCTCTAGTGATCACTTAGAGAGGTTTCACTTCTCCGTTCGAAACCCGCGAAGACTCAAATCTTTTTTTAAACTTTTTAAACTCGTCACTTTATTTTTTTTTCTTTTCGAGGCTAAAAATCATCTTCCTGGTTCGAGGTTCCCCCCGACAAAGCTTAGAAATCGCTGAATTTTTGAATTTTGCTCAATTTTTTTTAGCTTGTAAGAAACGTTGCTCTGTGATGTCCATTTTTCTTCTCAAAATTGTGTTTTTTTTCGAAGGTTTTTTTTCTTGATACCCTCAAAATATTCCATGAGTCAGCAGATACAAAATCAGTCTGAGGCCTGAATAAATGTTTAATGTTTCAGGAAGCAACGTTTCTTTGGGCATTACCAGCGCGGTTCTCACGACGATCCTCGGCGTTTTCTGGCAATATCAACGCGTTTCCGAGACCGGACTCCAGGTGGGGAAGCTTTTCTTGAAGTGGAAATGAACAGAAAAAAAGTGGAAAGGAAAAAATGGGACAAAAACGGGACATTTTAATAGAATAAGTGGGGTTTTCTCTTCATGGAAGCACCTAGAAGTCGAAAAAAGCCTTTCGTGTCATATTTTAAGCTTTTTCTTCATATATAAGATTGAACTGAGTTGGCACGTTGAAAAAGGGGTTTCAGAAGTACATTTAAAAAACGGCAAAAATCTAAATCCCTTGAGAGGAGTCGAACCTTTGACCCTTTTCGTGATAATTAAAGGTCTTGAAGAGAAACAGCTCATAGGTCTCAGAGAACTACCAAGTGATCCCTTTAGTGGCGTCAGCCCTCTTAAGGGATCACTAGAGGGCTCAGAATAGCCCGAGGAACTTCAACCAGTCTCGATCCTCTTTAACGCAAGACCACCTGCGCCCCGAATGTTTTTGAGCATTTCTAGTGGTCCCTTGAGAGTTGTCGCCGAATGTTTTTTTTAGCATTTCTAGGGATCACTTAAGAGTTGGCGCCGAATGTTTTTGAGCATTCCTAGGGATCACTTAAGAGTTGACGCCCCTAAAAAACCCACTGAGGAAGGTCCGGAGCGCGTAAAAAGAGATGAAAATGTATATTATCAATGGAGCGCACATGCTTCTATTATGACTAGTTTCCCGCAACCTTCAAAGATTTTCTCAACGTCCGGCTTTTGCAGGGAATGACGACTCACTCGGACTCGGCCGGAATTTGGGGCGGACCTTTGCTGTGGAAGATCTTCCAGCACGGCGATCGTAAAGTTCCAAACACCCATTATTAATCTTTGTTTTGCCTTATTCTAGAGTCTATTATTGTCGAGAAAGTTAGCGAACATTGCATTGTACTGTTGAGTTCTAGACGGATTCGGTCCTGTTTCTTCGATTATTTGCAATAAATTCAAACGATAACATGAACAGAAGCATGGAAATCTACAGATCAACAATTTTGTAGCCTATACCACTGGAAAGATGGCGTCGAGGCGAATCTAATGATATATTAGGATAAGCTATAGCTTCTCTAAGTGCCTCTAAAGTTGGGACTAAATTATTTTTGCGCGTCAAATGAAATGCATTGTCCGAGGTTGCGCGTCGGGTGAAGCCACAAATCGGGGCACTTTTCTGGGAAATTTTTCTCGATTTTTCTGGTGGAATCGATAGAGAAGCTTCCATATAAAACTGATATCATATCACTTTGAAAGGAAAAGCTCGAAAATGGGTCAAAATAAAATCGTATTTTTTGAGAATTTCGAGCTCCATAACCTCCTTCATTTTGAGGATACAGAGGAACGGATTACACCAGTCGATTTGTGTTGAAGTCATCTTTTCAATAATATAGGTTACTAGAACATTTAGATAAATACAAAAGCTTCATTTTTGAACTATCAGTGAAATTGAAATTGTTCAAGTTTCTTACATCAATCGACGCAGAATAACGTGCTGAATTCGAAAATACTAGTTTTGTCCCTCAAAAGTCCGTAGGAACAAAGTTGGAGTTTCTCAAAATTGATCAATTGAAGATTTTGAAAATTCGTAACTTTCTTTCCAGGAACCTAGGAACTTAGAGAACTGGTGTTTCTTGATCATTATGATCTTCTCTACCGATTCATACCAATTTCGACGAAATCTGAAATTTTGGCCCAAAGTTTGATCGCCTATAACTTGGTTACTATTTGATCTACAGAGGTCAAACCTAACCTCCGGTTATTTTTTCGTCGAGATCTATCGATTGATATAAGTTTCGTCCAGATCGGCTTCCATGACCTCAGAAGCTCAAAAAATTCCGAAGGGGTTAGACTGCACTTTTTTCGATTTTCCCGAAATCCAAAGTTTTCGAGATTCTGACATCAATCGATAGAAAATGACGTCAGGAGTACTAAAATAATAGTTAAAACGTTCCTAGGCGAATAGAAGAAAAGTTATGAAATTTTTAAGTTTTTGAAAAATTATATCTCAATTTCTAGAAGGTTAGGAATTTAGAGACCTAATTTTTCTTGATCCTCGTGATCTCCTCTATCGACTGATATCAACTTTGGCGGAATTCAAGAATTCTCCTTCCTAAGTTTGATCGCCTATAACTCAGTTCCTAGTTGATCTACAGAGGTCAAACCTAACCTCCGGTTATTTTTTCGTCGAGATCTATCGATTGATATAAGTTTCGTCCAGATCGGCTTCCATGACCTCAGAAGCTCAAAAAATTCCGAAGGGGTTAGACTGCACTTTTTTCGATTTTCCCGAAATCCAAAGTTTTCGAGATTCTGACATCAATCGATAGAAAATGACGTCAGAAGTACGAAAAACGAGGTCAAAAAGTTCCTAGGCGCCTAGAAACAAAGTTATGAATGTTTAAAGTTGGACATTTTGAAGGAAAGTGTCTGAAAATGTTGAAAATCTAGACCATTGTAAAGATGACGTCAAAACAAATCGATTGATAAAATCAGTTCCTCATAAACTTCAAAATGAAGAGAGTTATGAAGCTCGAAAGTCTGAAAAATTTCCTTTTTTTTGGACCTGTTTTTGATCTTTTCCCTTCAAATTGATATGATTACAGTACTATATGGAAGCTTCTCTCTCAATCGCACCAGAAAAATATTCAAAAAATCGAAAAAAAATTTTGAGCTTTTCTTTTTTCGCGAGGAAAGTACACCGATTTGGGGCTCACCCGACGCGCAACCTCGGACAGTGCATTTTACTTGACGCGCAAAATAATATTTCAAGCCCTATTTCAAAGGCTTCTAATTCGGCTCCCAGAGCATTTACAGCTTATCTGATCATATCATTCGATTCCTCTTGACGTCATCTTTGAAATGATAAATGTTCTTAGAAGATTCAGCTCCACCCAAAAGCTTCAGTCATTTTTTTTCCGCTTTCGCCTCGGGTTGATTTGGTAATCCATATAGAGGATCGTCTTTTTTTGTGTAAAAAAGCCTAGATTTCCGGACGGGCTTGTGACGTCACCTTGCTTTTTTTTAAAGAACATAAAAGTCCAGAATTGAGCAACACATACAATTTATTCCAACTGTTAACACGGAAGATAATAAATGATAACAAAAAACGATGATACAAAGGGAAACGTCAATAAATAGGTGGTAAAAATTGAAGATTGCAGAATCCAGTGTGAGAAAATAAATGCGAAGAGTATTGATACGAAAAACCCTTAATACAAGTGATGGAAAAAAATCGAGATGGAAAAAAAGAAAGATGAAAAAAAAGTTTCCGGCGAATTCATACGAACCTTCTTTCAGATCATTGGATCAAACCCTGAAATTTTTTTGTGTGAAAAAAATCATGCGTTTGAACATTACTTTTTTATACGAAAAATGAGCTTCCTAGAAAAAAACAGTAAAAAAAGTTGGTGTTTGTCAAAATTTCTGCATACACCGGTCTGCAGACCACACATTACATCTGACGCCAAAAATCACATTTCCTTTACTTTTTCCACGGAAAAATTTCAACTTTTTTTCAGATATATGTAATTCAAAGGCTTCTTTCAATCGTTTCAAATCAGTAAAATATCGCTTCTGCTCTCTTAATTTCTATTTCAAGATCGAAAAAAATCGACTTCTTAAGAAATTTCGCTGAAAACGTACCATTTTTTGGAAATATTGATTTATTTCCGGAGTTGCGAGCTCGTGTCGCGCATGCCGCTCTTGTAGCGAACGCCGATGCTTTGCAAGTCGGCGATAACGCTCGGCGGCAACGCGCCCGACACCGATATCGCGTAGATTCCCTTCTTCTTCCGGTTGACCTTCTGGAACAGCATCAAAAATTGGCGCTTTTATCTGCTCTTTTCATGTTGTATTCAATTGATAATTCTTTAGGGGCCACTTTACCAACCCCTATTTGAGTCACTAAAGCTTGCAAAAGTGGTCCCTGTAGGGGTTTCATTTAGTGGTCCCTATAGGGGAAATGCTAGTCGATAATTGTTATAAACTCTATGCGAAGAAGCCTTTCCTAAGTGGTCATTCCTAAACCCCCGTAGGGACCACCTTAAGTTTATCCCTATAGAGACCACTTTTACGGCCCATATAGGGATTTTTTTTCTCCTCTAACCCCTACAGGGACCACTCCAGAATTCCAAAGCTCTTCAAACAGTGTTTTACTTTTAGAGAAATTAAAAATTAGAAATGAAAGAAAGTTGCAGCAAGGTCGCTCTATAGACAATCTGAACCATCCTTTTTTGTTTCTCGCGATCCAAATATTTTTTAACATTTCAAACGCGATTGATAAAATCCCTACCTGCCATTTGCAGACCCAAGAGTCTTCCGGGTGCATCGCAGCGATCATTCCGTCAAAGTTCGTGCTGAAAAAAGGGAATATAAATTATAAAAGTTGAACTGATCAAATAATTGACTCCTTTTTGGTTTTTCAGGACTGTAATCTATCCAAAAAGCCTCCTTATTCGAGTCGTTTTGCTTGAAATGACCCGGAAAAACCTAAAAATTGCTATTTATCTTGATAACCCTGTGAACTCGCTATATGTTCGCGTCTCTAAGACGTCAAAACTCTACTAAAAGTAAAAAAGTCTCGAAATACCCCTCAGCCACATTTCATTGAATTCTTAACCGGAAACCGTGTGCACGCGCTCTAACTTTCGGTTCTTAATTTCCTCCTTTTGAGAGGAAAACCCTTGTTCAAATGCGTTGTTTTTATTTTTAGGGTACTTATTAGTATCCATGCTCACTTTATGAACCATTTTCAAGCGATTTTGTGCGGGTTTCTGAAGAACCATATTTGAATGGAAAATCGGGTAATTGTTAAAAACCTAAGCCTGGAGATGAGAAAAGATGCATGAAAATGAAAAGGGCGGAATTCACTGGGTTTCATGAACGAAAAAGGCAGAAATAGAAGACACCCGGCGCGACCCCGCTTGAAGCGCAGCGCACGCGCCACCAGTGTCTAACTAGGGAAAAATTCAGCAGGGGTGGGGAGGTTAAAAAAGTTTTCTAATAAGAAGTCGGTGCGGTAAGGGCTAAACCTCATACTGAAACTTCCACACTTTCAAAAGCCCCCTTCCGTTTTTGTAAACGGTTTAGTTTATCGTGAATAATGAGTCTCCCACTACAGCCCGTTCCGCGTCAGTTTGTCCCGCTTTTTTCCCCTCTGAGCTACAAAATCTTTTCTTCTGTACGCGCAACGTGTCCCTGTGCAAAGTAACTTTGAACGCGGTCTGAAAAGGGAAAGAATATAAATATAAATGACCTGGTACAGTCATAGAGACGTTCGTTGTCGTTCTTGATGTGGAGGACGCCCTCGCAGTTGTCGCATCCGTCGGCCAGGAATTGCTCGGAGCTCTTGATCAGCGAGCAGAGGAGGCAGGCGCGGAGGCCTCGCAGGTCTCTCGGAATCGTATCCACCGACATTCTTCTGCTGAAAAGTTCTGTTTTGGTCACGAATTTCTTTCAATAAGCTCTGTCTTTTTGAAACATGAAACTTTTTTGGAAGCTGAAACTCATAACAACTTTAGAAAGTATCAGAAAGACTGAGCTCCATACGAAAAAGTAGTTGTTAAAAAGACGTTTTTAGCACATTTTTTAAATGGAGCTGAATCTTCCAATGACTTATATAATTGAAAAGACGACGTCAAGACAAATCGAATGATATGATCAGATAAGCTGTAAATGCTCTGGGAGCCGAGTTATAAGCCTTTGCAATTAATCTTAAGACATTTTTGCGCGTCAGATAAAATGCACTGTCCGAGGTTGCGCGTCGGGTGAGGCCCTTGTCTGAGACACACATCGGTGTACTTTTCACGCGAAAAAAAGGAGAATCTCAATTTTTTTAAGCTTCTAAAAAGACACAACCTAGTTCCAGAAAATTTTTTTAGAATTTGGAAAAAAGGCTAAAAAAAGAGATACAAAAATTTGAAAGCACATGATTAAATTTTTTTCTTACAAAACTTATATAGACTTTTTGATACGCATAAAAATACCTAACCAAAAATGAAAAGAATATAAAAATTAAGAAAAATACATGAAGTTCAAAAATATCAAGAGCTCAACGAAACTCTTCCAAGGAAACCAATCCAAATAGAAAAAAAAACTTTATATTAACATACAAAGAAAACATCGAAAAAAAGAAGAGAACAATAATTTAACCAGAAATTTCTATCACGACGATATTTGACGATAATACCGGTATCAAAAAAAAATGAACAAATCCTTTTTTTGAAGAAAGAAAGAAAAATGCAAATAAAAGATGAAGAAGGCACATTTATAAGTGCAAAAAGATAAATTTTTTGAAAAAAATTTTTATAAATGAATCCGCTTCAAAGCTCTAAACCCGTCACACTACTGAAAAAAACATAAAAAAATTTTTAGCTTTTTTTCTAGCCAGACTACTCGAGAACTAACTGCTAACTTGGGACAATGTTAGATAGGGCTTTAACAGAACCAGCGAGAGATTGGGAAAAAGGAGAGGTTCAGACGTTTTTTTTTAAGCTTTTCCTGCTAATCAGGAGCCGCTTCATGGACAGTAATAAGAAATAACTTCGTAAAATCCGCAAAAAGACAGAATTAAAAAAACAATTAAAACCCATCAGAAACTTTTTAAAAGATTCAAGATGAATGAAAGAACAAAAAAGGAAAAAAAGGCCTATATTTGAAGCTTTCAGTTGACAAGGAAGGTCATTTCACTTTTCGGCTAGGAATTCCCTAAACTGTGCCAAAAGAGTCTTTGAAGTACCAGAATAATTTTTTTAATTTTAAGCCTTCACAATTTCCTTTTTTCGATAAATACGGGAGCAAGGCCTAAAAATAGCCTGTTCTGACGGATTTTGACGACTTTCAGGCATTTTTCTCGAATATAAGAAAGTTGTGAAGAATAAAATCTTTCAGGCACACTTCGGATTTACTTAGGGGATCCAGAGTGGTCCCTATGAGGGATAGGTATCGAAAAAGTGGTTCCTATAGGGGTAAAATCAAGGTGATCCCTATAGGGGTTTAGGGTCTGACTTCTTAGCCCTTAAAGCTTAAGTGATCCTTATAGGGGTCTTTCAATTTCATTCAAAAAACATTTTTTTTCCTCAGTTTTTCTCATGGAGATGCTTCTTCGCTTTGAGTTAATAAGAATTATCGACTAGCATGTTCCCCATAGGGACCCTTAATTAAAATCCCTATAGAGATCACTTTTGCAAGTTTTAGTGGTCCCTATAAGAGTTGGTACCTAGAGGGGACACTCGAATTGCCTCTGTGTTTGCTCCTATAAGGGCCACTAACTGAAATCCCTATAGGGACCACTTTTGCAGGCTTGATTTGGCCCTGTAGGGGTGCCCCTAAGACTGTATAGAAGTTGGTAAAGTGATCCCTAGAGGGGACTCTTCAAGGACACTTAAGGTTGGCTCTATAGGGACCACTCTGGAGTTCCTAAGTAACCCGCCATTTTTGCCAAAAGTTCAAAAATTCATTGCTTCACAGTCACTATTCGCCCAGCACAACTATGAACCGGTACAGCAAGGGAAACTCTCAATTTTCAAAGTGAAATGGCCTTCCTTCCGAAAAACTCCCTCGGAAGGCTCAGAACTACTCGGGGGCCGCTTCAAGGATGATCTCATCGCATTCCATGTCTTCGATGGGGATTTCGAAGGCTTCGGCGCAGAAGAAGGCGCCGAGCTGTTCGTTTGGCGTCATGTCGACGTTCATTTCAGGCGTCGTTTCATGATGTTCGTCGACCTCCACGAGGACGAACTCGTCGTCCTCGTCGATCGCCTCCTCCTTGGCCAATTTCAGCGATCCGTCGACCATCAGCGGCTGAATGCCCTCTTCCATCTCGACTTCGGGGTTCTGCAACGACTAGGAAATACACTAATGACTGTGTGCCAAAAGAACTAATTTAATTATTTCAAATAGATCCAAAACATTGAAAAAAATTTAAAACTATTCAAAAAGCGAAAAAAATCCGGAAACCTCAATTAAACATAGAAAAAAACGAATTTCATAAAAAAACCGACCCTGAGGTTTCTAAGAGAGTTGGGCAAATGAATAAAAAATATAGTACACAACTTTCCGTGCTTTTGAAGCCCCAGAAATTTTTTCAGACCTTGCCTTGCGTTTCTAGAGACTTTGACAAGTGTTTTTCGAAATGAATTTGTGAACAAAAAAATAATTCTCAACTAAAAAAAGAACAGTTATTAATATTTTTTTCGTAATTTTTCGGAAAAACCTCTTAAAATAACTTCAAATTGATCCCATAAGAGTAGCCTTCCTTAAAGGCGGGAAATTTTCAATTAATTCTATCTCGAAAATTTCAAACTCTATAAAAAATCTGTAGTGACCTTTCATTCCGCAATAGTTGTAATGAAAAATGTGCTATATTCCATTGAAAAATTTGAAATTCTATAAAAATCCGAAATTTTAGTAGCCTTCTAATCTTCAATAGCATAGGTGGGCAAGTACAGAACTGATTCGGCGCAGAAGGAAAGACTGGCTTACAAGAATCTTGAAAAATTTAAAAAAAAAATCGAGTTCCAACTCCAGGGAGGTAGTTTTGGCCTAAAATACAAGTTTTAGCCACAGGGAGGTAGTAATAGCTTTAAGGAACACTTGGAAAGAGGGGTCGAAGGCCTTTGAAAAATGGTTGCTCATATGCCCAAACAAAGTCCAAACGACCTCAAAAAGGCCAAAAAAAAGAGGCTAAAGCTCCTTTTTGAGTTCTAAAAAGGTGTCAGAAGTTTTTCCATGTATGCTCAAGAGCTTAGATGAAAATCTTTACTTTATTGAAAAATCAACAAAAATGAAACAAACCAAGTGCTCATGTTCGTAGCCGAAAGCCGGATCGTGTGGGAGTTCTCTGAGACTCTTTTCCTGGAAAAATAGCAATAAACTATCATAATCTTCAATTCCATGCTAAATCCTAGAAAAAAACCAACCCCAAGTGGCTCTTCAGCCTGTTCGGGATCCACTTCTTCTTGTTCTGCGGGTAGTGGCGATGAATCTCGAGGTTCAGAACTGGAAAATGACCATCAAATTGATAAAAATCGGCATTTTATGAAGAAAATACCTTGAGAGAAACGGTACGATTCGCGGCAGATCGATCGGCCTCTGCGTGTAAAGTTCCAGTTTCTTGAAAAAAATAACGTTTCGAAATGAAAATTCACGTATCGATGGATATAATTTTTTTTCTTGTTAGAAAAATTTTCTGCTTTTTGGAAGATTAAAAAAATGATGAAAATTTCAAACAAAAACTACTTTTTGATAATATTTATTTTTTTGTGTAATTTAATCCATTTTTTTCTTGTAGCTATGGTATTCCACTTGAACTTTTTTTCTGCTCTTTGATTTTACAAATTCAGGTGAATCTAATTTATTCATTAAAGTTATCAAACAGAATGGCGATCTGTAAAAAAATATCCAAATTTCAAATTTTTGATCAATTTTTTTCCTTTCTCAAAAAGCATCAAAGCTAAAAACCTAAAAATTGGGAGAGACTTGGCGAAAAAAACGAGAAAATGGGGGAGTTAGCAAAACCATAAAAAAAGTTTTTCAGGATGCACGCTGGACGACTTTAGTCCGTACTTAATTTGATAAATTTAAAAAAATTGTCCTTTGAGCATGGAGGGGGCTTGTCATTAAGTTGGGGGTGTCGCAGGTCATGCTCATCCCATGTATGCTCAACACTCTTCACTCTATTTTTCGAATAAATCAATCTTTATTTTTGAAATAAATATTTTTCCCACACTTGTTCTCTCAACCAGCCCCTCTAGTGATTTCTTTCAATTGGAAATCCAAGAGTTTCATCGCTCAAAAATTATAAATATTATCAATAGAGCATCATTCCCCTCTTCCTCCAAAAACTCACCGGGGTTCTGTTAAACTCGAGAATCCTGTGGAAAACCAGCCCGACGTACTGGTCGAACCGTCCGACCGCACTGTTGTCCAGAAACAGTTCCCGGAAATTCCTCACGGAAACTTCGAGGAGGGGACTGCTGTGCTCGGTGATTTCGCTCCGCTTCTCCGGGATCCATCTAACAAGAAATTTTTTTGAACAACAAATATTTTTTTCCATAATATCAACTGTAAAATATGTAAAAATCGCTCAAACGAAAAGGGCTGAAAATCGTTATGATTAGGGCATTTTTGTGCAAATTTCGGGGATTGATGAACATTTTTCTTGAAAATTTTCAAAAACATCTGTATCTGTAGAATCTGTAGCAAGAATCTATAATAAAAATCCTGCTTTTCGAAACATTTCCATCGAAATCAAAACCATTCTAACGGATATAAACACGTTAATACAACAAATGTAGCATTTCGGGGCAAATTCAAGACACAAAAAATCGTCTTCCGGGTAAAATTTCGAAAAATCGCGGTTTGTAATAAGAACTCGAAACATTTTTCATTGAATTCAAGAAAATTTCTACGGTAAAATCCTGAAAATTTCATAACGTTGCCTCAAAACTTGGCCATCATTTTTCCGCAAAGAAATTCCAGAGTGGTCCCTATAGGGTTTAGAGGGATAAACAACCCATGTAGGGGTCGAAAAGTGGTCCCAATAGTGGTCGAATTGAGGTGGCCCTTCTAGGGATTTAGGGTCATTCGGGGACCCTATAGGGGTCTTTCAATTTCATTCAAAAAACGCTTTTTTATCAGTTTTTCTCATGGAAATGCTTCTTTGCTTAGTGTTCATAAAAATTACCGCATGTCCTTTTTTTTTACCAACCCCTCCTGGGACCAATTTTCAAGCGTTAGTGGCACCAATGAGGGTTTTTAAAGGGGTCCCTATAGGAGGCTCCCCAAGGGCTCCTAAAGTGGCCCCTATAGGGACGACTCTGGAGATCCTAAGTATTTACCTCCTCGCGAAAGCCTCGTTGCTCAATTGCTTATCAAAAAGGGCGAACAACGATTCGAGATTCATTTCCTTCAGAGCTTCGAACAGTTGCACAGCGAACATGTCGAAAAGCATCGGATCGGGTATTCTGGAAAAAGGGAAAATTTTTGAAATAAACTGGGATCGAATGGAGTTCCGTTTCAAAGAACAAAAAAAAAAGTTAAGGCTTCTCTTTTCAAATTTCGCTGGCATTCCTTGGGATCTATAGAAATGATTTTCATAATTTGATGTATCTAAATTAGCTGAACAGTACCAGAGAAGCCCAAAAAAGAGTAAACCAATATTTGAAAAAAAAAAAACATATCATGATGGAAAATAAAACTCTTTAGTGTCTGATACCAAAATAAGCATTTTTTCATGCATTTTTAAACAAAAAACTGCGCGAAAATCCAAAAAATCGCAAATTTCCAAAAATTTACTCGCGAAGATCACTTCAGGCGCAATTTTAAGCAATTTTTCGAAAAGTTCTGAATACCCTCATTTTCGCTAACGTTAGAAACTTACTCCAAGAATCTTCCATACCAAAAAAAGCATTTTTCATGCATTTTTCAAGTATTTTCACCATACATCGGCTGGATCTCAAGCGCGCGAAAAAAAAAATTTGAAAATGTACTGAAGTAGGCCGCCGTTTGAGGGGGGCACGCCGCACTTTTTGATGGGTAGGGCACACCCCGGGTATCCAGCCGACGTATGATTTTCAAACAAAAAACTCCGCAAAAATCTTCAAAAAATCAAAAACTTCGGCAAAATTATCCGTGAAGCAGTTTTTCGAAAAGTTCTGTTTATCTTGACCCTCATTTTCTCTAAAGTTCGAAAATTTCTTCAAGAAACTTTTTTTCTACTCTTTTTCGTCTAAAATCATACCTTATCCATCTTCGGAGAGCACAAACGATCGCATATTGATCGTGTCGGTTTTGAACTCGGCGTTCTGTTTGATAGGCCCACAGGCTCATCATGTGAAATTCGCTGATCTGAAATAAAGTATATACATAATGTTACAGAAAAAGTCCAAACGGATTCAAAATGGCTTTTCATTGAATAAAACACCTTTAAAAAGACCTTAACAGCGCTTTTTCATGATTTTCAATAGGAAAGGTTCTTTTGAAATAAATAAAAGGTGTTGAGAAGGTCAAAATAGGTTCCAGAAAAATAAGAATAAAAAGCCGATGAAACGTCTTTTTTTTACGAAAAGGTGAGAGAAAGGACTTTAAAAAATATTTTTTCTTTTTAGGAGCCTAAAAAAGGATTTTTTGTCCCTGTTCTAAAGACCTTTAAAAATTAATGCTTTTTTCTTCACCTGCAAATCGATATCCATTGCCAAATCCACTCCATACGTTTTCTCAATGATTTTCTCCCAAGTCGCTGAGCAATCAGTTACGATTGTTTTCGGTGGCCGGGGATCACTGAAAAAAATCGCTTTTTTTGCATTCAATTCAACATTTTTCTACACCAAATGAAACATAGCAAACTTTAATAGAATCAAAAAAATTTTTCCCTATGAAATAGAAACAAGTAAAAATTAATGTATTGATCATATAATCGTTCAAAAAGTTACACAATCGCGAATTTACTCCTTTTTTTCTACCATAATCCATGAATTCCTATGCAAAATTTGCATTGCAAATGACCTTTATTTCAATTCAACTATTCGTAAAACTATTCGTATAATTTATAGATTAGAGAAAACCTTCTAAAAAATCACATATACTCAATTCTCACTACCGTCTTTCCTTCAGATTCAAAAAAGCCTTTAACGAACACTTCCTGGAGCCGTTTGAAGATTTCCTCGCCCCCAGGCGCATCACTGAAATAAAGACAAGCGCAACGGGCTCTTTCCTCGTCATCGTAGACCAAGACGAACACGATGCTGATGCTGAAGCCTTCGAAAATCGCGCGTACCTGTAAAAATCTCTCTCTGAACAAAGTGCGCTGAACGATTCAGATATTGAATTTCAAGAAGAACTATCGAAGGAAGTTCTTTGATACTTTTGATCAAATAAATAAAGACGATTTCCATAAAAGAACTGCTGTATACGCCCCTACTTAATAAAAAAATAACTAAAAGTAACATCACGAAGCTTTTTCTACCCTTTTCTAGCCAATAAAACATTAAAAAGGTGACTCCAACAACCCCAAAAGAGACCACTTTATAGTCTATTCAGATTTTGAATGTCAAGCAGCTGACTCCACCCCCAAGGCTACAATATCTTTCGCGTCAATGTTTTATCTACAGATGACGATGGCCCTTTAATAAGACTGCATTTTTGACTTCTTTTTCTATCTTTAGATCAAAAAAGATCAAAATGAGTCCCGCGCGATAAAACATCGACGCAAAAAGGCAAAAACGTCTCACCAGGGGCGGAGTTAGCTGGTTGACATTCAAAATCTGAACAGACTATAACGACTCCAAAAGAGACCACTTCCACTTTTGCCACCTACTCCCAACTAAATTCGATTTAAACTTGTTTTGAATTATTTCAAGGCACGATTTGATTCAAAAATTTCCAATTGGTTCAAGAAAGCGTGGGTGAAGAAGTCATCATTAAAATGAATTATCTAACCATTTTAGGAAAATTTTGAAGCCAATCATCCTCTTCTTATTGGCTCAAAAAGGTGGGGGTGAAGCTACCATTTGAATGAATTATTCTAGTACAATTTTCAAGCCATTCATCCCGAGACACACCTCTTCAACGACGGCCGTCTTTTCGCATCCGAACTCGACCCAAATTCTGCGCATCTCGTCGGTCATGATGCCAATAGAGTAGTCCGTGACGAGAGGGATGACGTCGTCGATGGAATCGCTGCGGGAGCTGGGGCCCGGCTGGTTGAAGAGGATCTGGAGGCGACGGGCGATCGCCTCCTCGCTGAGCCCTCTCACGAGGTTGACGCCCCAGAAGTCGGTCGGGTCGAACAACGGCGTGTGGTAGATGGTGGACGGCTCGGTGAGGATCTGATGGAGGGAGATCATCGGGTTCGGGTGTTGGATGAACTGTTCCAGGTAGGCCTCTTCGTAGGCGACAACCTCGTAGTTCATCTGGAACCCTTCGACGGCTGCAAAACGTATTTATTTCTTTCTGAATCAATTGCCATCAAGACATAAAAAAAGTCCTTTCAAAATTACAGAGAAGGTGCAAAAAAGTCCATTTTGAAGAGGAATTACGAATAGAAAAAAAAAGTCAAAAAACAGAAAATGTTTCAAAACGCATAAAAGGATTCATCAAAATCCTAAATTTTCTCTGAAACCGTATCAGACTTGGAGCAATTTTGTTGCCTTTTTGAACAATTTCAACTTTTTTCGATCAACCCGCCATTAATTTTGCAAATGCAATAGAAAAAACGAATTTTCTCGCTAACTCCTTGAGAATTGAGCTTTTTCTCTGGAAAACATCCAGGGTTTTACCTAATCGGCTCATTTTTTCAAGCAAATCGAAAGTTTACAGGAAATTCTGAAGAGATTCCACAACATTTTTGATGATTCTTCAAAAAATTTTCGAAGATTCAGCTAAAAACAGTTTCAAATTTATTATTTCAAGCTACTCAAGACGTGTAACTCTTTTCAACCTCGCAACTGTAATTTAATTGTTTTTTTTTCTCCGGGGCTCAGATCTTCGGTGGTATGAAAAAAACACCAACGAAAATTCAAACGGCGACTTTTCCGATTTTTTCGTATCGCTAGGGAACTTTCCGACGAAACTTTTTTTCCGACTTTTTTTCCCTTATAGTTTTCAGTTTTTTTAAAACATCAATAAACATTTTTTGTGTTTTAATCATTAACCAACTACCTACTTCATATAGGAAGATTTAAAACGAATATTTTATCGAGAAAAAAAAGTCGGAAATAATTTCGTCGGAAAGGTGGCCGTTGGAAAGTTCCCTAGCGAAACGAAAAAATCGGAAAAGCCGCCGTTTGAATTTTCGCTGGCGTTTTTTTCATACCACCGGTTGAACCTTGGTATTCATTTTTGTTAGCCCACGTTCCTCAGCAAATTGAGTTCGGTAATTGCCCACGTTTGTTTCCTGTCAATCAAAATCTACAAAAGCAGCGATTTTTGTGTTTTTCTCATTCCCTTGTACTCTCTATCAATCGGAAGTACAAAGGGATCAATTACAAAAGTGCGAATTCTCCTGCCGCTTGCCTCCAGCAATCATCGCTTCAGAGGAATCTTCAGGTTTTGCCGTCGAGGTGAGAGCCTTGGGACAAACAAAAGGTGCAAAAAGTGAGATGAAACGTCGAACAATGGGCGGAGTCAACGGTTGGGCCAAGTCCCAAGGTGCCCAGATGTTCACTCTGTCTCAACCTGTCTCTACCGAGCAGTTGTACTTTCTTTTTACTTATTCTACTTCGGCTCTGCCAAGCGGTTGGTTTTTTTTATAATAATATTTTTTTTTCTTTGCCTCATTATTTCTTTCAATTTCCTCACAATCAGGTGAAAATGATGATAAAGACTTTTTTTTTCGAAATTTTCATAGCCATAGTAAAAATCCAAATTAATGTTCTTCTCATGTTTTTTTCCATACAAGGCTAAATACCATTTTACTTGATTTTTATAAATTTTCTCATCGTCAAAAATAGCTACTATCAAAAAATGAGCTTCACATTCATGTACAAACCATACCTCATCTTCATTTCCTACAGAAAAATTGAAAGAAAAGCCGAAAAATGGTTCAAAAGCGAAAATTCTTTTAAACCTTCTTCAATGCCCTCAATTCTCAGAAATCGTTCCTTTTATTAATATTTAACATTTTGCAGAACCTACATCTACTCGAAATGTACCAACAACCGACTGCCGAAGATTTCAGCGCTCTCCCTTTGGAGGAATTGGAGAGACGGATCAACGAATTCAACAAAAGTCGGGACGAAATCGTTAGTTTCTCTTCTTACTTCTCAAGTTCAAATGAAATATCGTTTCTTTTAGATCGAGAACATGCGTCGTAATAAGCGCAAACTGGTGGAAAGCGGCGAAATGACCACGGTTCGGTTTTTTTAAATCAAAATTATTAATCATCTTAATTCATAAAAAGTATTTTTTCAAACATGTGTAGAATGGACCAATAGATTTGCTTCACTTTATTGTATGGTCGTTTGAAACTTGAAAATTAGATTCTCGCGCCAAAACTGTTTTTGAAAATTTTCCCATGACCCTTCGAGATTTCAAAAAAACTTGGTAGACTTCTTAAAATCCTTTTTTGAGTGTTTTTAGAACTTTCTATATAATCTCCATTCTTGATATAACTGGCGATGAATAAACTACATATAAGAAAAGCCAAAACTAAATCTTGAAAATTCCAGGAGGAATACGTCAAACGCTGCCGTCTGGACGAGATGCCGCTCTACCTGAACCAGGAGGACATGAACGCCTACTCGATCTTTCTCTGGAAGAAGTCGGGAGAGGAGAAGGAAGAACCGGAGCTGCTCAAACTGATGGAGGAGGACGAGAAGTCCGAGACCAAAGGGAGACTCTCTGTCATCTTCCTCCTCTGAAGACGAGCTGTTCGAGGACGACGACGAGCTCTCGGTCGAGACGGACCTCCCGCCAATGTCCCCACTATCCTCCCCTACGCCCGAGCCAGCTTTCGACTTCCTCCCAATATTCTTCCCATTTACAATCCCACCCAACATGACACCCTTTTTCTCCGGAATGGTACCTGTTACCACGGAGCTTCTGACGGTGATGGCTCAAAACGGAGTTCCTTTGAGTGATGGAGCCTCTCTCCTTTCACAGGTTTTGGACAATATTGGCATTGTACCATTACTAGCTAATACTATTAATAATGTTCAACCCTAAGCCTTCAGCACCTGATTTTCTTATTTTCCTATTTATTTTTAAGTTATTGATAAATCTTCATGTATTCCCTTTCCGGCGTGATTATTTATTATATAACCTTCTTCCTGATCTCGCAAATAATTATTCTATTTGAAAATTAGCCTCTCATGTTTATCATGTACTTTTTTACCTTTTCCTATTCATTTACGGGCTTATCATCTTGTCTCACTGAATCTCGGGTTAATAATCCCCTTGGTTGATATTTCCTCACTCATTCTCGGGTTTCATTATCATCATGATCTGCTGTATTTCTTATTTTTTTACTTTAATAAATCGATCACCTAAACTTTTGTTTAAAAGGCATCAGAAAATAAACATGAGAAAACTGAAGACGTTGACTGTCAAAGTTCTACAGAGAAGCTCAATGAGAGATCTTCATCTCTTAAATGAAAAACTTAAGATAAAAAAATTTCAGGGCTTTAAAAAAATCAAAAAGAAAATCACAGAAAAATGAAATATTTGAATAAATAATTGGACTTCAAAGTTTGAATTCTGAAAAGTATAAAGAATCAAATGGAACGCGGCTATAAAAAAACGCGGGAAAAAAAGCCTTCAAAAAAACTCGAATTTTTTTACAGAAACCTGGAAAAAAATTCTAATATTCACATAGAAAAAAATCGTAAATTTTTCAGAATAATTTTAGCTTCTGAGAAGATTACTTCGAAAAAGTAGCCCGAAAATAGATTAGTCTTATCAAGAAATGACACTTCAGCTGCAGCCACGATACAGCTAAACTTCGATAAAATGTGTTTCAGCTAAACTTCTTGAATGGCGAAAGTTTTTTTTTGATTAATAACCTTCTCAGAGCTTTCAGTTATAATCTTTTCGGATCGATCTTCACAATGACGTTAGTTTTAGTTCAAAGTGTGTTGAAACTTTTCATGAATTCCAAAATTGTTCAAATTGTAGATCAATGTCACACAAATCCAGCATTACTACTGAAGCCAGGAAAAATTTGAAAAATCGGAAACGAAATTTCGATGCGAGCTTATCCATAGTACATTCACCATGGGCCTGGGAAAATAATTCATGAAAGTAGAACAAGCGAAAAAGCGTGCAGAAAGAAGAGATTTAGACATAACTGTAGTAAATATCGTCTCAAGCTGGTCTTGAATGGAATGAAGTTTAGTATTATTCTTTATAGCTAATCCGAGGGAATTTAGGTCGGTTTTCAATAAGATAATGGCTTGAATCAGAGAAACGATAAAAACTGTTAAATAAATCGCTCCTTGAAGGAACGTTGAACTTTTGTTCGCATTCTTATTATGGGCAAAACGGCCCAAAACTGATTTGAGATTTAATTTTTCCGGCTTCAAAAGTGCCGTAAGTTTTGAACGCTTGAAAGTGAAAAAGCTTTTCTGATTAGATTTCAATCGTCTTTAGTATTTTCGAGCTCTCAGGACTAGGATGGGATTTTTATTTGCAATGTATTTGTTTCGTGAGAAGTTCAAAAAAGCGAAAATGTTGGAAAACTTCGTGGGGGCTTTCAAAGTCATCTAGATAGAAAAGGGATTGAAGTTGTTGCAGCCACGTATGCTCTCGAAAGAACATTTTCCGTACAATAAACATGTTCCTTCATTTTTTTGTTTTGTTTATCCGTCAATTCATTTTTTTTTCAGTCGTTTTAAAATTTAGTAAATACGATTTCCACCAATTAATTTTACCCAGAGAATAGGAAATTCCTGAAAATTCACCAGCCTTGATGTAGCAGAAAACAATTGTGAAAGCCTCAACCTGCACAAATTCCTAGTTTTTGAGAAATAATGGCTCAAAACCCCTTAGTAGCCTATTTAAACGGATTTTCAAGGTTCTATTTAACTTTGAGGTGTCCTCTAGGAAATTATGCATGTTGAAGCTTCTAGGATTTTTTTTTTCTTCTGGTTCATTAAGTAGTGTTTTGGCCGATTTTCAGAACATTTCCACCGTGAAGTCAACCGACTTTCCTTGTGAGTTAACCGACTAAATAAAAGAGTGAGATTAACACTTTTCTTTTGAAAACGGAGAGGATAAAACTAAATCCTCAAATAAACGTCTGAATCGAAGCCCTAGGAATTTCGGTGGTCTTAAAAACACCAGCGAAAATTCAAACGGCGACTTATCCGATTTTTTCATAAGGAACTTTCCGACGGATCCCTTTCCGAATGGTTTTCTCGATGAACTTTTCGATTTATAAAACATCTATAAAATTTTTTTTTCTATTTCTTTGTGTTTCAATCATGAACCAACTACCTACTTTATATAGGAAGATTTAAAACGAATATTTTATCGAGAAAAAAAGTCAGAAAAAGATTCGGCGGAAAGGTGGCCGTCGGAAAGTTCCCTAGCGATATGAAAAAATCGGAAAAGTCGCCGTTTGAGTTTTCGCTGATCTTTTTTTTCATACCACGAGATCTTCGAAAGTTAGAGAGCGTTCAAAAAAGAGAGGGCTGCCGTTTTATTTTTCTCTGCACGCCCTCTTGTTTATCAGCGCTCTCTAGCTCTCGATTAGCTAGAGAGTGTCTAAAAATGAGAGGGCTGCTTTTCTATTTTTCTCTACACTCTCTTGCTTATCAGTGCTCTCTAGCTCCCAAATAGTTAGAGTGTTCAAAAATTAGAAGGCGTTCTGTTTTCTCTCTAAGCTCTCTTGTTTATCACTGCTCTCTAGCTTCCAAAAGTTAGAGAGCGTTGAAAAATGAGAGGGCTGACGTTTTATTTTTCTCTGAACGCCCTCTCGTTAATCCGTGCTCTCTAGCTCTCAAAAGTTGAATATAGCTTTCAAAAATTAGAAAACACCTGTTTTCTCTGTGGTCTCTCTAGTATCAGTGCTCTCTAGCTCTCGAAAGTTAGAGAGCGTTCAAAAATGAGAGAGCTGGCGTTTCATTTTTCTCCCACGCTTTCTAGCTCTCAAAACTCAGAGAGCGTTGAAAAATGAGAGCTGGCCTTTTTTTTTCTCTGCACGCTCTATACTCTCTAAGGTTCTCCATTCTCACTTCTAAGCTTCTCCAAAGCGCCATCCAGCGTCATCGGCATTCCGCAGCTCTTCTGCTCTAGAAAGGCGCCCATGCATTCGCGGTCGAGTTTCCCAAATCTCAACATGGGAAGGCCCATCCGATGACCGAAATGCTCTACGCATCCGTCCACGGTCATGACTCCTTTCAATGATTCGTTCACCTGGAAAATGAATGAATTGACCATAAAATCAAATTTTAAAAAAAATTTGAGAATCATCATAGGCAAAGTAGGAAGGGCTTGGAAAGGTCTCATAAAAATGTTTCTTTTTTCTGAATTTCTGAGGCCTTTTTTCAGCCTCTCCCTTTTGGCGGCCACTATCCACCATTCCGACTTTTCCCGAGATTGGAAAATAAAGACTGAAAACGCTTCAAAGGGTAAAATCAACAAAAAAAAAAAGCTTCTTAATTTAAAAAAAAAATGTTTTTCACCTGGAAAACGCGGAGATTAATCATCAAACTCTTTAAATTCATTGAAAATGAAAAAGTGCGAATTTTTGAAAATGATCTTTAACTTTATAGAAATGCCTTCCAACTGCTGGAAAGTTTCGGAATTTTCCAAAAACTAAGGTGGCTACACTTAGGAACCTCGAAAAAAATCAAAGTTTATAAAAAAAATAATCCAATTTTTTTGAAACGGTTGAATTTTTTTATGGTTTTTTAATTTACATATTCTTCTGATTTCAATTTTTTTCTTTAACATCCTAGGAATCAAGTCATTTTTTTCTGTGCTTTATCTTCAATCCCCCACCCCCCCAAAACTAGACCTTCAAATAGGCAGTACACGGACGATGCTTTCTCTTCATGCTGTAACGTTTCCGGTTCTGGAAATATCGGGATCGGAACGAAATTTGCTGATTTGGCTGCGTTGTGTGAGAGCAATGGTAGTAGGTCAGCTGAAAATCCGAAGGAATGGTTCCATTTTTCCAGAAAAATGTTGAAGTTTTAAAAAAAGGAGATATAAGGGCAGTTTTCTTCACTTCCTGTCTTTGATTTTTTTAAATAGAAAAACACAAAAAAAAGGATAAATGACCGTAAATATTCTAAAACACTCAATTTTACGTAAAAGACATTTAAAAAAACTCAGAACTGAAGGAAAAATGTTCAAAAAGCGTTTAGAAATTTTTCTCATTCAAGTTTTTACCAATTATAACTCCAAAAACCAATCAAAAAAATTGCTGTCAAAAAAATTCAAAACAGTATAAAAACTAGATTAATCAAAAAAAGGTCATGAAACAGATGAACATATATGTTCAAAAACCCGTTTAGAAGTATTCTTATTGACTTTTTACCAAGTGTAAGTTCACCAAATCCTCCAAATTGCTCGGGAAGCCGTCAAAAATTGTGAAATAAGTTAAATAATAAGAAAAATCTGAAAACGGTTCAGAAATATTTTTATTAGGAATTTACATATTATAACTTCAGAAACCAATCAAAAAAATTGCTCTCAAAATCATCAAAAAAATAATAAAAACTAAATAAATTATTAAGAAAAAGCTTGAAAAACGGTTTTTTTAAATATTCCCATTAGAATTTCCCACAGTATAGCTTCAAAAACCTCCAAAGTTGCTGGGAAACCCGTCAAAAGTTGTAAAATTTAAACCTCCCATGAGAAATTTACATTTTAAAATCAAAATTGAAATTCCCAAAAACTTTACAAAACCATTATTATAGGCCATTCCGCGCCAGCTTGTCGCGTTTTTCTTTCCGTCAAAAGGCCAGGTCAAATTTAACTAAATTTCGCTTCAAGACCTTCGTTGCTTGCCGTTATAAAAGCAGAAATTTGATCTAATTTGATATACGGTCTTTTTGGCGGGAAGAAAAACGTGAAAAGCTGGCGCGGAATAGGCTATATCTAAATTATCTTCAAAATCTCTTTTTCAACACTAAAAACTGCACCTGTTCCCCAGTTGTCAGCCGAATGGGCGGATTTTTCTTGAAGTCTATTGAATAGGCCCTTTTGACGCTTCGCAGCCAGCACTTCAAAGAAAAAATTATCAAGAAAATCAAGGTTCTGAAAACCTCGAATTCGAGTTTGTTCTTGAAACGTCGATGGACGAAGAAGGTTAGACCGTGGGATCTCTTGACATGATCGACCAAGACTTGCTGACTGTAGCATTCGAAATTGCATTCGCAGCACTGGATCATCGTCCTTGGGACCTAGAAAAATAGATAAATACTTCCAGAGGGAAAAAAAATAAAGGAACTATATTTTTTTGACGGATTATGATGAAAAACATCGGAATTTCATGACAAAAAAATGACCTTCCATGTTGAATTTTATAATGATAAAGGTGTCAGATGCACAAAAATATTGTACTAGTTCTAAAAATATTTTTCCCGATAAAGGTCAGGTAACGAATTCATGAAAGAGCAGCTCGAATTTAAAAATAATGAAAATGCTGGAAAAACTGAACTTTTGAAGGTACTCGTCAAACTTTTGAAGTGAAAATGAAGTCACTAAACGCGTTTTCAATGATAAAATGATTTTTTAACTTAAAAATTGATTGAAGCCCAGCTTTATTAATTTCAAAAAGACCCCAAAAGCGCCTTATTTCTATCAAGGACCAAAAAGAAAAGCTAGAAAATTTTTTACGCGCAAATTCATTATTTTCAACCTGAAACCTTTCAAGCTGAAAAACTAAAAGCAGTTGAGAATTAAGCATTTCCGCACCTTGTGGCCAGCCTCGTCGACTTGTTGCCCGAAGACGTAATCAGCGTGTTCCCTTCTCATGTGCGAGGCTCTGGTCGATCTCGAACAGCCGCGCCATTCACAGCCTTCGACATGGCAGAAGTACTGTCCGTCAGCCACAAAGCCTCCCTAAAAATGAGAATATTGAACCAAAAATATCAGATTTCTGTAATAAGCTTGCGTTTAGATCTTGGAAAATCTCAGAAAAATTTCGTGAGCTCGTGACTTTTACAAAACTTTCGATTCTACCATGATTCTGAATCTATTCAGTTGTTAAATCCACGTTCTTCAGCGAACTCAGGAAAAGTCGTAATGGTGGATAATGGCCGCTAGAAGGGAGAGGTTTAAAAAAGGCCGCAAAAAGAGCCCCTTTATCGAGCCTTCCTATTTCTGGGACTTCAAGGCTCAAGATTGGGTGGAAAAAGGAAGAGGCAGCAAAAATGGTGCATAAGATATGAAGAAATACAGGCGATTCCGCGCTAGCTTGTCACGTTTTTCTTTCCGCCGAAAGGCCAGGTCAAATTTGACCAACTTCGCTTCAAGACCTTCGTTGCTTGCCGTTATAAAAGCAGAAATTTGATCTAATTTGGTATACGGTCTTTTTGGCGGAAAGAAAAACGTGACAAGCTGGCGCGGAATAGCGCAAAAAGGGAGCAAAAAAGGAAAATTTCTGAGAAGCCTTTTCCACTCTTTCCGACTTAGCCTATGGAAATATGAAAATCCAGAAATATTTTCTATTCCACCAAATTCACTTTTTACGCGATCAAATTGAACTTTCTAGTACAAAATCCAAAAGATTGTCCAGCGGCCTACTATCAAACTCCGGCTATAATAGCTCGAGGTTAGCGAAATCGCCAGTAATTGCTCATTTCGCGTAAATAACAGACGATGCAGCGCAATGTGCGCCGCGCCGAGTTGGTTCACGCATTTTGAAGGGGAGTCGAACCGGTGACCGTGCGAGCGGGAGACAGGGGTCTCCGCCACTCGGCCACGATGCAAGCCACAGCTGAATGACTGCGAGGCGCATAAGTGAGACGGGTGGCCATGCGGTTTTGGAATATTTCTTATATTTTTGCCCATTTCGATGAAAATTTACTAACTAGAAGGCTCAAATAAGCTGTATGAAATTTTAAGGGCAATTTCAACAATTCAAAACAAAAATTTAGAGCGTTTTTGACAAAAATGCTTAAAACCGATTAATTTCAAGGAATCTCTCTATGTCGATTAAAGTTCGAGAAATGATAGAAAATACCAGTTTTTAACTTAAAAAATGCTTTTGAAAAATGACAATTGAAAGGTAAACGGCTAATTGAACCTGGATAAAGATACAAGAAACTTCATTTGAAGTCAAAAATTAGCCCCAGGCAAATGTTTTCAAAAAAAAATTCACCGCCGGAGCTTTCCTCCGTTCCTCATGGATGTTGGGGTGGACTTTTCGCATGTGGGCCGATCTTGTCGCTCTGAAAATTGCCGAGTAAATCAGCAAAAACTCCAAAATCTCACCGAAAATTGCCCCGCCAATCGCACCCATCAACATGACATTTGTACAGGGGGACATGATCTTTCGGATCGATATACATGTTGTCTTTGGTGATTCGCTAAAAAAAAAGTATTTGGATACTTAAATTTTCATTCCTCTGGGGAGCATAACAAATGAGATGCAACTTGATTTCGGAGGAAAGACTTCAGAAAAATTCTAGCTTCAAAAATAAATATGATGCCGTGCCGTAACAATTTCGTAAATTCCAAAAAAAGCCGTCAGAGAGTGAAAAAGATGATTTAATTTTGAAAAATCATTGGATTTCACGAAAATATCTTCAAACATAACATGAAGAATAAAGACTTTTCTGCAATTCCGTTCAAGATGAAAAAAGGAATTTTCCTGCACAAAAAGTGAATTTTCGCCTTAAGCAAAGCAGTTCTTGGAGCTCAATTTGCAGATTCCCAACGTAAATCAAAAAATGAGAGCCAAAGTCGGAAGTTCGGAAAATGGGTGCAAATTGGCCGCTGAAAGGGTTCCGTTTTGTGGTCTTTATTGAGCCTTTTTTTTTCTTGGTGGGCTAAAAAGCCTCAAAAAAAGTCTGAGACCGCAAAAAAGGTGCTGAAAGTCTCGGCCATTGATGATTTCCGATTTTATTACTGTAGCACATTTTGGTTCATACACAGTCACTAGTAAACATTATTCTCAATTTAAAAAATTTTCTTGTTTCTTGAAAGGGTTCAAAAAGGGTGGATGAAGGCCTATAAAAGGACGGAAAAGGCAGAGAAAAGGAAACCGTTAATGAGGAACAATTAATGGAAATAATGGACGCTCAAAGGGCCCGTAAAGGGTCCTTTCGATTTTGCCTATGATTGGAATAAATAACGAAATCTGATCCTTTACAAATCGTTATCCTAGATTCAAAGCCTCAATCGAAACATTCTAAGAAGTCTTCTTACTTGCAACAAAAATCGATCGGGCATTTTCCACTCGGGGTGGATGACTCTCATGTGTTGGGCCCTCATCGACCGGTAGCCGCCTTTCCAGTCGCAGTCTTTCACGTAACACTTGTACTTCCCTTGCGGATCCGACATTGTCAGCTTGATCGAAATTGAAAAATCTTCCTGGAAAAAATTACATCAAAATTCGGAAAAGGTATGGACAGGTTTTGTTGTTGCGACCTTCATTGAGCCTCTGAAATTTTTGATTTTTAAGGCTTGAGGCAGGCTGGGTTTTCTGATTTTAATCTTCACTTTCAAAGCTATTTTGCAGCGCCCAGTGAAATCCAAGGGTTATCTCTAGGGGCTGCTTGGTGTTCTTAAGTGACTTCTTCAATAAAATTGGCAAAATTTACTTGTCAACTCAGCCGAAGACTTAATTAAGGCTGGAAAGGCTGAAAAACTTTACATGAAGATACAAAAAGACCCAAAAAATGCCTTCAAAACGAACCATTTCACAACCTTTTAGGGACCCATTTCGAAATGAAACCAAAAAAACCTTGGCTTTCGGAGGTCGTCCTCTCCGATGAGGTTGAGCTGAAGCTGGAGCAGCTAAAACTTGCTCTTTTTCGAAATATTCGTCGACTTGTTCAGCTTCTTCGATTTCGTGATGTTCTTCTTCTACATGCATTCCAAAATAGGCGTAATCGTGGTCCAATAGGGAGGAATCACAAGGCTCTGGCACCCCAGCAACTTCCACCTTAAGAAGAAAAACTTATTAAAGCTCTTTTCAAACATGATAAATTGGTTGAGAAAATGAAAGCAAAGTTGGAATTTCTGAACTTTTCAAGTTATTTGAGCAAAAATATTCGGATCAAGAGCCATTGCTGAGAATTTTAAATGCGCAAAAGAGTTGGAAAATATCCTTAGAAACTAATCCTCCTATCGAGAATTACATAAAAATCGCCTCTGAACATAAAGAATGTTGAGTGAAACGTATTGTATCAAGTCTGAAAATCTATTCCTATCTTTAAATAGAAAAAAAGTCACTTGATAAAATTGCCAAAAAAAGATTTTTGCGTGAAACGTGAAAAACCCCTTTCGCAAAAAAAAATAAAACAAAAATAAACTCCCACCTCAACAGCAACGTCCTGAACATCATCAGAAAAATGAAAATTATCAAAAATTTCCGATTCTTGAGAATTTCCAGGAGCACAAAAATTCGCTTCAAAATCAACATTCTGTTCGGAATTCTCTATCTTTACATTGCCTGAAAATCAAAAATTAATAAAATGAAGATCCTTGAAAACCGACCAAAATCTTCGACTTTATCCACTTTCTTCGCGAATTTCTTCCCTTTAGGCTGAAAAATTGCTTATTTCGTTTTAATTTATGGTAAGCAGTACCTTTTTAACTTCAACGTCCTCATTTTGGAATCTTTTCAGTTCATCGCCTGGCGTGTAAACGTAACCGTGATGCGCAATCCGCATGTGGAAATTTCGAGAAGCACGGGCATTAAAATGAAGATCGCACTTGGGGCAAGGATAAAACTGATTCGATTCATCGCTAAAAATTTTTCATTGAATTAATAAAAGGAAGAAAAAAAAATACTCGAAATGAAAGACGCTGCCACCGCCTCGTCCAGAAGAGCGAGTACTTTCTGGAGCATTTTGCAGCTTTTTGCGTCTTTTGTTCGGTGTAAACTCTTCCAGAACGACATCTGAATATTAAAAACGTTACTTTAATCCAAATCAAAAATTTAAAAGGCGAAAAAAAGTTTTATTGGGTGTAAAAGCGGAATTTTGTTATTTTTATCCAGTACGTTGCTTCACTGTTTACGCACCCCAAATCCTTCTACTTTTTTTGTTTTCTACTCACTTTTTTCGTCAATTTCTTCGAATTGAGGTGTTTCTTCTCCGATTTCTTCCTCAACTTTCACGGCTGGAGGCGTTTCTGCGACGCTCGCCTTTCTTGATCGTTTCTTGGGTGGCATTTGACCCTGAAAATAGGAATTTCGTCGAAACAAACTTTTAACATTTTATTTTGATATTTTCGACATTTCTGAAGACCCTGAGCTGTAAGATATAAGTTTATATTACGATTAAAAAAATATTTAAGTCATAAAACTCGAAAAAAAACAGGATTTTTTTATGCTTTCATCTGAATTCTATTTATTTTGGTCCATTCCCAGGGATCCAATAAACACGATTTTGACTTGAAATAGCTTATAAAACTTCAGAAAAACAATAAATAAAAAATAAAATGCGGAGCGTCGTTGTAAAGGGTTCCGCAAAGGCACCTCTGATTTTCTCAACGGGCCATATGCGCCTTTAATAACAAATTTTTTTTCTTTTTTCTTAAAAAGGATACAATTAAAATTCGTTTTGATTTTAAAATTTGTATCACTTTTTAGATTACAGCCTTCGAGAGCTTATACGGTTCTAAGCCAGAAGAGTTAATATTTTTCTCGGCTCGAAAAAAAGACATTTTTTTATTTAAATTGCTGTTTTTTTCGCTTATTTTTTCTGTATATTTTCAAATTATCGCCTACTTGATCTGAATTTTATTTGATTTCCAGGTGATGAACACCTTGACAAACTTGACATCGCGGTTGTGCGTCACCGCCAGCACTTCTTACCGCGCCTTCCATCAAACCATCCCATCAGCTTCTTCTGTTTTCATGAAAAGGCAGAAGAAAATTGATCCGGAAGTTTGAAAACTGATAAATTATTGAAAAATATCGTTTGTTCAGGTTGCGAAGCAAAGAGAAGCCAGAAGAAGAAAGCGGTTGGAGAAAGAAATCCGGCAAATGCAGAAGCACAGCAAAAAACCAAAGCCAATGGATGAGATGACGTTGGATGTGAAGTCGGCCAAGAATATTGGGTTTGTAGAACGCTTTTAATATTCTTTATTGTTGTCAAACGCGAATATCATGTTTTCTTGAATCATTTTAAAATATATATTATTTAGTGAACGAAGACGTCCGCCCACCGAATTGTCGATTGACCAGATCGATGAGCGAGCCGTTGCCATGAAGGTTTTTCTTTTTTTTTAAACTGATTGTCAAATTGATTTTTAAGGACTATACTAGAAGTCGAAACGCATTGCAAAAGCTTGACGACGCTTGGATTCGTTCAGCTTTGGCAGCTCAGAATAAAGCGTTGAAGGAATTGAAAGCCATCAGCCCGGAACTTTATGAAGAGGTTTTTCTTGTTTAAAATTGCTTGCATGAGAAAGTAGAAAAGGGGAAAACGCTGCTTAACGTGAAATAATCGTTCTTTGTCATGATATCTTCATTTAGCTAATTCTGTTTTCAAAGTAATTTCCGCGAAACACAAAAGAATCTCTGACTCTCTAAAAATTTAGTTATCTTTATTTTTATCTGACGGCTATTTTGAGTTTCTCGGAATCACTTAACCCTTGAACCTCCAAACACTGTAAAAAAAGGCGTTATAAACGAACTATAACTTTACAAAAACCCTAAAAAAAGGAATTGAAGCTGATAGTTTTCAACTAGATCAAATTTCCCCTTTAACTGAAGTTCTATTGAATGAGCTAGTTTTAAGAACAAAATTAATACAATCAATAAAAGCTCTTTCAACTATTTTTCAAAAATCGAGCCTTTTGATGTGTTAAAAAAAATTAATTTTTCTTTTTTTTCCTCCAATTTTCAATCGGGCGGTGAAATTGTCACAAGCTATGTACTTTTCATGTCATTCAGCAATGGAAAATTTCTTATTTCTCATGTTTTAAATAAGAACAGGAAAAATGAATGAATGTCAAGATGGAGAACAGAAAATTCAATGAAAAGTATTACACTGTGATTCAAAACTAAAATTAAGTATCTTCGTTAAAATTAAAACTTCGTGACCTTTTTAATTTATTTCATTTAAGGCCGTGAAACCAGCCACCGGCAACCTGCCGCTGACCATTCAAGGGCCTTCTCTAACTCCACCAATCAAAAAGTACGAATCACCGGATGGCGATTACGTCGACACGACACGGCAATGGTCATAGCTTCCAAGATAACAACACAGTCTTGATAGATCTTTAGTTCGTTGATTTTTCTTTTTGGTTGTAAATACAGGATTTATATCATTATGCAATCTATGGGTACAAATTATTAATATATAGGCAAAAAAAGTGGCAGGGCAAGTTTACAAGGCGTGGATGCGTTTCTCGAGGTTGTCCAGCTCCTGTTGGATTTCGGAGGGAAGGTCCGAGCCGACCTGAAAAGTTTATGTAATATATATTTCTTTTTCAAATGAAAATTTAAGAATTTGAGCCTCAAAAAAATCGCGGTGATCCTTTTCAAAAGGCTACATAGCTGGTTCACGGCTAGCTTGGGGCGTGGCCTGTGCACTCTCCACGATCCATGCACTGTCTCGTGCGTTATCGTGTTCACCCAGTTTCGTGGACTATATCGCAGCGAGAGTGGCGCGACATAGCAGCGACATATCTCGCTGCCATCTCGCTCAGCTCTAGCAAACTCCCGGCGCGATATCGGCGCGAGGTCGCGGATTATTGATTGGTCACTATTTACGTGCCATCAAAATTTTTACTTGAATTGTTTTTATTTTTTTCGTGTGTTATATTCTCTCTGATTTTTTTATGTCTATTTTTTTCACTTAATATTTCTAAAATGTTAATTTTACAACTAATGTAACGCTCATACAGTACCGTCAGAAAAGGAAAAAAATATTTTTTTCGCTCACAACTTCCTCGTATAGAGCTCAATCTTTCTGAAACGTTTTTCAGCTGTGTTTCTAAGTTTTTCACCACGGTGTTACAATCAACAGTCATCATATTTCCAGAGAGTTTCAAAAAGGGTGAAATCCCATTAAAGAAAGTTGTGATAAAAAGCGTTTTTGTATATATTTTTGACGGAACTGCACACCTTTCTTGAATTTGAAAGTCCTTTTTTTCGCATTTTTTTTTTTCATGTTTTAACCAAGAATTTCAGGTTATTAGTACTTCAAAATGGCATCTAACATTTTTTTTTTCAATCAGTAAAAGTCAAGAAAGATCCGTGGGAGATGGCGCCGAAACTTTGCTTTTGGATACAATCAATAAGATTCTTGGTAAACTATTTTTTTGAAACAGTATATCCATTTTTTTACTTGAAGATATGATTTTCACTTTGGCGTCGATGGGTAAGGAAAAAGAAGAAATGAGGCATGATTTCGAGAAAGCACGTACTGCTGTCTTGATACAGTCGCTCCTGTGAGTTATTCTCTTATTCAAGGTTGGACTTTTTTTCAGTATTTTTTTCTTTTTTTACCGATTTTATCATTTAGAAAAGTTCTTGACGCAGCAAATGAAGGATATGCCGAAAACTATCGAGTCAAAGCTTACAGTAACATTTTTTTAAGGGAACTTAGGGTCAATCTGATTGTTTAACTTAATTTTTCTTTTTTTCAAAACCTCTTTCATTTTCATTTCGAGCCTCCCTCCTTTATTTCTAATATGAACTTTTTAAAAGATCATCTACGAGCTTACAATCGGTTTACTTTTTCTGTTTTTTTATTGAACCTACTCTTTTTCCTAGTCCCATTTTTTTCCTATGAAAAAAATAAACGATACACATGTTTTTTTCCTCATTTGTCCTTTTTTTATTCTTACTTGAAGCTTCACTCTTTCGCCTCAATTCAATTTTCTTCTTCAGATTTGTACATACTTTCAGTTTACTTCGAATTCGAAAATGTATCATCAATTATTTGGAAATTTCTTTAATGCTCTCAATTTTTTTCATTTGAATATATTGTTTATATTAAATAAAAAAAGTAAAAGAAGGTTGATAAAGACCGATATTTTATCATTTACAACCCAATAAAAAGTATGAATCATAGAAAGCAAATCAAGAAAAAAAGCCCAATCGAGCTAAAAAAATTTTTGAAAGAGCGACATAGCAGCGAGATGTGAGCGACCTTGCGCCGAGAGGCGAGCGATATAGCTCGCGGCTGCCCCGCGATATAGCGTTTCTCTCGCTGCGACCTCGTCCGTAAAACTGGGTGTTAGGACCAATATTTCTATGGCTCAAGCCAGCCTTGAATGCCTTCCAATGCTTCGGAATTTTTTTCGATCTCTGATTATTACTCAATTTTTTGAATCTTCCATTCAAAAATGCCTTGATGATCGATTGGAAACCATGAAATTACCTGAGATTCCAAAAAGTGTTTGCTCTCATCAATGTCCTCTTCCCAGTAGGACTTGGGGATGCTCATCAGTTCATTCCAGTCAAGACGAGGCAGGCCTTCCAAATTGATGGAACCACGTTTTGGCACATATCCAATGGCCGTTTCGACCTTAACATGCATAAATTGAGTATAGAAAATTGAATTTCACGTCAACTCTAATGAGGGATTGAACTTCAGAAAATGTCTAAAAATTAACGAAATAGCTCTTTTAAAGGATCAATACTGTTTTTATATTAAACCCTGCGAAAACCATATTATTATTACACTTTTTTTCGTTCAGAAAGCTGTAACATTTTTTTCGAAAAATTTGATGAATTAACCATTTCTGAAATATACTAAAGCTTTTTGGTCATAACAATTCTCACCGCAATATCATTCTTTCCATCGACACGTTGCAAAAATCCAATCAAGTACACGAATATTGTCTCCGAAGCCGGGCCAAAGGAACTTGTGATCGCTCGTCTCGCGGAACCAGTTCACGTGGAAAATTTTCGGGGCCTAGAAAAACGCATTTTTTGAAAATCAATTTTTTTTTTTTTGACAATAAAAAATTGACCTTCAAATATATAGAATATGCGCCGATTTTAACGTTTTTCTCGGTAAAATTTGAGAAATCCAGCTTTTTTCTACAGTAGCCTTCCATTATCTTGAATTATTCCTACGATTTAATCTAAAAATCTTCTAAAAAGCCCTATAAAAAAACTGAAAACAAAACAAGCTTAACCCCAAATCAACATGTAAAACTAGCTAAATTTTTTTCTACCTAAAAAAAATTGAGCTTGTACAGTAACCTACAATAATCTCCAACTCTGAATAACTCCAAAAAACCTTGTGGGGAGCTTTTCCGAGATCAAGCCAGTGCTGAAGGTAGCGACCGTAGTTGTAGCCCATGAAAGGTCGCATGGCCATTGGATCATGCATCACCTAGGGGTTACTGTATAGGTTACTGTATCTTTTCGTGGTACTGTACCTGCTTGCCGACGTGTTCCGCGGCGGCCGTGGCTTCAGATTTGACCAGGGCGCCGACGAGGATGCCGTGCTGCCAGGAGAACGATTCAAAGACCTGAAAATCGATAATTTTCACGTTTTTGAGTTCAAAAATGCTATGAATCGCCTAAGAAAAACAGTTTATTTTGGAGAATATTGAATAAAACTGACCAACGGGACTCCTTCGGGACGTCGACCGCCGAAAATGATCGCGTCGATTGGGACGCCTTGAGGCGCCTGAATTTTTTGATTCTTCGTTTGAAAACGAGGTTAGTTCTTGTGAGAAATTGATTCGATTTGAAAAAAAAAAACGCCTTGAAATCTAGAATGAAAATATATTATAAAAATGACCTCCCAATCAGGATGAATAATCGGACATTGAGAAGCCGGACATGTGAAGCGCGAGTTGGGATGAGCCGCTTTTCCTACAAAATTATAGGTTTTTGCATTTTGAATCGCCCATGAAAAGTATATAGGCCATTCCGCGCTAGCTTGTCACGTTTTTCTTTCCGCCAAAAGACCTGGTCAAAATCGCTTCAAGACCTTCGTTTCTTGCCGTTATAAAAGCACAAATTTGATCTAATTTGGTATACGGTCTTTTTAACGGAAAGAAAAACGTGACAAACTGGCGCGGAATAGGCTTTATCATTAGAAGGCCCTCGGACAGCTGATTACAAGGACTTTAGAAATATTCAATCTTCAAGCCTCTAAAAAAATATTACTAATTTTACCATCAACTTCTATAATTTTTTGAAATCATCCAGCTTCGATCAGAAAGGAAAAGGGTTAAAATTTATTTTTTCCAAACCTGTGTTTTTAAATTCATGTTTCAAGTACCAAAAAGTTCAGAATTGTGTGCTTGATAATCCTGAGGAAATTTTATTCTCAAAGAACCTCAAAGAAAAATCTTAACTTTAAGGTAATCTATCAAGTTCATAAATCTATCATTAACTAGAACTTCAATTCCTTTTTTTCGAAACGGTCGGATGAGTTCATATGCAAAACGGTTCCGATGCGTTTTGGCGCCAACTTAAAAATCTCATATTTTCAGATTTTTTTTTTTGAGGTTTTTTGGCATTTCAGATAAGATAAATGAAGATAGTTTCCTGAAAGAGTTTCATTAAAGGCATAGGGGCAGTAAAAAACGGCGTTTCAGTTCAAAGCATTACTTTGTAGAGCTTTTCATTGCGAAACGAACGGTGAACTTGAAAACGTACCGAACTTCCTAGTTTTGGAGAAAAAATAATTCAAAGTCGGAGAGAGGAAAGTTTGAGTTCCCGCGAAAAGGGCACTTTGCAGTAAAGTTGCTCTATGGACAACAGGCTTCGCCTTTTTTCGGATTTTCGCTTTTTTCTTCGTTCCTTTCAAATTTCAATTTTTTCTGTTGTCATCAAAGTTCTTTTCGTCACAAAAGCTTTCTATTCATGTATAATTTGCAAACTTCGGTCGCAAAAATGCTTCTTTGGTGAAAAATGATGATTTTACACAGGTTTCGATTGGGATAGCGATTATTTGTGTTTTCTTTATTATCAATGTGTGTTTTCGGTTTTCTTAATCAATTTTTCAGAGAAGAAACCCTTAATTTGAAGCAGATACCCGGTTATTTCTCACAAAAAGCGAGTCTAATGAGACGTCCGCAACACCGCTACTGTAAACATTTGTCCGTAGGCCGATCCAAAGCTTTTTTCAATTAAAAAGGCGGGAAAGTAAAATCGCGTTTTTCTTCTAAAGTGGTCACATATTTAATTTTTTTGAGTACACCATTCGATTCGCAAAGAAAAACTGTATAAGATACTGCTTTCACCTGAAACCCCATTTTTTACTGCCCCTATGCCTTTAATGAGATAAACTTTGGCTTGGAAGAAAAGAAAATTTTCTGAACTGAAAATTATAATAAAGAATTTGATGAAAACCTTCATCTCCAACATGCCAACGATCGCCAAGCCAGTTGGTAATCTCCAGATTGTGAAGTTGCTCCTCGGACCAGCCTTTCTGCAAAAAAATCCCTTTAAAACCATCATTTTCCTTATTTTCCCTGTTCTTAACCATTATTTTCAATCGATATTATAAAAACTTCGAATTACTTCTTAAAGAAATAAAAATGTAAAACCTGTTGACGAAGCTCCTTCTCGAGTCCTTCCCAGAAGTATTCTCCATCGGCTGTTTCGGCGACATTTGTAAAGATGGAATTTTTCTGGAACGTTTCCATGGCCATCGCGTTGGTTTTGTGGGATGTTCCTGAAGAAAAATTTCGATTTTCGCTGGTTTTTTTCTTTCTTGAAAAGTGAGAGCAGAAAAATACATTCAAGAAAAATTGAAAAACTCTTCGAAATGTCGAAATTTCCCTAGTTTTACAAAACACCAAATTTCCTTCGATCTGAAAACCACTGGTCGCTCTTGGAATGTACTAAAGATCCAAATGGAATTATAACCCAGACCGCGACGCGACCGCTTCGCTCACAGTCATTCCAAATGCGACCACGCTATCGTTGAGTAACTGGCATTTTATCGATTTCAAGTCACCCAATTCTCGTGAAAACAGGGCTCAGATGGAAATTCCGGGAGAAAAAATCGTCTCCAATCGTGTCGGCTAGTATTCGCTACATCCGAGCAAAAAACGGCAGGCATCAGTTTAGAGAGCACGGTACCCTTGGAGAGACCAGACTCGTACTCTCCACTTTCTACATACAGTCTAAGGAATCGGGTCCAGTTTAAAAAATGGCAAGTCTTCACAAGTAAGGTCATTCAACTTGGCGGTTAACTGAAAATTGGCCAGAGGACTTCTTGATGTGCTAGATGAAAAATCCTGGGAGTCTTAACTTGTAAAACATTAAATTCATTAAGAAGGGACACCTTAAGATCCAGGACAACCTTCCGAACCCGTTGAAATAGGCTCTTTGGGAGCTTTGAGCCCTTATTCCACGGAAACTGGAAAGTTATGCAGATTGAGTCTTTCAGGAACGTCTTTGGATGTATCAAAAATTGTTTCAGGAAATTTCCAATCGCAAAGTGATTAAATTCTTTGTTAGACAGTGTGTAGAACGATGAGAGTACTAGTCTGGTCTCTCCAAGTTTACCGTGCTCCCTAACCTGATTTATGCGCCCTTTTCTTCTTAATCGATTTTCCAACGTTTCAACTTGATCCATTAACTATTAAGAGCCTTTTCAAAAATAATATATTTTTTCTTCCTAACCTGGAGCCACTCCGAAGAACCCAGCCTCCGGGTTGATGGCGTACAAACGGCCGTCTTCACCGAATTTCATCCAAGCGATGTCGTCACCTGAACAGGTGTTCCTTATTTTTCCAGTTTTTGGAGCTCACCAACGACGCGAATTTTCCAGCCGGGTACAGTTGGGGTCAGCATGGCGAGGTTGGTTTTTCCGCAGGCTGAGGGAAAAGCGGCGGCGACGAATCGTTCTTTGCCTTCTGGGTTCGTGATTCCCATGATCTTAAAATGAAAAATGAAACTGACAATGAGTTAAAAAAATTGTTTGTTATGATATAAGTTTTCAGAGAGAAAAATTGTTTTCAAACAAGAAAATTCAAGATTCACAAGCATATGCTCGGCGAGCCATCCCTCGTCGTAGCCAATGTTGCAGGCGATACGGAGCGCAAAGCACTTCTTTCCTAGATTATTTCATTGATTTTTGTCATTTATTACAAAAAAATACCTAGGAGTGAATTTCCACCGTAACCTGATCCAAAAGACCAAATTTCACGTTCCTTAGGCCTATGAGCGATCATCACCTTCTCCGGATTACATGGCCAGTGATTGATGACTTTTTCTGAAAAAGAAAAATAGGAAATGAAAAAAATAAATGAAAGTAACATTTGTCAACAGTCAGGGAATTTTTTGCAAAACTACAAAAACAAAAAAAGTTTGCATCAGCCCGATGCGGGGCTCGAACCCGCGACAGCCAGATTAAGAGTCTGGTGCTCTACCGACTGAGCTAACCGGGCGCCGGCAGGCAGATGGCGCTGGCGGCATATGATGCCTCTCTGCGTCTCTATACTCACGTCGCACTGGTCGTGGGAGGCCGACCGAATGAATGCAACGGACGAAATCTTGGTCTCCCAAGGCTTCCAAGACTTTGGCGCCCATCCTCGTCATGATTTTCATGCACAGAACGACGTAGCTGAACCATTTTAACATTTATAACTGTATCTTAACCGTGGCGAGTTTCAAGGATTTTTAAACCAAAAATTTTCATTTTTAGTGCCTTCAAAACTTTGGAAACCCGATGTAATTGCACAAAAATACATCAAATTTACCTAGAATCGGTCAATTCGATACCAATTTTCGACAATGGACCTCCGATCGGTCCCATTGAGAAAGGAACAACGTACATGGGACGTCCTGAAATGGACTGGTTCAAAATTTCTTCAAAAAGTATGGAGTCAATATTTTTCTTTCAGGAATCCAACAATCTTACCGGCCATACAGCCAGGAAATCGGTTATCCAATTCTTTCCCGAACTGTTCCTCGCTCATCCATTGGCCCATAATTGGTCGGACGCCTTCTGGAGTGTGACAGACCTAAAATCTCGTAAATTAAAACTTTTTTGAAGATTTTGAAAGTCTACCGAGTCATACTTGTCCTTGGTGACCATCCAGGTCTTGCTTTCCACACGAGCGACATCTCGAGGATCCGTCCGGCACAAATAACTGAAAGGAAAAAGTTCAATAAAAGCCAAAAAGAACATTAACAGACTTAATAATTCTCAACAAGTTCAATCCTCACGTTTCCAGTTTTTTTTTTTCTTAATTTTGCTAATAATTTCAAAAAGAGATAATGGCTAGTTTACTGTTTCTGGTATCTTCAAAGCGTCCAAACCTTTTTTGCAACTTGATTGGAGTAAATAATTCAAAAAAGCAGAAAAGGAAAATAATGAAAGAAAAAAAGAAAAATTTATCAAAACTTTTCACTTCCGGAATTTTTGGATTATCCATGGAGCGGACATTCGATCGCTCAAATGTTCCATTCAATTTTTTTATTTTTCCTTTTTAAAAATTTAAAATACTTTTTTTAAAGAAGATAGATAACGAACTCAAGTTTTTTTATGAGAATACTGCTTCTCAAATCTTAGGCAAATGATGAAAAGTCCATAATATCAAGTTTAAAAAGCTTGTTTTGCAACTTTTCAATGTCAAAGGCTAACTGTTCTCTTTGAAAAATGTTTCTGCGTTTTAATCAAATTTGAGCATCAATAAGTGAATTTTCGGGTAGCTCACCAGTTCTCATAAGCCTTCAATGGCGTCAGGACGCCACGTTCAACGAGTTTGTCGACGATCGTGTCGAACTCTTTCTGGGAACCGTCACAGATGTAGATTCCTAAATTTTCGCACTAAATATCAATATTATTAATTATTTTCTCAAATTGGTGGGTTTTAAGATTAAATGAAAAAAGAAACCAACCGGAAGGATTCATCAACTCGGCCTTTTCGGCGATGAAACGTTGAACCTTTGGCGAAAGGCTGGCAAAATCGCCCTGGAAACTTTCTTTTTATTATTTCTATCGAGTACTTTCTTTTTTGGAAAATTTGAAACTAATACTCCAATATGCCATTCGATTCATTTAAAAATGTTTTGAAACGTATTACATACAATTTTATTCAAACTTTGATTCACAGTAAATAGTTTTTGTTGATTTTTGTACTATTTGAACCGTAATTTTTCAAAGAGTATTATATAAAGCAGGAAATAGGAAAGAAATACTTTGTAAATGGGGATGTGGTTGATTTTGTGGGTGACGACTTCGGTGACCACTTGGTAGGCATCGTTTTCGAGGGGTTTCAATGAACGGCACTCTTCCGTCATTGTTTTCTGTAAAAAATCAGGATTTTCAAGATTTTTTTGAAATTTTTAGTAAACTATTAGCGTAGAAATGATAGAAAATAAGATAACTATTTTTATTTTTTTAGGGGGAAAAAAACGGTTCCAAAGGGATCTGTAGAGGTTTTTCTTCAATGTAAGAATTGTTTTAGATGCTCAGAAACTCATAAATTGCTCAAAAATTTTCAAGATTTTTTTTGATTTCCTGAGTAAAATATTTGCGTAGAAATGATAGAAAAGGAGATTAATATTTTATTTTTAAGGAAAAGACGGTTCCAAGTGAATTATATAGGTTTCTCTTCAAAACAGAAAGTATTCAGATGCTCAGAAGATTAAAAATAAATAAAAATATCGTTCAAGTTTAAAAATGGTCCTAACACGATTAGAGAAAATTTGTGGTGGGCTTTTGCTCATAAATTGTTGAGGGGAGCAGAAAAAAAAAAACCATGGTCGCATTTGGAATGGTCCGACGCGTAGCGGCTGCGTTGCGGTTTTTTAAATTACAGTACTGGCCGCTATGATATTTCAAAATGGAACTCTGATTAGAGTTCCAAATGTCTACAAAAAAGTTGTCCAAATCGTCTAAAAACGGTTTGCGCAAAATAAATAATAGTGAGCTGATGGCCTATTCTACCAAGACAACGAAGATAAATCAAATTTCAAAATTTGCGGCTCATTTTCGCTTTTTATCCCAGTTTGTTACACTAAACTAGAGAGACGAGTTGAAAAAAATCTGTCTGATCGCTCAATTGGGGAGAAAAACGAGAGAAACGTGCCGAGTTGCAAGAAAAAAATGTTGTTGTTGTCTGCTCGGAGGCTCCGCCCCCCGGAGGCCCTGGGGCGATCGAAGAGTCCTTCGGGCCTTTCTGCACGTACGCATAGCGATTCTCACGCAGACTTGAACTTTCAAACGAGGAATGTGGACCAATCAGGGAGAAAAGCGAATTTTTTTCGATTGAAAAGGGAAATTTTCTCTCTTTAGGGATCATTTTGAGGACTTTGAGAAGTGGCCATGAGGTTTCAGACCTTCAAGTTGTCACTTAAGGGGTGGAGGTCAAGTTTTTGGATTGAAAACATTGAGAAGTAGCCATGAGCTTTTTGAGCTCGAAGTTGTCACTTAAGGGGTAGAGGTCAATCAAGCTTTTTTATTGAGATCTTCGAGAAGTAGCCATGAGGTTTCTGAGCATCAAGTTGTCACTTAAGGGTTGAAGGTCAAACTTTCAGACTCTCAGACTGTGAATCGACCTTACAGACGTAACAGTATGTCTAGAATCAAATTTGTTTCCAGAGACCTTAATAATTTTGAGGGACGACTTAAGGGATTAAAATATTGCTTCTAACCTCTTATAAAAGACTAACGGTCCCTCTAGTTCCACAGATCAATCTCCTAAACTCATAGTGGTCACTTAAGAGATATTTGAAAGTTTTTATTCAGTGATCCCTCGAAGAATCGAAATCAAACGCTAGAATGAAGAATAAATATGAAAAAAAGCAATATTTTTTTCTTATTTTTTTACCTAAATTTTTTTGACTTCAGCCTTCAAAAAAAGTAATTTTTCCAGGAAAATTTTTCAGTTTTAAACTGAGATACTTCTATTTTTCAAAAAAATTCCATCATGATTTGCAACCCGATAGTTACCAAAAAAACGCTCGAAAGTTCATCTTTGATTCATTTGCAGGGACGGAAATAACGCGAAAACATATTGACTTGCGTAGAAATAGAGATTGATCCTTTTGACCCCAGTTTTCTTGATGTTATGTTATGTACCACTGATCGTTCGATGTCTCTTCGAAAATATTTTTGAGTCAAGTTGATAGAAAATATGGTGGTTTCTCTATTTCCAACGCAAATTTGCAATATATTTTAGAAAAGAACTCATTTGGGAGCTTTAATATAACTACAGAATGAATCAAAAAAGCCGAAAAATAAAAATAAAAAATGGCAAAAAGGGAAAGGTCCCGGGGAGATTTGAACTCCCGTCGCAGGATTCAGAGTCCTGAGTGCTAACCGCTACACCACGGGACCGACGGTGGTCGTTGGCCGTCTCGGCGTATACCCTACCGCCGCGGCCTCTGCACTCTCGCTGTCTCGACGATTCGATTATGCAAATTTGTCGCGAAATGCTTTGGATCATAATTTTCCGGTTTTTTTTCTCGCTATCGGTTGCGATTTATTGGCGAGATTTTGATGAACTGTCCGTGTTCGTTAGGCTTTTTGTTGTGGATTCTTTTTCGGCAGGCGATAATGATCAAAAAAGGGCATAAATTATGAAAAAGTTAGTTTCAGCTTATTGAATGCTCGAAAATGCTGAACAATGCAGCTTTTTAGGCTTATATACCCGATAATTTACGTTTTATCGAACAATTTTTCAAATAAAAAAGAAAATTTCTGTTATAATTTCTTGTACAATCTTTGTTTTGACCTCAAAAATCTCTTAAGTGGCCCCTGGCCACTTGAGCAAAAAAGTAGCTTTCACTTTCTTTAGGCGAGCCTAGGTTCCTGTAACGATTTTTGATCAGTTCTCAAGCGGAACCTAACTCCAAATTGATCCCTTCAAGTGGCCACTTGAGCAACCAAGTAGCTTATTGCCGTTGTGAAGACTTGCTGAACGCGTCCTTGATGGGATTTGGCATGTCATCAGAAGTGGCAAACTTTCCCTTTGTCGTTATTTTCGTTTTTTTTTTTTTGGCGGGGAAAACGAAACGATCCGTCCGTTGCGTTGCGCGATATGCCCTTGTCTTTGTTGGATAAATAAGAGATTGGAAAGAAATGATTCTGTTTTTCTAAGTTATTATCTTATTAAATAAATGTTAGAGAGTCTTCTTCAAACACTTTGAAAAAAATTTTAAATTTCATACTTAGGAATTCCAGAATGGTTCCTATAGGGGTTTAGGGGGCAAAACAGCCCTTGTAGGAACCGGAAAAGTGGTCCCTATAAGGCTAAAATCAAAGTAGTCCTTATAGGGGTTTAGGGTCTGACCCCTTAGCCTTTAAATCTTGAGTGGTCCTTAAAGGGTTCTTTCAATTTCATTTTACAAACGCTTATTTTTTAGTTTTTCGCATAGAGTTTACATCAACAATCGACTATTATGTTCCCTATAGGGGCCACTAACTATAACCCTTATAGGGACCGCTTTTGAAAGCTTTAGTGGCCCCTGAAGGGATTTTTTTAGTGGCCCCTAGAGGGGATTCTCCGAAAACCCCTAAGGTTGCCCCTATAGAGACCACTCTGGAGTTCCTAAAAAAACTGAACTGATCTCTATGGATTACTATAAAAAGTCAAAAGTTCCCTCTCACAAATTTTTTTTTTTAATTCTTGGACTTTGAATTATTTCAATCTTCAAACTTGATAGTAAAGAAAATTCAACAAAAAGTTATGCAAGAGAATCTTTCAGAAGAGGAAGCGAACCATGATCCTCAGCTTTTCGAGCGAGCGCGCTACCTACTGCGCCATCCGGGCAGTTCTCCGCAGAGGGTTCATTTTACTTATCAATCCTTATTCTACAGATAATTTCGGAAGTTCCTTACTTAATAATGCGTTTTTTGCGTGAAAATTCTTACGTTAGGATCTTACCTTAAAGAAAAAAATGGCCTTGAGCCCTTTTAAAAAGATTTGAGAGAAAACCTTTTTCATACGTACCTTTTTCAAGAGAGTTCGAGCTTTTTGAGGATTATTTTTTTCAGCTGTAAACTTGGGAGTTCAGCAACCCAGAATCCACTAAAGTGTTCCCTTCCAAAACCGTCCATCCAGTCCTCCACACCAAAACCACAGCCAAAAAAAAACAAGTGAAAACGTGCCACCTGATGAAGATGATGCCAAAGAGTCGATCATCCGAACCCTCTCAGATTCGCCTGATCTCTCGTCGGCCTCCTCGAAAAGCCAAGATGAAGCCGAAGCAGGAGGCGTGGCCGGCTGCCAGTTTGACCGTCGGCTGGGGCCGCCAAAATGTTGTTGCGGCACTTCCTTATCGGCGTCGGCATCGGAATCGTCGTCGTCGTCGTTCCAGAAGACGTCGCTGCTGAAGACGTCGGCTTCGGTCTGGTTCTTTCCTCAGTTTTCGTTCAAAATTTGGTTGAAAGATGGCATTTTTTATCAAATCTGGCGGCCACCTACCTTGCCAATGTACAAACTTTGTATGTCCGTGTGAAAATTTTTCAATTTCTCAAATTTTTGATGAGAAAACGATTTTTTCTCTTTCTTCATGGTCTGGAAAAAATGGTTTCCCTTTTCTTTTTCTTCTTAATTTTCCTATCTGAAAGGTTTTATTTGGTTCAACAGCTACTTTTTGTGTTTTTTCAGAACCCAACAACCTTCTCCTGAAGCCTTATGGTCAGTTTTCTTTCAATAAAAATTTTGAACAAATAGCCTCGAAATATTGCTGATAGTGCGCTCCACGGTGGACCAACCGGATCTTTTGCTGTTTCTTGGGCATTTCTAGTGACCACTTTAGTGGCGTCAGCACTCTTAAGAGGTCCCGAGAATCGCCCAAACACAGCCGGAGCATGTCCCCGTTTTGGGTTACTGGGAAAATTTTTAGTGGCCACTATAGGGTTTTGACGTTTTAGTGGCCACTATAGTAGTCAATTTAGTGACCACTTAAAGGGTTAAAATTTAGTGGTCTTTATATAGGTCTAAGTGCTACTACTAGACCACTAGAAATTTTAGGGGCCAATGGATAAACATAACTGGTCCAATATGTCCGTTTTAAAGTTATCAGAGTACCTGGAAGGAATACTGGATGAAAAACTACTGAAGTTGTCACTAAAACGGAAAATAGTGGCCCCTTTAGTGTCCTCTGCAAGTAGTCCTTGGCGAGCCTCTATAGTGGCCACTGAAAATTTTCCCATTTTTTCTTCCTTATTTCGAAAAAAAAATATAGTTTTCGTAAAAAAATAAGGCCCTTATTATAAGGCGAGGAACGTTTAAATTTTTTTTAATTTGCTTTCCGGATATTTTTTTTTAAATCCCCATTTTTCTGAACCTTTTTTTCAGAATTAGGCCAGAGTCCCGAGCGAGCACAGCTACAAATCAGAAAAAAGCGATACGGTAACGTCGAAAATAATATTTTCCAAGTCAAGAAGTCCCTTAAGTGGTCCGATCGAAGCGTTGGCGGAAAACCAAGCTCACCTGGAAGCTTTTGCCCAACAATTTACGTGATGGGGATGAATATGTCGTTAGGTGTGTGATTTTCTCAATTTATTCTACCTTTATACAGAAAAAAATTTGTTCAGGAACACCCTACATCGAGCCTTCAACGAATGGGCGACAGTTTCGGGTGTTTCTTTCGAAGAAATCGGTGAAAATTCAAAAGAAACGGATATTTCCGTGGCTTTTGAGCGACTCAACCATGGAGACAACTACCCATTTGATGGGAAAGGTCATTTTTTTTCTTTATTATTCAAGAATGAACAGTTTTAAAAATGTTTCATATCCCTAAAAGCTTCAGAGTAGGAATTCCGGAGTGGTCCCTGTAGGGGCAACCTTAGGGACTCTTTGGGGACCCCTATAGGGACCACTAAAGCTCGCAAAAGTGGTCCTTATAGGGAAAATTCTAGTCTTTAATTTTTATGAAGAAGCATTTCCATGGGAAAAACTGGATAATAAGCGTTTTTTGAATGAAATTGAATGTCCCCTATAAGGTCCACTTGAGCTTTAGGGGCTGGGGTCAGAGCCTAAACTCCTATAGGGACCACTTTAAATTTACCCCTATACGGACGACTTTTTTGGCCTCTATAGAGGTTGTTTTCCCCCTAAACCCTACAGGGATCACTCTGGAATTCCTAGGTGGTTTTTCCAAAATCCAAAGGCTTCTCAATGCTCTGAAAACAAATGGTCAGGCAGAAACTGGAAAGCCAACACTTTAAGATGTTGATCGGCGTGTTCCCGGAAAAAGTCGGTTGCAGACTTTTTCCTTTGTTTTTCTTTGGTCAATCGTGTAATTTCAAGTGGACCAAGTGGATTCAAGAACTCACGTTCGTTCAAGAAATAGCTCGAACCATTTTTCTCGAGTAAATTATCAAACTGAGCGCGCAAGTCGCTTTAAGTCGGGAGCTAACCCATTCCAACTGCGACCAAAATTTCAAAAACGAACTTTTTTTTTCTGTAGACGGAGTTGTCGCCCACGCATTCTACCCGAGAGATGGTCGGTTGCATTTCGATGCCGACGAAAATTGGACTCTAAATTCGCAGGAAGGCGTCAATTTGTATCAGGTTGGTGTGGGTTACTGTAGGACTCGCTTAAGGACACATTTCAATTTGATTATTTAATCTTTAAGTGAACACTTGAGTGGTTTGACGCGAGCTTGGGATGTAAATGACCACTTCAGAGATTTCATTCGAGTTTATAGGTTTCTAAACTCGATAGTTCGACTTTTTCGTATTTCAAAATCGAAGGGGTCACTTTAGAGGTTTTAAGAGGACTTTGGAGCCTGAAGTGATCACTTTAGAGGTCTTAAGAGGACTTTAGAGCCTGAAGGGGTCATTTTAGAGGACTTTAGAGCCTGAAGTGACCACTTTAGAGGTCTTAAGAGGACTTTAGAGCCTGAAGGGGTCATTTTAGAGGACTTTAGAGCCTGAAGGAGTCCCTTTAGAGATCTTAAGAGGACTTTAGAAGACTCTAGAGCCTGAAGGGACCATATTAGAGGACTTTAGTGCCTGAAGTGACCACTTTAGAGGTCTTAAGAGGACTTTAGAGGGTTTTAAAGCCTGAAGAGGTCGCTTTAGAGGTCTTTAGAGCCTGAAGTGACCACTCTAGAGGTCTCAAGAGGACTTTAGAGGGTTTTAGAGCCTCAAGTGACTACTTTAGAGATCTTTGGAGGTCTTTAGAGGACTTTAGAGCCTGAAGTGACCACTTTAGAGGTTTTAAGAGAACATTAGAGGTCTTTAGAGCCTGAAGGGGTCACTCTAGAGGTTTTAAGAAGACTTTAGAGGTCTTCAGAGCCTGAAGGGGTCACTCTAGAGGTCTTGAGAGGACTTTAGAGAATTTTAGAGCCTCAAGTGACAGTTTTAGAAAACTTAAGAGCCTGAAGGGACCACTTTAGAGGTTTAAAGAGGACTTTAGAGAACTTCAGAGTTTGAAGGGGTTACTTTAGATGTCTTAAGAGGACTTTAGAGGACTTTAGAGCCTGTAAGGGTCATTTTAGAGGTTTTAAGAGGACTTTAGAGCCTGAAGGGGTCACTTAAGAGGTCCTTTCAGACGGCAGTCCACGAAATCGGCCACTTACTCGGATTGGAACATTCTGTCGACACTCGAGCTGTGATGTTCGCCGCGCAACGTCCTTTCAACCCGACTTTCCAACTAGGTTTTTCTTTTCAAAAAATTGATCATCCATCAATTTTTCAGCCGATGACGACGTCAGAGCGGTTAGGACGCTGTTCCCGGTGAAAGAAATGGCGGAGGTGGAGAAAATTCCGGAGAAAATCGACGGAGAGCAAGTTGTGGAGAATCTGAAAGATTCTAAAGACGTGAAAGATTCTGAAAAAGTCAACCGAGAAACTGTTGAAGCTTTTTCTACCGATCTAAAGGAGCAAAATGAGAGTAAAGGCATGAAAGACGAAGAAAAGCCTGTTAGAGGTGTGAAAGCAGCTCCGAAAAAGCTCAGCCAAGGTCCTTCCCTAGTTGGTCCAGCTCAGGAGACTACTCCTCAACCTTCTGGAAGGTCAGAAGAAGCTCCACTTTCAGGAAGTCAAGCCAAACTTGGTCAAGAACCTGGTCCAACTCAGCCAACCAATCCAGAACAGACTGATGATGCTCCAAGACATGATCCAGTTCCAATAAAGTCTACCCAAGATTCTTCTTTTTCTGGACCACCTGAGCCAAGCCAAAATGTCACCCTGAAGCTCGAAGGAAGCGCAGAATCTGCAGTTCAGACCAAGAGAAAGAAGCCTATATTGGTCTTCTCATCTGAATCCGAAGAGTCCGATGAGCCTTTTGATGGCGTCGGAGCGACTTCTTCACCTTCCCCACCAGAAGCGACATCGACGTCCTCGCCTTCTGAAGCCGATTCAGTTTCAAGAGGGTCCACGACGCCTTCTACTTCATCTTCTGAAGCCGTAAACTTCGACGACGACAATGACTTGGGGTTTCGGCATCGTCCCCACGTGATGAAGTTCTACAGCAGCGACGCCTGGTTCTTCCCGTTTCCCCTGCCTCCGCTCAGCCAGTTTCAAGAGCGCAGCGAGCGTTTCAACTTGTAGTTTTCATTGTTGTTTTACTGATTTGTGACGTCATTAGTATGACTCGATGACGTCATACTAAATTCCTTCGTCGTCAGCTCCACCTAGGCTCGTCTAACTGTGAAGGACTTATTATTATTAGCTTTTTTTTGCTTTTTTTGCCATTTTAAATATCGTTCGATGACGTCATCGTCCACTAATTTCTACAGGCTATTGTTATCTTCTAGTCTACAAAGGAGCCTAATGACGTCATTACCTTCCTCGATGACGTCATAAAATTTCGGAATCGTCAAATTGTCACCGTGTCAGTATCTTTGCCATTTCGCCGTCTTGGATATCGTTCCGTGACGTCATCGTCCACTAATTTCTACAAAAAAAGTGCCTAATGACGTCATTACCTACAACAATGACGTCATATATTTATCTGTGATCTCACTTGATTTCCCGATTTGTTATCATTATACTTGTATTTTTTTCTAGTCATTTTTTTATGAACTTTTTATAACCAACAAGAAAAAAATATTATAAATTTCATGTTTGGCTTGAAACAAAAGTTCAAGAGATCAGAAAATTTCCCCACGGTCAAGCTTTTCATAGAGAATTTCAACTTGCTCGTCGATTTCCCGTCGTTTTTGGGTCAGATCTTCTTGGAGGTAGTTCCTCCTGTCTACCAATGGGATCAGTTCTAGCCGGAGACGTTCTCGCTGGCTTCTCTGGAAAAAGTTTTTCGAGAAACTTTGAAATGATGATGCATTTCGAGTGGATTGAAGTTCTCAAAGAAGTCCCACCTTTTTTTGAATTTCCTCTCCAGAAGCTCCAGTATTCTGGAGCTCGAGTATATCTTCCCCTACACGTTCCAACTCGTTCTGTTTGTCTTTTATAGAAGTTTCAAGCTCGAATATTTCCTCTTTGATCGGTTCGAGCTCTTCTTCTCGCCTCACTCGAAATTGCGATACTTTTTCGCGGAGTTCCTCTGAAAAATCGGAACAAATCCAATGTATCCGGCCAAAAACTCACGACAAATGTGCTCTCTGGAGAGTTGGATCTCCATATGTCTGATCCGTTTCGACATCCTTTTGTAAATCATGTCGTAAATCGGTTGGAAACAGCAGGAAAACAATCGCGTCACCATTAGAGAGTGGGAAGAAGCTTATGTTTGAACTGTGGGCACTCGAGAAGAAGGGAACGCAGGCAAATTTCAGGTTCTATCGATTTTTGATGCTCTCTGTAACATAGCAAATGAGCTTTTTGAAGTTTATAGTGACCGTCCGAGCTGAAAAGGGACGTCAAAAGGGAAATTTCTCAATTTTGAACTTTTCGGTAGGTTTCGGGTACCTATCTGATTCAGAATTTGACGCTGATTTCAAATCTGTCCTTGGTTCATCTGAAAATCGATTTTTAAACTCATTGTGACCGTGAGGGCTGTTAATGTGACGTCTCTCAACCAGCTATTCCAATTTTTATCGCGTTCGATGGCTTAAGCGAGCCGTATATCAACTATAGTCTGCGCCAGGCTTGTGCGAGGGCCGGCCCGTCAACCTCTCGGCCGGCCCGGCCACTTCCCAAGCCCGGTCCGGCCCGGCCCTAGGGAGGCCTTAAGCAAAGATGGCCGGCCCGGCCCAAAAAACTCAAAACCAATTTTTTGCTTTTTTAACGAGAAAAGTAGTATTTTTGCTTATTTTTTCTCATAAAGCTATTAGAAACTATGATTCAACAAGTAAAAATAATTTTTCCGTGAAATTTTCTCAAAATTAAATTTAAGATTTCTTTCGAAGCCCGGCCTGGCCCGAGCCCAAGCCGGCTTTTTTTGAAATTGTGAGCCCAAAGCCCGGGCCAGGCCGGTCCGGGCCGGGCCGCCCGGCCTGGCGCACAAGCCTGGCCTGCGCAAGCAAAAGTTCGCAGAACGAAAATGCGCCCCACGGTCAATGCGGGAAAACCGAGATTTTGAATTTCCCCAGGCGGTCATTTTTTTTTCAAACTTTGAAGCTGTATATTGTTTTGGTAATCTCAAAGGCTTACGGATTGCTATAAAAAAATTACAAAGGTTAATAATCAATCTTAACTTTTAAAAAGAACATAGAATCCGTTTTTTTAATTTGTCAAAATTTAAGAACCCGCCTTTTTTTGTGAATTATATTTTTATCCTATCCCGTTTGAGCAGTTTTATTTGCATGATAAACTGGGTTTTTTTGCAGCTTTTTCCTGTTTCTTACTTTAGAGTTTTTTTATGTTTGTTACTTATTACTCCATAGGATGATGGATGAAGAGGAGAACTCGGAAAATCGCCGTTCCTCCAGAAGGGTAACATCCAGCTCGAAAAGTGCCAGGAAAAGTGCGCTGGAGGAGCTGCGAGAAGCACGACTCGCTGGGCGGAAGCATCGTCCCAATGTATTTTTGAAGTTTTCAGTATTTGAGAGGAACTTATATCTTCCAGTTGGAAGTCAAGGACGTCTATGAGGTTGTCGAAGAAGCAGAGTACCACAAAATCGTGGAAGGCCGTCAAAATGATGATTTTGTCGTCGACGATGGTTTTTTTCATCAATTATGATAAAACTCTGTATTTTGCAGACGGTGGCGGCTATGTCGACACAGGGGCCGATTTTGAGGATGACGATTATTACGACGATGGCGAAGGGGCCGAAGATAAACCCAAAAAGAAGAAAAAGGATAAAAAAGGTATATAACCGTTTTTTTGTTCTCAAAATCAATTTTTTGGTTTAGAGAAAAAAGGCGCTCTGGACAGTTTTTTCTCGGTGACAACGACGAAAACGAAAGGGGATGATCAGAAGGTTGGTCAATGGATTAATTTTGGAAATTGCGTTCTAGAACTTGTTAAAAATAAACTTTTAAATGAAAGGGTATGAAAATTCGTGAAAAGTTGGCATTTTTATTTCAGGAAGCTCTTGTAATTTTTGATTATCTGAATTTGTTTATTATCTAGAAACTGTAGGATCTTTTTGAAATTTAAATTTATAACCGTTTAAAAATATTTTTTTCGTTTTTTTGAAAAAGCTTTTAGTTGAATTTGAACATTAACTCATTGTAGAAAATCTTAATCCTTTGTTCAAAGTGTTGCGAAATTATCTCTGATTCTCCAGAATTTAGTTATCTTTTTCTTTCTCTGACGGCTATTTTGCATTTCGCGGAATCCCTTTGAACACGGAGTAAAACATTTTTTAGAGAAATTTGCAGAATAAAGTTAAATTTTGAAGATTCAACTCTTGATCTCACGTGTGATTTTTATGCTCAACTCAACTGGAAAAATCTTAGCGACCTTTATAGGGTTTTGACGTTTTAGTGGCCACTATAGAGGTCAATGGATCAACATAACTGGTCCAATCTGTTTGTTTTAAATTTATCAGAGTTACTGGAAGGAATACTGGATCGATAACTACTGAAGTGGCCACTAAATAGAGAGCCTCTATAGTGGCCCCTGAAACGGAAAATAGGGTCCACTATAGAGGTGGGTTTAGTGGTCACTCTAGTGTCCTCTCCAAGTACTTCTTGGCGAGCCTCTGTAGTGGCCACTAAAAATTTTCCCAGAAAGTTAAAAAGAATTTTTCCAGGCGAAGCTGAAACTAGACGACGATGAGGACCTTCAAAACATGCTCGCCGAGTTGGGAGAGTCGGGACCTTCGGATTTGGCGGCGGCCTTTGAAACTCCCAATTTCGAGGCTTCACCACCCCATTCTGAACAACCGATGAACCCCTTCAAACGGAAGAAAATCGGTTTCCACAAATTCAAAAAAAAATTTATAATAGAATCCTTAGAATCTTCGCCAGCGTCGAATGAAATCATCGGAAGGCCTCTGAAGAAGATCCGACGCGAGACTTTTGACCGCAATCACGGGCGAATCTCAACGCCAAAGCCTCCACCTCCAAGTGTAGACCAAATCAAAGAAAATGTAGGCAAGAAAAAGTTTTCAATCGAAAGTACTTACAGGGGAGGTTACTTTACTTTGGTCACAACTTTCTTCAATCTTCCTGAAAGTTTCTGAAGCTGCGTTTTTCTTCAGAGTGTTCAGAACGTCGTCAGAGTGTTCAAAAGAACAGCCATAACATCTCCAGATAGTTCCAGCAAGATTGAAATCCTTACAAGGAAGTTGTGACCAAAATCCCGTTTTTTCGTATCTTTTCTGACGGTACTTTAGTTTTTTGAGCTATTTATGGGATCAATTTCATTTTTTGAAGTACTGTATGTTATTCTCCAACTTTAGACCCCATCCATGGTCTCCAAACCTGAAAAAGAAGAAGAGGAATATGACGACTATGACTATGGCGTACCTATGGACGACGAAATGGACTGTGATTTTTTGCAAGAAACGAAGGTTGCAATGAAAGAAAGTGCCCCGGAAGAGAAAGAGAAGGTCCAGCAACAATATAGAAAAAAAAAAATGTAAGCTTACTTTAGGAAGTGAAGAAAGAAGTCGAGGCTGAGGAGACGGTCGTGAAGGATGTCCTCAGAAAAAATGCTCCCCTGACCCTCTCCGAGGAGCAATGGGACGTCGACCAGGATCAGGGGTTCCCAAAAAAAAGATTTCTGTTCTCAACTTTTCCTCTCCAGGACGGATGAGGCCCCATTGCCAGAGATGAAAATCGGCAACGAGGAGTTTTACACGGAGAAAGTCAGAGAGGATAAAACCGTGAAAGCCATTCGGATGTACTGGATCGACGCCTTCGAGGACACCCACAAGAGCAATGGTTTGTTTTTTGTAGAATCGTTCTGAACGAGAAAAGTTACAGTAATAGTTGAAAGAAATGGAAAACTTTGTGTTGGTTTCTTCGAAAAAAAAATTTCCAGTATTAAAACCTTTGTTTGCAGCGGTATCATAGTTCAAGAATAATTAAAAGTTTTAGTTTGGAAATGGAAATTGATTATCTCATCTTCTGTGATGGATTACTTCGTTTAAACACACGATGTTTGCCAGGTAAACATCGCAGATCCATAATTGAAATAACCTCGGTTCGGCCGCAAACTGAGGGGGGGGGGACTTGACAAAAAAAAAAATTTGTGTGGGACCTCTGCGAACTGAGATATTTCATTGAATGCACTATAAAAAAAGTTTTTTTATTCAAATCGAAAAAAATCATTGTGATTTTTCGGATTCAGCGTGGTTGATTTAGTCTAGAAACATGTAAAAAAATATAATTCATGTCACTTTTCAATTAATTTTTTTATTTTTCACGGGCAGGGGGACTTGGCTTTGGCTCCGAGGGGGGAACTTGGCTGACGCCAGGCTCACTCATTCCATGTATGCGCAGATCTAGTCCACACTTCTGGGTTAGGTAGTTCTAGCTATGAAAACTCAAAGATAAAAAGGAATATCGGCTGAGCGCCATATATTGCTGAGAAATATTCCGACGAAAATGTACAGCAGCAACTCAATAACTTTTTTTCCTTATGAGGCGGGGGGTTTGAAAAAAAGCTCCTTTTTTCGTGTTTCTCATAATTAAATGAACTTCTTCAGTTCTTTCGTACTACGAAATTGGGGAGCTAATCAGTTTTTTTGAACATTTTTCCGTACGTTTTCGACAAATTTTCGATATTTCTCACTATTCTGTGGCGCTTAGGAGATTATTCTTTTTATTTTTCGAGCACTCATACTTGGGCTATCTACCCTTAGGAATGAGGACTAGATCTGAAATTTCCACCTCAAAAAAATTGTCCTCTGATCAGTGAGCGTTTTTTTACCCCCCCCCCGTTGAAATTTTTGATAAAACTTCGCTGAAGTGAACTTTAAGACCTCCTGATTACAGAACAAGGGAAAAAAATTTCTCGCAATAAATCTCGTTTTTCGAGTTATGGGGTGAAAAAAACATTCTTTAGCGAGAAGTTTTTCATACAGATGTATAAAATTTAAAAATTTGTTCATCTCAAAACTTTTTTTAATTTTTCAGGGACAGTCTATCTGTTCGGACGAGTAAAAGTGGCGGGAGATCGCTGGGCGAGCTGTTGCCTCATCGCTAAGAATATTTACCGCCAAGTTTTCTTCCTTCCAAGGGCAAAGGTTCTTCATGAAGGAAACTTGAAAATAAACGAGATTTTTTTAGAAGCTGAGCGACCCAAACCAAGACGTTCTAGCCGATGAGGTCTTCTACGAGATCAAAAACGTGTTCGAGAAGCATTTCTCCACGAAAGCTTTGAAGTGTAGGGTCAGTAAGATCTTGTACAAACGAAATTATCTCTGACTCTCCAAATTTCAGCTATCTTTCTCACTTTCTCACGGTTGTTTTGAATTTCGAAACATTTTAACTCGTCATTTTGTATAGTCTGTTCAGATTTTGAATGTCAAGTAGAATGACGTCTTTCGAAAACGCTCTCTGATTGGTTTATCGCGTCATTAGGGGGCGGAGCTTGAGAGAGGGCATGACATTTAAAATCTGAACAGACTATATTCTCTTTTCAAGCATGCTGGAAAAGTCGGTCGGTCGGTTTGGAAAACTAGGCCACGCCGCATTTTCGCTCCATGGAACACTTAGAATTTCCAACTGTTTTCAAAGTAATTTCGGTGATTTCAAAATAGACTCGTTATTCGTTTAAAATGAATTCAGGAAATAGGCAGAATTGCTATTCCGAGAATGCGCAGAAAAAATGGGTCTTACAACGATATACTTTTTTACCGTAATTCCTTCGCGGGAACTCAAAATTTTGGAATTATTTGGGCACGTTCGAAGTGAGTGTTCTAGAAAACTGATAAAAAGAAAGGGAAAAAATCTGAAATTCGATTTTCCATGGAGCGAAATTGCGGCGCGGCCTAGTTTTCCAAACCGACCGACCGACTTTTCCAGCATGCCCTCTTTTCAAAATATACTCCTTGAAGTTGGTTTCAGACGGCCAAACGTAAGTTGATCAAAGACACGAGTTTTGGAGCGTCTGCTGGCGTGGAAACCGATCTGATGGAAGTTCAATACGAGGTTTTCCGAGGCATCTGTAATGTCAGAACAGTTAGGGAGAACAAAATTGACCATCTCAATGAGGAAATAAAAACAAAACGACTTGAAAGGAAGGTGAAAATTGGCCATAACATTCATAGATGTATAGTCAATGTTTCCCGACTTGAAAGGCGAACAAGGCGGGACAAGGGGCGGGACGCGTAGCGTGTGTGTTCGCGATTCTTGGCACGAGTCCAATTCAATTGCCGCCGACTCTTTAAAAAGCTCGGCAACCGCTCTTTTTCAATGTTTTCTATTATTTTTTGATGCGCACATGAACATAATCAATAAATAATTGAAAAAGGAATGAAAAGAGCGAAAAACGGGCTTTTCAAAGAGTCGCGGGCGATTTAATTGAACTCGTACCAAGAGCCGCGACCGCACACGCTACGCGTCCTGTTCTTCGCCCCGCCTCCCTCGCCTTTCAAGTCGGGAAACATTGACTATACCAGGAAAAAATCCTGAAAGTCTGGAGCTGAACAAGCTCTCAGTTTTCGAGGAGAGGGAGGTCAAAAATGTGTAAATTTAGACGTTTTTGGGTTATTTCTAGGAAACTAGAAAGTTTTGCGAGTTGAGACTATTAAAATGCAGGATTTTTCTGACCAGTTTTTAAGAAATTTCCAGTCTCTCTTGTTAGGAAAAATGAGAAAAATGTTCATAAAATCTCACTAGGGAACTTTTTTACCCCTCCCCGATTGAGCTTTTGCTGAAATTTTGCAAAATCTCGCAATAGATCTCGTTTTCGAGTTAGGACACTTCAAAAGCCCGAAATAGCGCTTTTTTGGCCTAATTTTCGTATTTTGCACACTTCGAAGCTCTATCACTCGAAAACAAAATCTATAGGTGAAAAAAGTTCCCTGGCCAGGTGAACTAGTTTTTGAAGGGATGATAAGCAAAAAATCGAAAATCTGCTCCCAGAGCCGTCACGGAAAACTGCCGGCGGATCTGAACGGAGAAACCTTCTCCCAAGTCTTCAACACGACCACTACTCCCATGGAACGCCTTCTGATGGAGCTGAAGTTCATGGGCCCCGGCTGGATCGAGTTCACGGATTTCGGTGAGAAAGAACGTTTTTTTCTTCATCCGCTTTTGTAGCGCGTCTTTGAAAGAGTTTGATCAAATAGTGTTCTCGCTTGTTTTTATTGAGATGTGCAGCTCCACAATCCCTAAAGTTCATTATATTTACTCGAGCACCGAGATCGTCCATGAACTTTTTTGAGCTTGAAGTGTTAAAAAACTTTTCTGACCGCCAAACGCTTAATTTATCATCCTAATTGTTCAGAGGTTCAACCCCACTAACTCTTTTATCTATCATTTTCATCTTTTCTCACTCTCATCAACTTTAAAAGTAGATTCTGGTCATTTTTTGGTCATTTATAGCCTCCAAATGCTTAAGTGATCTTTTGAGAGGTCCTAGGGTCAAACCCGTTAGTCGTTTTTTTGCTGTTTTCAGCTTCTTCCATGCCTTTTTGGCTTGGAATACGCGGATTTCGGTCGCTTTTTGGTCCCTTTTGGCCGGTAAACGCTTTTTAATTTGAAAACCACAAATTTTGGTCATTTTTGTCCCTTTTTGGCCGCTAAATGTCTAAATGATCTTTCCAGAGGTTCTAAGTTCCATCTTTTGCATCAAGATATATTAATTTAAAAGACAGGAGTTAGATAAAACCACTTGGGACTGCTTTAAACTATAACTTCATGAAACGGGACTTTTCTATTGTTTTTTAAAACTCCTGGGAGGTTTTGTGAATTCTTTGAAAACTGCGCTGAACTTCAGCCTTTTGCGCGCGAAAAATATCAGAAAATGTACTGAAAAAAAAAGTTATGCTACCCTGGATTTGCCTGTGTGAGTATATGACTCTTTATGGAATTTTTTTTACAGCCGAAATGACGGCCAAACAAACCTACTGCGAATACGAGTTCACGGTGGACATGGAACGAATGGAGAGGAAACCGGCGGTCGAATATATCGGAAGCTCTGGAAACTCGCTGATTCCGCCAGTTCGAACCCTGGCCATCAATGTCCTCACCACCTTGAACGACAAGAAAGAAAGCGAGGTCCACATTCGTTCTGTTCGTCGCGACTTGAAAGTTCTAGGGCCTCTCCTTAGGAATCGAGAGTGGTCCCTATAGTGGCCACCTTAGGGACGCTTGGAGGGTCCCCCTATACGGGCCACTGTAGCTTGCAAAAGTGGCTCCTTTAGTGGGTTTAGTTAGCGGTCCCTACAGAAGACATGCTAATCGATAATCTTTATGTACTCTGTGATATCCCATGATCAGAAATGCGGTCGCAACTTTTTGAGCCATTTCCTCCTACTGTAGTCGAATTACGGTAGGCAGGTGGGCACCTGCGTATCTCAGTATTGAAGAGTTTTCATTAGGCAAGTGGTATATCAATCGATAGGTAATCCACTTTCAGGAACTTATACAGTACATACCATCTTGGGTTATTGTAGGAATTTTCAAGTTAGTTTTTGTTTTTCGATTCTATGCCGACGGCCAGTGTGACCAAAAAACCGGCTTTGCAAAAACAAAAACTACAGTAACTTGAAAATTCCCACGGTAACCCAAGATGGTATGTACTGTAAAAGTTCCTGAAATCGGATTACCTATCGATTGATATATCACTTGACTAATAAAAGCTCTTCAATACTTAGATACGTAGGTGCCCACCTGCCTACCGTAACATGGCTACAGTAGGAGGAACAGACTCAAAAAGTTGCGACCGCACTTCTGATGATGGGTTATCACACTGGATTTTTTGACCCCTAACCACTCTAGGGACCACCCTGGAGTCTCCTCGTCTCTCGACGAGCCTGAAAATAGCAAGTCAACATGAGAGGCGCTAGGGGACGCAGAGAAGCCCTTTCAAGTCGCGAAAAATAAACTATAGAAAAAAGAATCTTCATCGTAGAGTCTGTTCAGATCTGCATGATTTCAATGCTGTACAACCGCAACTGCAACCTGGTTCACCCCAGCGCCGATGTCAAGCAATGGCAGAGGAAATGCCGTCAGAATCACTTCCTTTTCGAAAGAAATAACAATTTTCAGTCATCACCAAGCCGGTCAACGGTACCATGCCTTTCAACTTCAAATCCGTCTTGGAACAAAGACGGCTCGAGAAGATCATCTCCACGGCGCCCAACGAGAAAGCTCTCCTCACCCTGTTCCTGGCTAGAATCGCCGAGTTCGAGCCGGACGTCATCCTGGTGGGTCAGCGGAGAGAAGAGATATTTAGTCGTAGGGTCTCGAGAAATCGTCTGTAAGTTTTTCTATTTGTGAGGAGTACTGTATGTCAGCATTCTGAGCTCTGACAAGTAGTGAACCTAGAAATAAGGGGTTTTTCTTGATATTCTCGGTGCACCCCCGCGTTGGTCCTAGTTGGCGTGCACCCCGTAGGCAAATTTTCAAAGAAAATCCTTCTTTAAACGATTGTCACAGCTTAGCAGGGTCTAACTAATGAAAACTGTACTATTGAGAAATCAACCGTTTCGAAATCGCGTACGGAATAAGTGAATTTGAAGAAAAACGGGTTGCGCCGAAGATTCAACGCATGGTGCACCCATAAATGGGCGGAGACAGGACTCATTCAGCCTCGGAGGAGGGATTGGCTCACAAGAATTCAGAAAAAGTGTGTGAAAATTTCCTTTTCAACCTCAATGAGGCACTCTTGGTCACAATAATGCAAGTTTCAGCCTCAGGGAGGTAGTAACATACGTCGGCTGGATCTCATCCCGGGGTGCGGCCTACCCCCCGAAAAGCGCGGCCTTTAATTTAGGGAAATTTGGTAGGAGGGGTCGGCGGCCTGGACTGCCCATTTATGGGTGCACCGCGGCTTTTTTTAGAATCGGAATGCGGAATTTCCCCTACAGTACTCTTCGGGAATAGGAAACTTGCTCTTGTAGTAGAACTAAAAATTGAGCTTTGAAGTTCTGGGAAACAATTTTCTGGTTTTTTTATTTGCACCGTGATTAGGCTCCTAGAATGGAAGAACGAACATGTAGTGGCTGAGTAACTGAAGGACTTTCAGAATCCGTTTAAGATGAACACTGTTTTAACTGAATTTCAGGCTTATTCATTGATATACATAATTATTTCTTTTCTCTTTGTTTCTTCTTTTGAAACGAATTATTCTCACTCCTATATCACCTTAATTAACAGATTTAAGATCAAAAATCAAGAAAAGAACCCTCAAAAACAAATTCCGCTTTTTTTTCAGAGCCATGACCTCTCGGCTCTCATCACGCTGCTCGTGTCACGACTCGAAAAGTTGAAGATTGCGAACTGGTCGCGGATATCCAGGCTTAAAAGAATCCTCAATATTGGAAAAGTCGGACACAGCAAAGCGGCTCAATGGGAACTCACGGCTGGTCGGCTTCTCCTCGATTCGAGGCTCGTCTTTTGAAGCCTTTTTCTGAATTTTCTCGTCTCTAACATTGTATTTGACTACTGAGGAAGTGTTGAGCAGAGCTAGGGGGTTTTTTTATTTTAAAAACATGTAGTTTTCTTTTGAACCCTTCTTCTTCAGTTGTGCCCTCAGCAGGGTTGCTCGAAAGAGGTTTGCGAAAGAGTAATCGGATCGAAATTTCTGGAGGGTTTTTTTTTCAGCGTTGATGTGGAGGATAGTTGATCTAGGAGTGTTTGATTTACTTACTTTGATACTTTGATGGTCCATCTTCGCTGATGTTCTCAGCGTGGACCACACGTTCTCCAGGCGGCTCGGTCTTGCGCGACGGTCATCCAGTGGCGGCCTGGCTGACTGATGTTCTTGCGGAAGTAGTCCGTCCATCTGGTCGGTGGGCGCCCGAGTGGGCGCTTGATGTTTCTCGGAATCCAGTGTGTTAATCTCGTGGACCAGCGGTCGTCTTGTCTGCGGATGACGTGGCCGCTCCAACGATGTTTCCCGCGTTGTATGTGCTCTTCTAGATCCCGGATTTGGGACAGTTGACGGAGGTCTGTGCTCCTCTGTTCTTTTTCCACTGCTCAAAGCGAGTGGTGCCGATGAGAGCACGTTCCAGTGCGCGGTAGGAAGTTCGTAGGGCGGTTGCATTTTTCTTCGTGTCAGGCCAAACTTCGGTACCGTAGGAGATGGCAGGGATTATCGACGCTTCGAAGATGTGAGCTCGCAGTTTCGGGTCTTTCAGCTGACTGGTGACTTCTTTGATGGAGTTGAAGGCGGCCCATCCAGCGCGTTTGCGTCTGCCGATCTCTGCTTGCAGGTCGTTCACCATGTTTACTTCCCGGCCAAGGTAGATGTAGGATGTGACCTCCTGAAGGTCGCGGCCCTCAAGGGTGACTTTGCCTTGGTCGCAGAAGCGGTTCTTCATCCACTGCGTCTTCTTGACGTTCATCTTAAGGCCGATCTTCTTGCCGACTTCGTCCAGATCGTTCAGCATGGAGGACAGTTCGGTGGTGGAGCTTGAGAAGAGTACGATGTCGTCGGCGAAGCGGAGGTTTGTGAGGACCTTGCCGTCGATGTTGATGCCTCTGATGTCTGTACTGTCTTCCCAGTCGTGCTCTTCGTCCCATCCAAGTTGGCGCATCGCGTCTTCTAGTGCCGTGGAGAACAACTTGGGGGAGATGGTATCTCCCTGGCGAACACCTTTCCTGATGGGGATCGAAAGCTTCTTGTCGAACAGCTGGATGGTCGTGGACGTTCCCTCGTTGCTGTTGGCGATCAGCTCGACGTACTTCGTGGCGACTCCGGCGGAGGCAAGAGCATTCAAGACGGCGTTGATCTCCACGCTGTCGAAGGCCTTGTAGTAGTCGACGAAGGCCAACGCAAGTGGCATCTGGTGCTCCCGGTGCCGTTCCACCACCTGGGTCAAGGCGTGGATGTGGTCGAGGCAAGAGTAGTTGCGTCGGAAGCCAGCCTGCGAGGGCGGTTGGAAGTTGTCGAGTTGCTTCTCTAGTCTGTTGACGATGACCTTGGTGAACAACTTGTAGACGACCGATAAGAGGGAGATCGGTCTGAAGTTGTTCAGGTCGGTGAGGTCGCCCTTCTTCGGAATGAGGATCGTCTTGGATGTTTTTCCATTGTTCAGGAATAGAGGCTTCGCTCAGGTACTTGGAGAAGTGCCGGGCAAGTAGTCGGTACAGCGAGTCTCCTCCAGCCTTCAGCAGTTCGGATGAGATGTTGTCGGGTCCTGCGGCCGTTCCGACCTTCAGCTTCCTGATGGCGTACTTGACTTCTTCGGGAAGGATCGGGGGTTCATCTTCTGGTGGCGGCGTTGGTGTTCTGGGGACGGGAACGTCGCTTCGAAAGAGTTTCGTGTAGAAGTCGACCGTCAGGCGCTCCATCTCGTTCCTTGACGTCTTCAGCTGGCCGTTCTCGTCCTTCAGTGCTGTCATCACCGTTCGCTCGTCGACGAGCTCGAACTTCTTCTTCTTGAGGCTTTGACGTTTCTCAGCTGTCTGAAGAAGTGCACTCCTGCGTCGGTTGGCTAGAGACTCTTGCACGGCCATTCTGCAGGCTTTGTCGATCGTCAGACGTTCTAGGTGCGTGGCCTGCGGGTCTCGTTTGACTTCTCCTCTTCTTCGCAGCAGATCTTTCGCTCGTTGGTCGAGTCGCGGCGGTAGAGACGAGGTTGGTCGAGCTGCAGGTTCTGCACATCTGATGAGGCCATCGCAGAGGGATTCGTAGTCGGCTGTCGGGTCGTCGAGAAGCTGCCAGTCGTGCTCCGAGATCTTCTCCTCCAACGTGGTGATGTCGTAGGTTGGTCTTCTCGGTCTCGATGGCTGGTGGTAGTCTTTCTTCAGGAACTTCTGGTTCAGACGGACCTTGGCGCGAACGAGTCGATGGTCGGATCCAACGTCGAAACTGGGTAGTACGGCAACGTCGAGGAGAGACCATTTCCGGTTGGCCAGAATGTGGTCGATCTCGTTGGTGGTGTCTCCGTTGGGCGATTTCCAGGTCCAGCGTCTCCGATCAGGCTTCTCGAAGAGAGAATTGCCGTGGTAGAGCCTTCTGGAGTCGAGAAGTTCGGCTAGGCGTTCTCCGTTGTCGTTCCGAATTCCGAGTCCGTGCTTCCCGTGACGAATCGAGGGAGTGGCGCACTTGCCCATCTTCGCGTTGAAGTCACCCAGAACGAAGATGTAGTACGCCTTCTCTCGTTGGATCGTTTCCTCGAGCTTCCGGTAGAAATCGTCAAGTTCCTTTTCCTTCTCTTCCCTTTTAGCCTTAGATTCGGCTTCTGGTGAGGTCGGCGAGTAGACGTTGATGATGGTGAGTCTTCCTCGTTTTCCTAGGTTGAGTCGGAGGATGCCGAGGCGGGCGTTGACGATTTCGTGCGAGTCGACGAGGTGTTGGACCGAGCGATTGACGAGGAAACCGACGCCGCCGACGTTCTTCCCAGGGACTTTGTGGCCGAGGATGAGAAGTTCACCGTTTGGCCAAGTCTTACAGCTGGTGTCTTGAGATTTTTGTTTCCTGGAGCGCCACTATGTCGATGAGTGCGTTTCGGTTTGCCGCGAGCAATTGCTCTTTTGCTGCATCGGAAGCGAGCGAGCGGCAGTTGAGGGTTCCGAAACGTAGACAGTCACCGTGGCGCGTCCGTAGTCCGTTTCTATGGTATCCTGTTGCTCCGAGATTTGATCGCCCCTCGTCGGCAGAGGCAGCCCCCGATACCGGAGAGGCGCGTGACCGACGGGCGGAGGACTGGGGCCGTCTTGTTGAACGTGTTTTAGCTTTTTTGTGGTCTGGTTATCCTCGTTGCCTTGCCAGGGCTAGGAGGACCGCCCATTCTATTAGCATAAAGCAAGGCGAACTGCGTGACCGGTGTACCGTTAGCCGCCATTTATGACGTTGCCGCCATAAATGGTCGTTGATCCCCATCACCGCGGAGAGGTGGTACATGAAGGAGCGTTTGATTTGTAGATTTAAATTTAACTAACATCGTTTGAAAAATCCAAAAAAGCAGTTTGTCTTGCTTAAAGTTGTAGAGGAAGTTTATTCGTGAGCAAGAACTAAAAAGAACAAAAATTTAATTTATACGTAGCCACTTCAAAGCTGGGTTGAATTATGGAAAAAATGATCCTGACGCGAAAAAAGAAGAGACAGTACCGAATTGGTGGAGAGCGCAGACATTGCTCTGTCTCTTAGTCTCTCAAGCTAGCCGTGAATCGGCTTAAGGCAAGGACCGATCCGGAAGACTCTGGAATGTTCCTTAAGAAATGGAGAGTTTTGAAAGTATATGGCGAAAAATGGAACATTATAGAGGCTTGAAGATCTTTCCCGAAGGTTATAGAGTATTCTGGAAAATTTAGGAATATTTTAGAAAGATGTGGAAATTTCTAGGAGCTATACAGTGAATCACCATGATATAACACCGTAAAAGTCTAAAAAACATGGTCGGAAATGGTCGAAAAAGGCTTCACAGAAATGTTCTATTTAGGGTGATGAAGGCTCTTTTTTTTGCTGCCTTTTTGCTCCATTTTCTCAGCCCTTATGCACCATTTCTGCTGTTTCTTGCTTATTCCACCATTTACTGAGCCTTTAAAATCCCAGAAAAAATGGAAGGTTCGATCGATAATGGGGCTCTTTTTGCTGCCTTTTTGCGACCTTTTTTGAGCCTCTCCCTTTTAGCGGCCATTACCAACCATTTTACATTTACCCAGAAATTCTAGAAGAAGCTGAGCGTGATCTTCCAACAATTCCCACTTGCAAGGTTCAGATTGGCCGCGATGGAATTGGTGAAGGCCAGAAGCTACGACCTGACGGAACTTTCCGCACAGTTGCTCTCCAAACAGCGGAAAGAAGTCGAAGACGTCGCCAGCTGCTACACGTTTGGATGCAATGGAAAAAGCAAGGAAAAGGGATAATTTAAGCTCGTTGGAGCGACTATTCCAACTGATCGACGTCTCCTGGCTCGACTCACTGCTCGCCCTCCAAGTGATCGTCCAGCTCAACGCCCTGCCCCTCTTCATGCAAATCACCAACATCGTTGGCGGCGTCGCGGTTTGGTTAACAATGTTTTTGGAAGGGGAAATGATTTATTATCCCCCTCCCCTTAACTGCGGCCCACCCCCCCCGTGTGTGGCTGGGGCGGGTTTGACCTGCACAATTTTTTTAGTTCTTGAGAAAGGGCACCTCAAAGTTCCTACGTTGGCTGGATCCTATTCCGGGGTGCGGCCTATCCCCCCCCCCCCTTGTTGCGTGCTTATTTCAGTATATTTTTCAAATTTTTGACTGGGATGGGATCTTGTCGCTGTACGTCAAAGTTGCGAAAACCTCTGAAACCCATTCAATTAGGCTTCTTTAGGCTTCGAGCCCTTATCTCTCCAAAACTGAGAGGTTGAGCAAGTTGGGAATTTCAGAATGCTCTTTTGGTACGTCAAGGTGTAATCTGGTCAAATTTGAGGGATTTCCCTGCCGCTATGACCTTCCTTGTTTGAAAAAAGAGAAAAAAATAGCGAATAGAATGAAGGAAATCTAACAAAAATTAACTGTTTCCCACTTCTCATATCAATTTTTATTAGTCTCGAACCATGATGGGCGGTAGAGCGGAACGCAACGAGTATCTCCTTCTTCACGCTTTCCATCGTGACACTCTGATAGCCCCCGACAAGGCGCAGTTCGGAAAGAAGGGTTTATTTTGGAATATATGAACCCCTGATCAAATTCCGACTGTTAGGGGGTGCTGGAAAGACCCTGAACGAGACGATGATTGAAGGCGAACAAGAAGAGGAGACCGGCGGCAAAACCAAGGGAAAGGCCCAGTACTCTGGTGGCCTTGTCTTGGAGCCAATCAAAGGTTTGGTCGGAAAAATAAAAGTATCAAAGCGAGTTTCCTAGGTCTCTATGAAACGCTCATCTTGTTGCTGGATTTCAACTCCCTCTATCCCAGCATCATCCAGGAGTACAACCTCTGCTTCACGACCGTCCCCCATAAAAAGGTTTGTTAAGAGATTGAACTTGGAGCCAATGAACCTAGTCACTTTTTCAGAGTTTTTGTAATGATAACAGTTTTTAAGTACAATTATTCCTAACCTTTCCAGTGAGTTAATTCTATAGCCCATTCCGCGCAAACTTGTCACGATTTAAGAGCTACAGAACCCTTTCGGGAAGCTTCCTTTCAATGTGCACGGCCTGTTTCTGTGTATGCGCCTTTAATAGAACGGATATTTTTTTTAGCGTTTTTTTCCGTAAAGTGTAGTGTGTAGTGTGCATGCACCGTGGCGCTTTCGCACACGCCGTGAAATTTAAAATTATCTCTGAGTCTCCGAAATTTAGTTATATTTTTCACTTTCTGACGGCTATTTTGAATTTCGCGGAATCACTTTGAGCACGGCAACAGAAAAGCTGTCTTTTTTCAATGGGTGATTGTTTCGTCTCATGACCCATTGAGCATGCGCCTTTAATATTCCCTGTCGCCCATGACGTCACACGAAGTTTTGGCTCCGCCCCCTTCATTTTTGATTTCGTTTTTTCTAACAATAACAAAAACCCCGTGCATTAAAAGTATTACGGGGATGTTGGATCAAATAAAAACGTATAGAAGGGTTCTGTAGCTCGGGAGAAAATGAAAATCGGGAAAACTTGGGTCAGAATGGACTATAATAATGCGCTCAACTGCATGAAAGATTTTAGCCTAGATTCTCTTGAAATTTTTATGGTTCAAATTCCCGCGCTCCAAAGGCATTTTCCATTTTAAAAATCAAAGCAGGGATAATTTTGATTAATAAAAATCAGGAAGCTCAAAGTTTCTTTTTTGGCTCGGTTTATCGCAAAGAAAACTGAACTCCTCCCCCTAGCTCTTCATGGTTGGTACTTTCAGGACGGTGACGAAGTTCCCGATGTTCCGGACCCTTCCCTGAAAGAAGGTGTCCTCCCGAGAGAGATTCGGAAACTCGTGGAATGCCGTCGAGATGTCAAATCTCTGATGAGATACCAAAAGAACGAGGCCGAGAAACGGCAGCTGGACATCCGCCAAATGGCTCTGAAGTTGACGGCGAACAGTATGTACGGCTGCCTTGGGTTCCAGTACTCGAGGTTCTACGCGAAACCCATTGCGGCTTTGGTCACTTCTAAAGGACGAGAGGTACTGTTTTGAAAGTGAAGGATCCTATAGTCTGTGTGCCACGACTTGAAATTTCACCGAACGACGTTCCGCTGTTCCGCTGCGTGCGGTCGCGAAGCGTTTTTCGAATCTAGGTCACGCCTTCAATTGATTTTTATTGCTGTGGGGCACATGAAAGTAGAGTACCTTAATGAATCAATAAATAAATAAAAAGGGCGACCAAGGTTCGCAGCGGCACAGCGGAGTGTCGTTTGGTGAAATTCCAGAAGAAATAAATAGGCCGCAAAAAACCCCCCATCATTATAGAAAGCTAAAAAGCGGAAAACTTACAGATTCTGATGCATTCGAAAGAGTTGGTGGAAAAGATTGGCTACACGGTCATCTACGGTGATACCGACTCCATAATGATCAACACCAACTCCCTGGACCTTGCCCAAGCGAAAAAGCTCGGCTTCGAAGTCCTCCTCATCCAATATATCCCCATTTCCGAGCTCTTCCTTTCAGATCAAGAAGCAGGTGAACAAGTGTCATCGCCTTCTGGAACTCGAACTCGATGGCGTCTTCAAGAGGCTTCTCCTCCTGAAAAAGAAGAAATATGCGGCGTTGACCCTCAACTTGGACACGAACGAGGAGAAGAAGGAGCTGAAGGGGCTGGACATTGTCCGCAGAGATTGGTCCCAACTCGCCAAGGATATTGGAAGGTTTGTAATTTGGGAGGGGGGATTTTGTGCTCTTTCTAACTTTGGGAGAAGTTCAAGAATCCCCACACACCATCTAACAAGGCCCCATCAAGCCAAGTTCCGATCTGGGGGAAAAAATAGGAGGACTTCATGTGAGGGAGGGGGTGGGGGGGTAAAATCAGAGGACTTCATGTTAGGGGGGGTGAGAATTTGTATTTCATAATGCCCCCCGCAGTACAAAAACAGGAGCCGATCCTTAGCAATTTTTCAAATCCCCCCTCCTACTTTGAAATAGCGCCCGCAGAGCTCATCCGAACAAGTCCTCTCTCATTTCAGAATAATCCCTTTCCCATTTCTTTAACGTAGGGGGGGTGCTTCGATTGTCAAGTCCAATGACGTCACTTGAAAAACTGTGGATGCATCGCTCTCTCAGATTGGTTGACATTTAGGGGCGGAGCTTGAGCAGCGACCAAACTCAAAATCTGAACAGACTTGAATTATAAAATAGAGAAAGTTTCAGTTTACGATATTTTCCTTTTAGCTCTGTCGTCGACCGGATCCTCGACGCGAACCTTTCGAGGGACCAGCTCGTCGCCTCGATCAACGAACTTTTAAAGAACATTCGCGCCCAACTCGACGCCGGCGCCGTCCCCATTGAACTCTTCCAAATCTCCAAGGTTTCGTCGAGAAATGGGCTTCTAGCTTTGCAACAAAATTGATCCGAAGAAAAAAATTAGAAAAGTGTACTTGCAACCTTTTGTATAGTCCGTCCGCCGCGACTTGACAGTTTTCGAGTGTCTGCGTTTCTCTGTTCCCTCACCGGCGAAGCCACAGAAACATGGAAATAGTGCGTCAACATTAGAGAGACGTCGAGAGACGAGGAGGGCGCAGAGAAGTCGCGAAAACGGACTATTTGAGGAACACTTGTTTTGAATCATGTTCCGTTTCTCCTAAAAGAAAGAAACGTCGGCCCCTTTATAGCAACTGACGAGGAACCCGAGGGAGTACGCGGACCTCAAGTCGCAGCCCCATGCCTCGACCGCCGCCCGTCTCAATGAAAGCGGCAAATTCTCCTTCCGACATGGCGACATCATCGAATACGTTATTTGCGAAGTATGCACTTTCAGAAGGATATAAGGAAATTGTCTGTATAGGATGGGAGCACAAATGCGGCCACTCAGAGGGCCTACCACAGGTCGGAGATTGAAGGAAGCGCCACCTTGAAAATTGGTGAGAACTTGGGAATTTCCAATTTTGTCAAAGGGAAAGTATTCGTTGGGCAGATTTCTTTATATTGGCGTCAAAAAATCCCAAAAGCGCTGGCTACCGTCCGGTTTGCACTGCGCCGTCACTTCTGGAGAGAGATAAAAATTTAGATTATTTTTTTGCGCTTGATATTAATAGAAAAAGGAGAGAATAATAATAAGCAAAGGTCAAAAAATCCGAAAATTTGCGCAGAAGCGGCCAATTGTTTTCTATTTTTTCAACTTGAGTTTTTGTTTCATTAGTAAAGCGTATTTCATTACTACACACTTTGAGCAGGCCCGAAGGATTGTGTGTTTTCAAAATTTATGTGTCCAGTTCGCGCGAAATTTCAAACCCACAGAAGTCTCATTTCATGCAGTTAGAAGATGAAAAGAAACGCATGTTGAAAAAATGGAAAAGTTTCAAATTTTTGAATCTGCGCGGTTTTCCTTCTGTGGCTGCGAAATTTCAGAGGAAGAGTTTGTACCCTTTCTAAGAAAAGTTTAGGGGAGAGGTGAATGTGGTCCCTTGTAGGGGCCTACCCCGGGGTCCGGAAAATCTTGTTTAGATCCTCCTATAGGTGCTGAATTAAAAGGGACCCCTGTAGGGGTAGGATCAAGTTTTTACGGGAAGTCGCTTACTTATATTCATCCCTTACGCTTGCAAAAAATGCCCGTCACACAAATCATTTTTAATTTATCCCGACAGGGGTCCTAGGGGTTCAAGGAAAGCTATGGTACCCCTGAAATTTTCTCCCCACGAGTACCCCGAAGTTGCCAAGTTCCTATCGGGTCCCCTTACACTTTTCTCAGTTAACTTGTCTATTGCCAACAGATCACCATTACTACCTCGCCCAACAAATTCACCCGGTCGTCTCGCGTCTCTGCGCCCCCCTTGAAGAGATCGACGCCGTTCGGATCGCCGAAGCTCTAGGTGATTATTGCTATTTTCCACCTGTCCAAAGTTTTGGCTCAGGAATGGACTCGAGCAATTATCGACGTGCGGCGGCTGCACACGCCGTAGCTGCGGCCGAAAACGAGGACGACGCCGTTTGGACTCCTGAGGTCTTCAGAATCCTTAAATGATCGGAGAAATGTATTCTTGCAGTTGGCCTATGATACGTGTGACCCTCTGATCATAACTTGTGGGGCAGACGGCTGCGGTCTGACGGCCGAGATGAGGAAATGTCTCGTTCTTGAGGTAAAATATAGAGAGTTGTTCCATTTGAATCAATCAATATCGATCGATAACACATTTTGTTGTTTTGTGGCCGATTCACGGCATGACCTGTCTACGCTCTTCTAAGACCACACACTGTTTTTCCTTTTTTATCGTGTCAGGACCCTTTTTGATGACCCGGGCCAGTCGTGAACCAGATACAGTCATATATTCAGCTCGCCTTTAAGTTATCCCTATAGGGGCTTAGGGGTCAGGTTAAACCCTAAACCCTTATAGGGGCCCCTAAAACAACAAACTCCTATAGGGACCCCTCAGAACTTCCTCAGTACGGTTTATGAATTATTTTTCGTGGGGGAGTTAGACCCTAAACCCCTATAGAGGCCCTATTTTGCCCCCTATACGGGTCCCTAAAACAACAAACTCCTATAGGGACCCCTCAGAAACTCCTCAGTACGGTTTATGAAATATTTTCAAGACAAGATAGTTATTCTGTCAATTTGGTGATGTCATTGGAAAGGTACGTTTCAAAAAACGCTCAAAATGATGGGTCCACTTGATTGTTTTACTTTGCAAGTTATAACGAAAAACTGCACTTAGCAAGCTTGAACTTGATCAAGTTGGAAGCATGGTCTTACAGCTGATTCAAAGCTTAGGCTTGAGTTATCAAAAAAAAAAAAGGTCTTGACACGATAATGCACCAGACCACGCCCCCTCTGTGTCCCGAACTAGCCGTGATTTATAGCTGATTCACGGCTGGCTTGAACCATCGACAAAAGGGTCCTGCCACGAAAAGAGACGAGACAGTGCCCTGGTTAGTGGAGAGCGCAGACAAGCCACGCCTCCTAGCGTCCCAAGTTAGCCGTGAATCGGCTATAGCTATACGGCCCTCTTCTACGCGTAGTTCATACAGTCTTGACGAGCTTAGTATGTAGCTGATGTTGTGGCTGAACCCCCGAGGTCGTGCTCTAGGTGGAAGAATTGGAATGAGAGCAGCCACTGAGTCAAGACTTTTTTTTTGGTTCTGGAACACTTTTCCAATGAGGCTTCTACAGTATCGTCTCATATAAACTACTTCAGAGAGACAAGCTTGAAACTAGCCAAAGAACGTTTTTTAGGCCAAAAAAGCGCTGTTTCGGGTTTTTGAAGTGTCCTAACTAGAAAACGAGAATTTTTTTTTGGGGGGGAGTAAAAAACGTTCCCTAAAAAGTTTGGTGCTTCTTGAGTTAGCCTTTCCTGCATTAATATCTATTTTTATGTGTCATTCATTTATCATCAATCTGCTTCCGTCAGGCGGGAGACGTGAAGCCGAGAACCATCCCGACGTCGTGCTCAAGCTGCGGGAATGGAATTCCAGACGGCAAGCTTTTGAACGACCTCCGCTTGCAATTGAAGGCCTACGTCGACCGACACGTCACTTCCGCCTTCAAGTTAGAATCCCCGAGATTTGAGAGAAATCCAAAGAGTCTCCAGATGCGACGAGCCGATGTGCGAGTACAAGACGAATATCGTGTCTTTTCGCTGGAACCGCGAAGGAATGGAGTGTCCCAAGTGTTCGGGCGGTATCTTGCGCAAAGAGGCATGTTTTGGCAGAGTTTTGGGGAATTATTGCGAATATTCAGCTTGAACTTTGCGATGAAAGTTTGAAAAAAAAATACAAAGATTCGCGATAATCATACATGGGCAGACCATTATCAGAAACCACAGATCCCTCCTACCAAGTTTTCATTAATTAAAGTCGATTTTGCCTCCCTGAGAGGGGCGGGGGGAAGCACGTTTCTAGCTATGACGAAAATTAGTTCAGTACTTTTCAAAAACGTATTCTAGTTGATTATTTATTTCAGTGCTCCCTAAGATTCAAACAATGTGAAAATTCAGTCGGATCAGGGTTCTGGAAAACTGAGAAAACCCTCGGAAGTTTCTTTCAAAAAAAGATTTTCTAATGACTTTTAACCGATATTTTTCACTTTGGATCAGGCCTTAAACTTGGACGAAAAGGAAAAAAAAAATTCTCAAAGGCTCCTTTAAAAAAAAAAAGATCTATTAAGGGTCCCCAAGAAATCTTTTATGCAATGCTTGATGAAAAGATGCTAGAAAAACAAATTTTTTCAGCAGAGCTTTTCAGATTTTTAAAGGTCCTTAAAAAAAAATAGTGGCCTCCACAGGATTTTGACGGTTTAGTGGCCACTATAGTAGTCAAATTAGTGGCCACTTTAGGGGTTAAAAATTACTATAGAGTTCTAACTGGTACTACTAGATGACTAAAACTACTAAAGTTGCCACTATAGAGGTGGTTTGAGATCTAATCAACCATCGATTTTGCAATTTGAAAAAAAATGTAACTACTCATTTCAGTACACCTGCAAGCAACTCTACGAACAGCAAATGTTCTTCCGTTCCATCGTCGACTTTAAAAAGGCTGAGGCGGCCTTGACGAACGACCAACGAAGTTCGTTCTCTCCGGAAACCTAACTTGTCTCCCTTTTTCAGAAGAACTGCAATCGAACAAAAATGACTACATGTCCGTCTGGCAAACGTATCATCAGATGCTGGAAGTGGTCGACGAGTTCTTGGTCAACAACTCTTTCAATCGTGTCGATTTGGCTTCCATTTTTGCTCCCATGTGTCGCTTGAAATGAACAATCTCTTATTTTTCACATTTTTCATAACTTTTCTAATCTGACTAATCTTCTCATTAATATAACATCGCGGATGCCTTTTTTTATTCCCACCGGGTTATTTTCATTTCGATATGCTTTGTACCATGTGCTCTTCACTTAACGCGTAACATTTCAACTTGAAATAAATTTGTCAACAGGCTTTTTTTCATTTTGAGGTGATCTTGTTGAAAAATGCAATCATATTTTTACTGAAAATGAAGAAAGATTGGTTCTTTTTGAGACCTTATTCATCAATTTGCCTTTTTTTCATTTCAATGGCAGTTTAAGTGAAGAGTAACGTTGTATTTGAGTTATTCTTTTTGGATTTTGATTTTTAAAAGCTTCTCTGTGCACAAGATTGCTTTATGAGAAGCTGATTGTAAAGAAAAAAATATTTAATTAAAAAAAACTGGGATCTTTTGGAAAAAGCGACTATTTTTTTCAGCGAACAGTATATCTTTTTTTCCGTCATTGACCGCATCAGTGTAAGATTGAGCTAAACAAATTGCGAAAAATCGAAAATTGAAAAATCACATTGTTTCCTAGAGCGGTGGTAGCCATAGGAACATGCTGAAAAAAATAAACAAGAAAACTGTCTTGGATTAAATTATTTTTTTAATTAAATTTATCCATACCTCAGAGATTTAAAAAGAAAAATAGAATTTCCCTTGGATTTAAGAAAAGTTTACTGCAGTTGGAGCACTAAAAAATGGTTCTTAATTCGAGGAAAATATAATGTAAAAATTTCTATATAATCATTATTTTGAAAATAATGGTTTTTCCCGTCACCTTGAATTGCAATTGATAAGGAATATTATCACAAACTATGACTCTTGCTGTTTGCACGTCATATAAAATTCCAATATGCCGCCAACTTTTCCGAATCTCTCGAATTTCAAAAATTCTGTATTTTTACGTGCAGCGCCGTTTGCAAAATTGCGGAAAGTTGAAAATTGCGAAACTTTCATTTTTCTAAGCTTTTTGCTTCAACAAAAGTGATTTTTTTGAAAAAGAAAAGTTTTCTTCAGCTAATCCAATATACTAACATGGCGGACGATAACGACGATACAGAAGGTTTCCGTGGCGGACAAGCGAACAAAAAAGTTTTTGATGTCAATGTGAAATTGTTGAGCTTTTGTGTTTCAGTACACCTTTTTCGTTATCGATGGTTCTGAATCCATGTTTGACGGCGGCAACGACTGCGATTTTCGGAAGGCTGTTGATGTTCGCTTTTAAAATATTGAATTAATCTTGAAAGGCTTTCCAAATTCATTGAAAAAAAGAAGTGGTTCATTTCAATTTTTGTTTTTTGGAAAAAGGTGGATAATCTTTTTATCTCCTAATGTCATTATTCACAAGTTTTCAAGAAGACGGAGCTTTTGGTCTTTTAAAATCATTTTTGGGTTTTATTTACTTTTGTTTTACTCCTTTCGAACATCTTTTTACTCTCTTAAAAATCCTGTTCAACAAGAAGCTTTGAAAAACTTTAGGAAAGTTTTTATTCTCTTATTTTTTCAATAAAATACTTGTCAATTCATCTAGAAATTTCTCATGTTTTGATTCGACTTTTCATTGTTTTTAGTTGGTTTTTCCGCGAACTTCTCAACGTCTGTTGCTTGCGATCGCTGAACAATCACGTCGGAGTCGTCGTTACTAACACGGTTTTCATTGATTCCTTCCTGTTATGCCCGAAAATGGCCCGTTGGGGGAGAGGATTTATTAGTGGGAAGAAATGGGACAAAAGAGCTTCATTATAACAGTAAAAAAAAGGTTTATATAGTTCTTTAAGGTTATGGAATGTTCCAGAATGAAGGTGAAGCTTAGATCAGATTGAAAAATAAGCCAATCTTGAGTTTTAGATTTTCCGTGAAGGTTATAGAACACACAAGGATTATTTGAAACCTTTTAGAAGAATATATGATAATTCGAGCTTTCTAGAACGAACTGAAATCATTACGAATGATCCCTATGACGCAATAAGAAAAAAAAATGTACAGAACATAGGAAAATATTCTAGAATCAGCTCTAAAAAAGCTTTAAGCCTCAAAAATTCCTTCCATTTCAGAAGAAAACCACGGACAAAGCCGCCGAGAACAGCGTCGTTTTATTGCCGATCGGCGTCCCTTCGCAAGACGAAGTCAATGAAATCAAAGCCTTGCTTGACGATGGTGCATTTTTTGACAGCTTCATCCGGGTTACGGAACCCTTCCGGGAAGCTTCCAGTAAAAAGTCGCAGCCTTTTTCTGTGCATGCGCCTTTAATAAAAGCGTGTGACCTGCTTTATATATGCGCCTTTAGAAAAACAGAAAGTTCAGGCTTAATTAAAGGCGCATGCCCTTGTGCATTGAAAGAAAGCTTTTTTTCTGTGCATGCGCCTTTAATAAAAGCGTGTGGAATGCTTTATATATGCGCCTTTAATAACACAGAAATTTCAGGCTCAATTAAAGGCGCATGTTCTTGTGCATTGAAAGAAAGCTTTTTTCTGTGCATGCGCCTTTAATAAAGGCGTGTGGAATGCTTTTTATATGCGCCTTCAATAAAACTGAAATTTCAGGCTATATTAAAGGCGCATGCCCTTGTGCAATGAAAGAAAGCTTCCCGGAAGGATTCTGTAGAGATAAAAATCATAAAAACCTGGCTCAAAATGGATACTTAACAAATTGGCGGGTTTTTTGAATTTGAATCAAACTGAGCAAAGAAATTTCATTTATTTTTATTATGATACACAGGCAAAGTCGGATGGGTGGAAAAAGGCGCCGTAGAAATGTTCCCTTTTGCTGCCTTTTTGCGCCCTTTTATCGGCCCTTATGCACCATTTTTCCTGCCTCTCCTTTTTTTCCACCATTTCTTGAGATTTTAAAACCGAAGAAAAAATAAAAGGTTCGATAAGGGACTCTTTTTGCGGCCTCTATGCAGCCTTTTTTAAGCCTTTTTCTTTTATTCCATTCCAACTTTGCCCGAGTATTTTCCTACATTTCTTCCGTAAATTTTAGTACCTGTGTGTGAAAAATGATACATTTGATAATGATCAATCCTTCTATCCATTTTTCAAAACATATCAAGCTTCAGAAAACATCAAAGACGCTTTCGAAAGCATTTCCGGTGGATTCTACAACTCGGATCTGGCTCAGATCCTCAATTACTGCAAGAGAGAGTTTGCAAGGTTTCATTTTTCGTTTCAGATGACTAATTAATGACCATTTGGTTCAGCTTTTCGAACACCCGCCATCAGTCAGTGTTCTACTTCACCAACGACCGACAGCCTTTTGGAAGCGGAGCATTGGAAGATTCCAACTATTTTGTAATTTAACTGAAAATTCCTGAAATTAATTAATTAATTCTTTTCCAGAAGAAAACTCTCTCCGCAGTGAAGAAAATCGTCGGGCGTGGACAGCGGAAAACTCTCGGAGAATTTTCGGTCGTTTTTTTCGGCGAGAAACCCGAAGAAGGCGAATTCCAGCCTGAGAAGGAGCCCTTGGTTCGGATTGGAGATATTGCCGATATCTGATTTATAAGCTTACAGTATCTCCTGGACACCGAGGTTTTCGATACCGACATAACTCCTGCCAAAAGGTGAATTATTGATTTTTCCAACTTTTTGAACGGAAAAATTGAAGAATCCGTCAAAAAACGACGGCTCTCCGCTCTCTGGCAAATATAGGCGTACACCTGGGGCCTGGAGTTTCGTTCGACGTTGGCGTGTGGGTTTTTCGGTTTCTTGTAGATTTGTGCTTGGCTTGGCTATCATGTACGAGAGTCGGAAAGGATGGAAAAAGGCTCTTTTTTTGCTGCATTTTTGCGCCATTTCATCGGCTCTTATGCACCATTTTTGCTGCCTCTTCCTTTCTCCACCATTCCTTGAGCCTTCAAAGTTCTAGAAAAAATGGAAGGCTCGATAAAGGTGCTTTTTTTGCTCCCTTTCTGCGTCTTTTTTCTGAGCCTCTCCCTTTTAGCGGCCATTATCCACCTTTTGCCCGAGAATGAGTTAGCCAGCGAAAAAAGCTGCTGTAAGTAGATTAACCATGCGAAATCAATCGGAAATTTCAGTTGATTATTTCGTCGATCCCATTTTCAGTTATATCCTAGCGGCTGAAGCGCCAGCCCTGCCGCATACAAAGAAATATTTGAAAAAGACGGAGCAACCGCTGCTCAAACGTGTAGGCTATGTCCCCGTTTCAGGGGAATCTTCAGCCGCGAAAACTGTTCGTTTCCTTCAAAAAATGCCCTCTCATCATGTTTATTAAAGGCAACTGTCGGAGGAGTTCAGAAAGAAATCAAAGAAGAAGTCGACGAAGACGACTTTGGCGCCACTTTTTTGGGACGAGGCGGTTTTTCTGGTGATTATTTGGAAAGAGATGTTGAAAACTTGAAACATTTGGAAGTATTCCAAGTTTTAGAATTTTACAAGATTTTCTTAGTAATGTTTATGGATTTTTTTTATCACTGAAGTTCGTCCTCACGGCTTTTTTTGGACGATACCCCTATTTTTTCCGTAAAGTGTAGTGTGTAGTGTGCATGCACTGCGGCGCTTTCGCACATGCCATGTTTAATGCAATTTCCGCGAAATCTCCTTTCACTCTCTGGCGGCCATTTTGAACTTCGCAGAATCACTTTCAACAAGAAAAATTGCGTTTGCTCAAAATGAGAAATCGAATCGTCACATGACCCATTGAACATGCGCCTTTAATGTTCCCTGTTGTTGACGCCCATGACGTCACTTAAAAACAGAGGATTTGGCCCCCCGCCCTTCTTTTTTGGTTTTGCTTTTTTTTTCCTCCACTAACGAAAACGCCGTGTCCTGTTAAGGATGAATTTTTTTAAAAAACCGAAAAATGTCAAGAAATGATGAAATAACAATGAGTTAAAGACCTTAATTTCCAGACAATTTTTCCCGAAATTTTTCTTTATCCACAATTATACTCCTTAACTTTGACCTATTCTTCCCAATTTTATAGATTGGAAATCGAAAAATGAACTGAAGAGAATGCTGGAAATCGGCGGAGAGAAGGTGATGATGTCCCAGAAACAGTACGACAGCATGGGCCGTTTTGGAGAGAAAGGTTTACTTTTTTTCAAGCTGGTCGCAATACACCGTCGTGTGTAAAGGACGTGTATGCAGACACCATTTCCGTGATACTAGTCGTCGATGAATTTTAACTACACGAATCATGTACACCCAAGGAAAAGAAAGCGCAAAAGGAAACGGTGTCTGCATACACGCGCTTGCACGCGACGGAAAATTGCGGACTTAGGGCTTTTGGAGCAGCCGGCGGCCTCGTCCTTTACTCCTTTCTATTCTATTATTTTCAGGAATAACCCTACTTGGCTTCCGACCAATCGATTCTATCGATGTCGAGCTCTGCGTGGCCGCCCCTAAATTCCTGAGACCAAATGAAGAGGTCAATCCTTTCAAACGCGTTCAGGAACGCCAGAGTGGTCACTAGAAGGTTAAGGAATAAAAGCAGTCACTATAGGGGGCCAGATAGAGCTCCCTAGAGGGGAAAACTTCAGGAAGTTATTTCCTAAAGCGCAAGTGGTCCCTATAGTGGTCTCCATTTTTTTTTTTGTTAAGAATTTGTAGAGGAAACAAGATATGAGGGACCGCTAACAGGCTCCCCTAGAGTGGCCACTTGTGCAAGCTTAAGTAATCTCTACAGCGGGAGGTAAGGCAGTCTTAAGAGAGCGGCTTAAGGTTTTACCCTATAGGGGCCGCTCTGGTGTTCCTAAGGTCGGAAGTAGTTGATTGCGCACCATTCAAACTTCAATTTAGTCGACTCTTGGAAGTACCCGGCTCTACCGAGCATTGCTGGACAGATGCCACGAACGACAGCAAGCCATGATCTGCCGATATCAGAGCCGATCCAATGAACGACTTCGATTGGTCGCCTTGATCCCTTGGAAGAACACGACACCAAAAGATGGCCCCGAATCGACGGTGTGCAGCTTTTTTTGTAATGAAATCGAAGCTTTGTAACACGAAATACTGAACTGCCCACGGGACGCCCCGGGCCGACCCGTCTCTCAAAAGTTGAAAATGAGTGAAAAAAGGCGTTATAGTCCGTTTTTCGCGACTTCTCTGCGCCCTACTTATCTCTCATTTTTACGTGCTATTTCCACGTTTATTTGACGGTGAGGGAACAGAGAGACGCAGACACGCGAAAACTGTCATGTCGCGCCGGCTTGTCACGATTTTTATTTTACTCTGATTTTTTGGGATAAGCGAAACCTGTTTCTCTGCATGCGTCTTTAAATTTCCGTTCTATTAAAGGAGCATGCATTAAAAATACAGCGAGGAAAACATGCCAAATATGTGAAAAAAGTCGTAAGGTTCAAATCTCCGGAAAGGCTTGATAAAATTTAACAGATTTTTAAAATTTAACAGAATTGAATAGATAAATGAGCTTTTCTACTGGGAGAAAGACTGTTGCAGAAAAAACTACCATTTTCAGATTTTTCTTTTTTTTGGGGAAATAGTGATTGCGTGAGAAAGAAGATTTTAGGTTTCAAAAAAAAAAAAAAAAGAAACTGATTTTTTTCGGTGGGACATTTCATGTTTTCAAAATCGATTTCTCGGCGTAACATTTTATATTTTGATTGCTCAGGGCTTACAAAAGCTTAAGGCGCAAAGTTTTTCACTTCCTCGAATATATATAGTCCGTTTGTATTTTGAATGTCAAGTAGAATGACGTCATTCGAAAACGCTCTGTGGATGGCTCGCTCTCTGATTGGTTTATCGGGCAATTCGGGGCGGAGCTTGAGCAAGGACTCGACAAAAAAAAAAGCAGAGAGGGGGCCATCATCAGAGTGTTTTAAATTGACATCATTGCATTTCACATTCAAAGTCTGAACAGTCTAAGGCTTCTTGTTTTGAGACGTCTTGTCTATAACTTTCAAAAACTATTTTCAAACAACGTCAGGCGTCTCAAAGAGCCGGAGCAGATGTATCCGACTTCATTCACGACGGATTCCACGTCTTCGTCCTACCGTACAAGGAAGAAGTACGAGACGACGTCGAAAGGATTCGCTCAGGCGGACCGCTTGACGGAAAATGGCCGGAAGGTGGCATCTTCTGCAGAATCCAAGAGAATCAAAATATTTAGTTTGTGACACGGACGTTCACGTCGCTCGGGCGTTCGTCAAGAAGTTGACCATGTCCTACAATCCGAGCTTCTACGAGAATCCAAGTAGCTGGACCCTATTCTGATTTTGATCAATGGGATTTTGATTGCAGGACTTCTCTCCCAGAAGGCGGCTCTTGTAGAGAGGGCCACCGGCGATGTCATCCTCGAACGGAAGGATACTTTGGGTAATGAAATATTCTCGATTTTATATTGGAAAAGTAGAGAGGCTTCATCTAGAATAACCCAGAAACACGTGACTGAAGATAGATCAGAGAACCTGTACAATAAAGGAAATGGAGTTTTCTGGTTAGAATGAAAAAAACAGAGCTGCTAATAGGGCGATCCGGCCCGCGAAGTGGTCGCTTTGTTAAAACAGCCTTTTTCTTCAATCAATCAATAAAATAATTTATTTTGTTGGTTTAGTCATAATCGACTAGGCGGTGAACAATTCAGTTTTCCACCAGCCATATTTTCCCTCATTTTTAACGTACGGGCAACTTCTTTTGATCGCGGGGCTATCCGTGTCGAAAGCTCTGGAAAAAAAAAGTTTAAGCCAACTTCTATAATGGTACCAATGTGTCTGTTTCTCTCTGATGTGAACAAATTTTTTGAATTTCAGCCTCAATTTCTTTGTCTTTTCAGTCCCTTACCACGCCTACCCGGAGCGTATGGAAAGAGTGAAAGAGGAGGTCAAGGAGTTCGTCGACTACTTTTGTTTGGAAGACGCGCTGCATGCCCTGGAGGCCAAGCCCAAGACGCCCCGAAGACGGAACGCCAAGGTCGAAGGCGTCGACATCAAGGAGGAAGACGAAGAAGGTTCGATTCCTTGGCTTCGATAGAGGGTCTTTTCGGAAGTGCAACTGTATCCTCTGAAAAAATATTGACGTTTTAAGATGTCTCCCCGCCGAAAAGAGTACGACATGGAGCCGTCAAGAAAGAAGAAGCATCCAGTGAAGCCGACGACGAAGTCCGGAAGCTTTTCGAGCGTGGAAATGTGAATTTCGAGAAAATTCGCAAAACTGAACAAATTTCCAGCTTTCCTCTTTGACGGTAGCCGAATTGCGAGCGGCAATTTCTTCCCACTGTGCGTGTGTCCCGAAATCGACCCTGCGGAAAGCGCAACTCGTCGAAATGCTGGAACAATTCTTCAACGCCAACTAAACCCAAGACTGTACATATCACAATCAAATAGTCCTAATTTACCTCGTTCCCTCCTGTGATTTGAAGATAAATTATTCTAACTTGTCATCTGAAGCCCACTCGTCAAGATTCATCATTTGCCTTGAGAGTGCTCTGGTATAATATTTTTTGAAAAACGTGAAGAGGAGAATATTTCCGTTTATATATTTCATATGCATCAAGTTCTTAAGAGATCCCTTACCCTTTTTGAATCAATTTGCGATTTTTATATAGTCTATTCCGCGGCAGCTTGTCACGTTTTTCTTTCCGCCAAAAAGACCGTAGACCAAATTAGATCAAATTTCTGCTTTTATAACGGCAAGAAACAAAGGTCTTGAAGCGAAAGTTGGTTAAATTTCACCTGGCCTTTTGGCGGAAAGAAAAACGTGACAAGGAATGGCCTATACCTAGATCTAGGTATTTTAGGAATAATTACTTGTTTCATGAATCCCAAATCGTTCAAAAACCCTTGATATTTTTTTATTCTTTCATAAATATATTTTTAAAAAGGTTTTTTTAAATTTTTATATTAGAGAAAAAGACTCGCAGAACCTAGAATAAAACTGGAAATGACTTTTTCTCCTCAATGTAATTTTGAAAAAAATCTATCCCTGCGCATTCAAAAAAAGTATAGCGAGAACTATTGGGCCGATATTTTTTTAACTTGAAAATTCATCCAAAAAAATGTTCTTGATAATTCTGAATTTTTTTACTGATCATTTAATAAATTAATAAAATAGCCTGACTCTTGATAAAACGGTTCGAGAGGAATTAACTATGAAAAAAATATTTTTTTCTTTTCTTGGAGAGATCAGACCCACAACCAAAAGGAGATTTTTGACCCCGCCAAAATTTTTCGATCTCGGCGCCCAGCCGATCGTTTTGTCATCATCTTTTTTATCCATCGATTTTTGGGTTTTTTTGATGTTCTAGAACGTTTTTTTAACGTGATTTTTTTCAGTTTTTTTGAAATCTCGCCATTTTTTTCCATCATTTTTCAAGTGACTGGGAGGTGAAATTTCAAAAAAATCATTCTTCTAAAATTATTTTTTTAAAAAAATTTATCTCAGCCCTTTTTTTAAATATATGAATTTTTCAAATTTTTTTAGATTTTTAGTCGTTTTAAATGTTCCTTTCCATGATGAGTCTCGTTATTAGAAATCGCCAAGAAAATTATTTTTTTCTTATTTTTTGAATGAAAATGTTTTTCTCCAAAAAGTTTTTTTGTATCAATTTTCTAGAGCATATCATTTTATTGGACATCCGCTTCCATTCAAAAAATCTTGAGAAACGTCCGTTGTGTTTGTCGATTTTTTTCGCGCTTTTTTGTGCGAATGTATTACAAAAAAATTTTTCAGAATTATTTCTGTGGACTTCAAAAGCGACTTTCGTCATCGAACCTCAATTTCGAGACGAAACAAGGAAAATTCGAGGAGATCGAGGATGAAAACTGTGTGAGTTTGATGATGTTAAAAAAAAATTCTAGATTTTCTTGTTGAGCCGCTTCGAAACGTCCAAAACGACAAAAGAAAGCATTCTCGTCCAAATTTTCTTGGATTTGAACATTTATTTGAGATACGAAAAAGTACACTTAACGCGAATAGAATGCCGAGAATGCTTGAAGAATGTTTTTTGGACGTTTGTGGCTTCTGACTTTTTAGAATAATTGATAGTTTACAAAAATTGACTTTGAATCTAGAAAAAATATAAATTTGCGTCATCGATGATTGGCAGTTTTTCGGGTGACTGTAAGCGCTTTTGACGCAATTTCAAACTACACCGCGTTTGAACGAAAAACACCGAAACTGACGAACTTTGCGAAATTAGGATTATATTTTTTCTGAAATTGTGTTTGATCAGTTTTAAATAAATTTTTTAAAGTTGCTAGTTCGTTACGTATGCCGTTCACATTCCAAAAAACCTTAAAGCTTCTGATGTTTTCCCCGTCGTCAACTTCAAGAATTATGTTATTTGCTGAAGGGAGACTTTTCGGAGCACCCTCCGCTGCACTGCTTTTTGCGATTTCAACTTGAATTCAAATTCACAACGTTTAGAGTGATTTTGCTCTTTTTACTCGGCGAAATTCTAAAATAGCGATGTTTTAGACGCTTTGCCGAGTAAAAGGCGCAAAATCACTTCTAAACGGTGCATTTTTGAGGCAAAATTCAAGTTGAAATTGCAAAAAGCAGTGCAGCGGAGGGTACTCCGGGAAGCACCCTCCTTTCAGCAATTAACATAATTCTTGAAGTGGACGTCGGGGGAAAAATACCCGACGCGCTCCAAGAATTCTGGAATCCGTGAATCCCAGATGGCTGTCTTTTGCGGGAAACGCCTGGCGGACCCGAACGCGGGTTCCCATATTGAGAGCGAGGCCACACGCCACTCGACCAAACGTCCCTGGTCGGCGAGAGGCAATCGGTCCCACTAGCCATCGCTTGGTCCAGTGTTGGCTTGGGAGGAGAGACTGGCCGTTTGACCTCCCGATTGTAGTTTGACCCGCGGCGCCAAAACCATACGTCATCCTTCCATGGCCTTCTAGAACTTCTTTTTGCGTCATTCTTCTTCAATTGTAATGCTATTTACACTAATTTAGTTTATTGAATGATAGTATAGTATACCATGAAGCTTCTTTCATCATTGTATTCATAATTCAGCGACGATCTTTTCTTTCATGCTGCAATTTTTTAACGGAAAAATATTAAAGCTTCTTTAGTGTACTACATGCTAGTGTGTATAGGTTGAAGCATGTCTTCTTTCTGATTAATCAAATGATAGTGTTTTATTCGAGATGTAAAATTATTTGTACTTTGTTTTTTTATTCATTTTTTTAAATTTTCAGATCGTTGGGGTCCTGACGACATGAAAGAAGTCGATCCGGTTCTTGATTTGGAAGAAGTCCTGCGAACATTCAACTGAAAGGTTTCCAATTCTTTACGAAAGCTTCAATGATGTATTTATTTTCATGTTCCGTTGGCAGTCCCACAGCTCGGCTTTTCATATGGAAAGATGAGTTATTCTTTTCAGTTGAATCAAATAATTTTCAACTAGTAGATCGATTGGTGTGACGAAGGAAGTGATGGGTGAATGGATGGATTTTAATTGAGAGGAAAAGAAGCGAAGATCCACAAGCCTCGGAAGCCTTGAAGATTCTGCCGCCGTCCAATCTTTGAGGTATATTTTTATTTTATTGTGAGCCTAGTTTTTAAAAAGAGTATATGATAAGATTGCATCACTTTTTCAAAATTTGAAAAATTATTCAGGAAATTTTTCGCGACATGGATGAGCTGATGATCATTCCGTTTCGAAAACAGTTTTCAAAAAGTGGATAAGTTAGTGGCTATTTCACTTGAAATTTAAAAAAAAAGTGTCGCTATGTATTCCATGGTGCGCAGGGTATCAGTCTTGCTTTTTTTTGACTTCTCTTTTTTCTTCAGGAATTTTTGCACTTCCACACTTTGAGATACATTTTTCTTATGTGAACACAACAAGAAAACTTTACCACAGATTTTTTTTCAAGTGTTTATGGTGCGAAAGTTTCTTTTTCTTTTTGTAAACGAATTTAAGATCGAAAAAATTCAGCAATCTTGTCATATACTCTCCACGGCCCAATCTAGAGTCGATATAGGTTTTTTCAAACAATTAATCTTGTAATTTAGGCATCGATGAATGTATAGGGCGACGCGGTCTCGCTGCTGATCGTCTTCCAGTTATAAATTTGCCTTTTTTCAATAAAGTGTTTCTTAAATCTCCGGAAGTGAACACGGGATGATGACCCCAGCGCGACCGCGTCGTAGGGCCTGATGACTTTTAGGATTCAGTAGAATACTTTACTTTGAGCAAGGCCTTATGCTTCTCAAACTGGCTGAGATAGTCGATTATGTACGGGAAGTTATGAAAACCGTGGATGAAAGAAGTTGTATGAATATCGTGCAAAGCTTGCTGAAGGACTTGTTGTTCTGAGATTTCCAAGCTTGCATTTCTATCAAAAAGGGTGAGCTTCTTATTGGCTTCTGTCAGAAAGAAGAAGGGGGGCTTCTAGCCGGCTCTTTGACATGGGGATATTCGTGTCGAGCATGACCTCGGTCACTCTTTCCGGAGGGGAGATCTCAGCCGCTCGGAACCTCTGAGTGGCACTTCGGTCCAACCAAGGAGACTGGTGCACTGTCCCACTCCTCCGTGCTCCTATACCCAGTCAGTCTCTCTGACTTCAACTTTTTCCGACTCAAACTGCTTGGAATCTCAGAAAGACTATACTTTCACATGACCTTGCACAACATTTCCAAGTCACTTTTGGGTATTGATTAGGTCCGTAAATCCAGGAGCCAAAAACTTGCATTGGTGCGCCCATGGACCTTACTTTCTGTGATCGATTGATCTTGTAAATCCTCCTTCAAGAGCCGAAACCTATCCTTGGCGCGCCATTGCATTTATCGATTCTTTTAGTAAACCCTCTAGGAGCCGAAAACTTCTTTCATCCATGGGCTTTCAAGTAGTATTTCATATTGCATCCTGACTCTGTATGTCCTTTTCTTCATTCATCTCCAATTGTGCTTTTCTCACTTCGGTCAGAAAAAGAAGGCTTCAACCTTCACGGAAGAGAGTTCTCAGTCACTTGGACTTCCAAGTGGCAACTTCGGCCCAAGGAGATTGGCGATTTTCCCACTCTTCCGTGCTTCAAGTTCATTAGTTTGACCTGTCAGGCTTCGAACTTGATGGAGATGATCAGAAGAGAAAGACTTGTACATCAGAGAGTATCTCAGCCAATTTGGAGAAGACTTCATTGCATGACTTGTGTGTGAACAGAACAAAGTGTGTAGTAAGAAGACTTTATTGAGAAGCAAAAAAAAAGATCATGATTGACAAGTTGATGAAGAAGAAGTAGAACTTGGATGATTTGCAATCTGTAAAAGCGTTCTTAATATAGCAATTTGAATATAGAAATGCTGTATTAATAATGCAATTTGAATATAATAATGCTGTAATAATAATGCAATTTCAATATAAAAATGCTGTATTAATATTGCAATTTGAATATAGAAATGCTGTATTAATATTGCAATTTGAATATAAGAATTCAGTTTGAAAATGGAAAAAATTGAGCCGCCTACTCCTGCTTGCCCATTTTCAGACAGAAACTTGGATTCTCCCTGGGAAAGGCCCAAAGTGATGCCGCTGAAGCATCCTCTGCCGTGCTGTGATGAGATCGGCCGGGAAAACCTGACCGGACTCGACTTTTGCAAGTCTTTGTGAGCACTCTCTCATCAGAATGGCGTGGCCTCCATTGAGCACGACTTCGGATGTTCAGCAACAACTCTTTGGACCGTTCGGAGTTCAAAAATCGAGACACAAGCAAAAAAAACAAAAATGGTTTCAGAAAGCTCAAGTCTACTGTCTTATTCACTTGTCTTATATTCTACAATAAACGTTCTATTCTTTAAATGTTCATGTTACTACAAGAAGTCAGACACTGCGGCCAATGTAGTTAGAATTTTAATTTTGGCTCCTGGAGGATTTACTAGAGCAATGGATAAATGCATTGGCGCGCCAAGAATAGATTTTTGGCTCTTGAAAGAGATTTACAAAAAACAATCGATCATAAAAATTGAGGTGCATGAGCGCACCAATGCAAGTTTTTGGCTCCTGGATGATTTACTGAACCTATCAATATCCAAAAGTGGCATGGAAATGTCGTGCAAAGTCATGTGAAAGTCTTGTTTTTCCAAGATTCCAAGCAGTTTGAGTCGGAAAAGGTTGAAGCCAGAGATACTGACTGGGTGTAGGAGCACGGAGGAGTGGGACAGTGCACCAGTCTCCTTGGTTGGACCGAAGTGCCACTCAGAGGTTCCGAGCGGCTGAGATCTCCCCTCCGGAAAGAGTGACCGAGGTCATGCTCGACACGAATATCCCCATGTCAAAGAGCCGGCAGAAGCCCTCTTTCTTCTTTCTGACAGAAGCCAAGAAGAAGCTCGCCCTTTTTGATTGAAATGCAAGCTTGGAAATCTCAGAATAACAAGTCCTTCAACACGCCTTGCACAAAATTGTATTTCTACTATGGCCGCAGTGGATCACGAAATAATAGATGAGGTCATCTAAAGTCCAAGTATTAAAAGGTAGCCCTACATGGTCTTGATATTTAAGATTGATTAAAATTTCTGAAGACGAAAAGAAAAATCTGCAGAACACTTGCTCCGTTTAGACTACACCTACGTCTGAAATAAACGGGCCCTGTGAAAATGTAGACCATCAAGAGCTAACTTCCAGTACATGACTTAAAAATAAGGCAATGAATTGAAAAGTTACAGTTGAATGACCTCCTGTTCGAACGTGGCCCAGCTGTAGATGATCATACGACCGCGTAGCGGTTTTTGACTCGTAAATTTTTTATGTCTCGGAATCTTTTAAGTGAAACTTCAGAAAAACCTGAGGGGACCGCAGCCGCGTCGCTTGATCATCTACATCTCTACTTTTCTCTAATCCTACGTCTCATGTGACCTATTGCTAAATCATTGAATAATCGACTAAATCTCAAAGTGGGCCTTCAAGGATACATGACAAAAACACCTCGGACAATGATGACCATAAAATGTCATAATTTAACCAAAAAAATAGCAATTTTTTTCCAACTGGAACAGCTTGATGTGGATATCCCTGTCCGAGGTGGTGCTGAAATTATCGAAGAGGACAAAAAAATATCAAAAAGTCAAAAATCATCCTCTGTCATATATCCTTGAATAACTAAAACTGAGAATGTAATGAAACTAACAAAAAAGTGGCGCCGAAGTTGAGCTGGATTTTGTAGACAGAACTGGGCAAGGTATGTCAGAAGGTTCATCTAAAGAGCAGCTTCAATTCGTCAAGTTCTTCGTTGCCCAGTTCTGTTCGGTCAAAACGATCGGCTCACCGTCTGAAAATTGAACATTAATACAATGTACAAAAAAAGGAACTCGCCTCTTCTTTCTCCGAAGCCGATAAGTGCGCAGAACTGTGAAATTCGGCAAAAACCGGGGACGAAAAATTTGAATATAATCTTACATGCACGTCGTCACCACACAGTGGACGCTGAAGAAGTCGGCGAATCCTCTGGATGAACGGTCGCATTTTGTAATTTCTTCAAACGCGTAAATCTTCCTAGAATCGGCTCCGAGAACCATGCGCCACTTGCATGACACCTTCTAGGCCATGCCTCATATGCCCAAGCAAACAAACGCGTCCATGTGTCCTACAGTCGGGAGGTCAAGCGGCAAGGCTCTCCTCCCAAGCCAACACTGGACCAAGCGATGGCTAGTGGGACCGATTGCCTGTCGCCGACCAGGGACGTTTGGTCGAGTGGCGAGTGGCCTCGCTCTCAATATGGCAACCCGCGTTCGGGTCCGCCAGGCGTTTCCCGCAAAAGACAGCCATCTGGGATTCACGGATTCCAGAATTCTTGGAGCGCGTCGGGTATTTTTCCCCCGAACTTCAAGAATTATGTTAATTGCTGAAAGGAGGGTGCTTCCCGTAGTGCCCTCCGCTGCACTGCTGTTTGCAATTTCAAATTGAATTTTGCATCAAAAATACACCGTTTAGAAGTGATTTTGCGCCTTTTACTCGGCAAAGCGTCTAAAACATCGCTATTTTAGAATTTCGCCGAGTAAAAGTGCTATTTCAGAACCTTGCCAAGTAAAAGTGCAAAATCACTCTAAACGGTATGTCTTTTGAATTCAAGTTGATATTGCAAAAAGCAGTGCAGCGGAGGGTGCTCCGAAAAGTCTCCTTTCAACAATTAACATAATTCTTGAAGTTGACGTCGGGGGAAAAATACTAGACGTGCATGCTTCAAGAATTTTGTAGTCCGTGAATCGCAAATGTAATTTTTTTTTCCTGCACATTTTCCATTTAGGTTATTTTGCTGGCTTTTTTTAAAAATAAAATATTAACAATGAATTCCGCTGATTTCGAATAAAATCCACTATTCCATGAAAAAAAGCCTCAAATATTTCATGTTAATAATTGCAAAAAAATATTTTTAAAAAAAATTTTCTCACAAAAATTTTTTTAAACCTTTCGTAAAAAAACGTGCAAAAATTTTCCTACCTTCACTAGTAAAAAAAAAAAGTCCATACGTCAGACTTCGAACCCTCGGCCAAAACTACATGCATTTCAAGTTTCACGTGCAATTGAACAGGTTTCAAATCACAAATTTATATATATCTCTGTTCAAGTGAAAGAATAAGGCAAAAGTTCAAATTGACATAAATTCCTAGACGAAAGGCAGTTCATTAAAGCATTTCGGGCAAATTCCTTCTTGCATGTGTTTGGGGTCCTCGTCGACAGAAATTCTGAAAAAAAAATCGTACAAAACTTGCAAATATATCAGGCACATAAGAAAAAAACCTACAAGGCAATATTATTTGAAGAGGAACAATTTTTTTTCAGCAAAAAAAGTACAAAAATCTTTCAAAATCACCTGATCCCGCAGACTCGACAGTCGATCTCCTGTTCAACGTGCCACTGAAGGTGGACGATAAATTCGGTGGTCACCGAAAATTCCTCGGGACACAGCTGACACCTCCAGTGGACCCTCAAGTGGTTACTTTTCTCCGTCGCCGAATCGAGACATGGTCGTTTTGCCAACGGCTTTCCTTCAGAAGGTTCATCTTGCTTGTACTCGTAGAACTCCTGAAAAATATTGATTTAGGCAACACAGGAATGAAAATATAGAAGATATAACGAGAGTTGTTCTAATTTTCGAAAATTTTCTCAAGGTTCCCGGCTGTGAGTTTTAAAGGCGCAGAGATTAAGATTTTGAAGCTAAAATTCATTTCCATGCTTTTTTTGGACTTTTTGCGATTTTCGTGCCATTAAAAGACCACAGAAAAAAACTATTTACAGATACACATTTTCTTGTGAACCTATCCACAATAAAATGAGCAAAAAAATTATTTGTCGGAGAATTGAATTCACTGTCCGCAATGACACGGTGTTTGCAGACAAAGCAACTTGTCACGCGCAAATTTCAAATTTCCGTTTTTTTTTCATTTGAAAAAGAAATACTTTTTTTTCAAAACAAAAGTGATCTATACAGAGTATCTGACGTGTTGCTAGAAAGGCGAAAAGGCAGTATTGAGATATTGGCAAAATACACTCGAAATAACTGGCTAAATCGCAGCGGAAAATTCTTGCTGAGGAGAAAAGCTGGCTCGACAAGATAGGAAAAGAGAGAGTGGAGAGCTCAGACAGGCCACGCCTTTTTGCTGTGAATCAGCAAATAAGTTCCAAAGGAGCATTTCTCCTCATTTTCCTACGCACCACATCAGCAGGTTCTGGGGCCAGGATGGTCTGCGGGAGTTCATCGACGGCTTGAGAGGGGCCGGCTTCTTGGAGCGGCTGCAGATGGGCGTACATCTCGTCGCCTTCGGACTTCATCTGATGATCTACGACGAGCACTTCCGCGACCTCGTGCTCATGAGGATCCAGCATCATTTCTTCAGGGGGCGGCTCTTCGTGGTGATATTCGAGGATGCGGATGTCCTCGGCTCGGTCTTCGGGTTCGCCTGAAACTTTCTTTTTCAAATTTAAGAAATTCACAGATTCTGTAATAGCCAAGTTTCAGTTGGAAACTTTTCCAGAAATTTTTTTCAAATATTTATCTGAAATTTCCTTTTTGCGATAAAAGAAGCTACATTTGCATAGAATTCTAGTAAGGATTCTCTTATAAATATAATTTCCCACTACTCTTCAAGGAAAAATAATGTAACTCAAAACATTTTCACTGAACAAAAAAATCCATTCAAACTGTCTCAAAAATTAAAAAAATTTTTAGAGCTATAAATAGGCAGAACTTTTTAACACCTCTTTACTATATAGATTTTGGCTGAAACCGGTCAATTTGGAATCCAAAACATGGAAAAACTTCAACTTTTCAATTTTTATCTCGAAAAAACTGCAATATCTTCCTTGAAACGTATATTTTTAAAAAACGAACACTCAGCATCATCCCAAACGATCGGCATTCCGCCTTCATCGACGTAGACAATCTCCTGTTCCGCTTCATAACTCGACGCCAATGGAACTCTCCAGGAAGCTCTGAAAAACAGAAAAAATTAGCGATATTATGCTAAATCAATGTACAACAAAAAAAAAAGAAAAAAGAATACCAACTTATAATCATAAGCATTGTGAGGTCGACAAGCGAAATGGTGGCCACTGAAGGGATCTCCTTTGCTCAACAACTTTACACCGTCAAGATGAATCGTCCGAATCACATCTCGGATGCCGCCTGGAAAATAAGATTTTTTTGAAAAAAATGTGACGTGTTTCGATTTCTGACAACTCTTCTGTCTCGAAAACCTCTATAGTCTGTTCAGATTTTGAATGTCAACCAGCTAACTCCGCCCCTGCTGAGACGGTACCTTTTCGCGTCGATGTTTCATCTCGCGGGACTAATTTTGATCTTTTTCGATCTAAAAGATAGAAAAAGAGGTCAAAAAAGCAGCCTTATTAAAGGGCCATTGGCATATGTAGATAAAACATTGACGCGAAAGATATTGTAGCCTTGGGGGGTGGAGTTAGCTGCTTGACATTCAAAATCTGAACAGACTATAGTAAACCACAAAAAAAAAAACAAAAATATGAAAAAAACCGACGACAACGAAAAGAAAAACAATTTTTCCCTCCAAAAATTTCAAATGAATAAATTTGCGCGTGGCATTGCGCTCCAAGTCCGCAAACACTACGTCATTGCGGACAATGCATTTTATTCCACGAAAAGAGACAAATTTTCTCCATTTTTGCCCTTTTTTTCAAGAAGAAAACTCACTATCAATTTTGGCTCTTCGACACGTCAGACAAGCATAAAACTTGGTATTTTGAACTGTTGTACGGTTATAGGAAAACTCGTAGAACAAATGCGGATGGGCGGCCGGTGACAGAACTGCAACCTCGTGCGAGTTTCTGCTCTGTAAAAGTTTCATGGCTTTTTTCCGTTTGTTTTTTTTTTTCAAACCTTGTGCTTACTGTAGGGCATACGGTAGCGAATTTTGTACTCTACAGTGTTCTGAGCGGCGGTGGTTCGTATTGCCGGGGCCTGAAAAATTGGATGATCTAGCATATTCTGAATTATTATAATCATTAAGCTGAATTATCAAATTTTATAGCGTTTTGAACAGGACTATGGCATGAAATGTTTCAAAATTGATTCAAAATAGGAGTTTCGGACAAAATTTTCAGATTTACGCCTAAATTTTCCAACTTCAAAAGCCCATAACTTTGATCCAAGAAGAGCTACCTCTGGTTGAAGTATACCATTAGAATCCGCTTTTCTCTGTCTTTCAGGAAAACATATTTTGATTCCCAACACGTTTCACCTTGTACTGGGCTTCCCAGGGGAACGACTCAGTGATGCAGGGCCTTCGGAGGCGATATTTGGGCATTGCGGTCGCCTTCCAGAAGATCCGATTCTCGACCATGATGAAGGTTTCGGCGAGGAAGTGAAAGCAGCAGATGTACACGCTGCTGGGCGCGTTCACGGCGGCTGGTTTCATTTTGAAGAATCGGATCCTGGAGAGCGTGATTTTAAAAGATTTTCTTGATTGTCAAAGTATAGCTGATTCACGGCCAGCTTGGGACGCTAAGGGGACGTGTCCTGTCTGCGCTCTCCACGAGCCAGGCGCTATCTCGTGCATTATCGTGTCAGGACCCGTTTTTCGATGGCTCAAGACAGCCGTGAATCAGGTATATGACCATTCCGCGCCAAATTATCATGATTTTCTTTTTCCTCTGAGCTACAGAACCCTTTCATGAGGCTTCGTTTCGATGCGCCCGACGTGCCTCTTTGCATGCGCCTTTAATAAGTCAGGAACTTTCAAGCTTCACAAAGCTTTCCTACACTTCTGTATCTGATTCTTGTTTCTACTTTATTTTTTCAGACTTTGCTTTTGGCTCCAACAAATTATTTTTTTGCAGAATGAATGAATTTTTTAATGATCAAAACTTGACAACTTTGAAAAATAACTTTTAAAAAAAATTTCATGAGCAGATTTTAGGATTTTCGTCCATTTCAACCAAAAAAAGCTGATTCTAAGATTTTTTTAAGCGTTTAAAAAGAAAATACTGGAAGTCTTCCTTTCAATTTTAGAGACGATATTTCAAAAATTCTCCATTTTTCTACTTGAAAACCCACCACTTGGCCCTCAGCTCGGGACTCTTGGGCCACTTGAATAATCGAATTTTTTCGCTTTCCGTCCTGCCGCAGACCACACAAATCGGCCCCACGTGAACCATATCATTCCGTGACGTGGTGGTTATGGCGATTGCTGGGAAAAAAAATAGTACAAATAAGAATGAGGAAATGCGGTTGTTGTTGATAAAAATGAAAGATTCAGTCCTAGCCCATTCCGCGCCAGCTCGTCACGCTTTTTTCCGAGCTACAGAACTGTTCCGTTCGATGTGCGCGGCCTATCTCTAGGCATGCGCCTTTAATAAAACGGAAATATTAGGCTAATGCGCATGACAAGAGACAACAAAAGGAAGGGCTCGGAGGAGAATAAAAATCTGTGAAGAGCTGGCGCGGAATGGGCTATGGAGCCGATTGGCTTAAGACGTCGAAAAATGGGTCCTGACACGGTCATTTGAAAAATAAAAGACTGCATTCTTCATGGAGAGTGCAGAGAGTGACATAGTCTGTTCAGATTTTGAATGTCAAGTCGTCGCTCAAGCTCCGCCCCTAATGGTGCGATAAACCAATCAGAGAGCGAGCCATCTACAGAGTGTTTTTGAATGACGTCATTGCACTTGACATTAAAAATCTGAACAGACTATACTCCTTCCATTGATAAAAAATGAAAAAGTCAGTATTTTAAGAAATACACAAAAAAGACAGTAAAAAGCAAGATTTTTTTTCCACAACTTTCTTGTAAGGAATTTAATCTTCCTGAAACTTTCTGAAGCTAGAATCACTGTTACTTTTAACACCTTGATGAAGTTTCAGTTCACAGAAAGAAACTTTTTGATTAGAAAAGTTCTTTTGAGGCCTAAAAACTTATCATTTTTTAACCGTTTAGACAGTCCCTCAATGAGATTTTTTTCTAGGGGGGTAACGATTCATTTTATATCGAATGGAAGGAAGATATGCTCTTAAAAGGTTGAGGTGTGATATACGTTTCATTGATGATTTAAAGATCGATTAATTCCTTTTCAAACAATTTTTTCGAGGAATATTCAGTAAACGAATGATTTTATCTTTTCTTGTTGAGGTGTCGGAAATCCTTCCATTGTGAAGTAAAAAATACTGCGGCGGCCTAAAAACATGAACATTCATCTAGACAGTCCTTAGGAAGAAATTTCATAGCTTTCAGGTTTTGAATAAAATAATGAAGTTGATACTCGGGCAAAGTCGGAATGGTGGATAATGGACGCTGAAAGGGAGAGGCCCGAAAAAGGCCGCAGAAAGGCAGCAAAAAGGCAGCAAAAAGGCCGCAGTAAGGCAGCAAAAACGGTTCCTTCATCGAGCCTTTCAATTTTTCTAGAATAAAGGCTCAAGAACTGTTGGAAAAAGGGAGAGGTTATATTCCGGAGGATTGGATTCCTTACAAGAAATTTGTGACCGAAATCGCTTTTGTTGTAACTTTTCTGACGGTACTGCATATACGGTCTTTTTGCAACACGAAAAAAAGGAAAAAGCTGTCACTGAATGAAGGATAGTTTATTATATATATCTGATATATAATCATTTATATAGTTATTTTTGAATACCCGATAAAAAGTACAAACTTTCTTCGCCATAGAAATCGATCGGTTCGCCGTGGGTTTCGACGTAATTCTCCTCGAACTGAGCCGAATTCACCTCTTCGACATCTTTTGCCGTAGAAGAGGAAGGTTGAGGTTCTGAAAAATAGAAAATAGATTGTAATCCAGAGGTTATATATCTCTTTCAGTTAAAAGACGTATAGTCTGTGTGTCACGACTTGAAATTTGACCGAACGACATTCCGCTATATATTAGAAAAGGTTAATTTTAATTAAACTTCAGCTCTTTTTATTTTTCAATATTCTTGAAACATAAAGGGAAACAATTTGGGAAAAAAATATATAAAAGTGTGAAAAATCTATCATTCAAAGCTTCAGGCTGAAAAAAAAAATTGAATATATGAAATCAAGATAGATCTACAGAACAAGAAAAAAAGAAAATCGATCAAAAATGATTTATCTGCTTCCTGAATTTATCGAAACATAAAAAAGCCATCTAAAACACAAATTTAAAGTTTTCAATATGGAAAAATATCGATGGAAATTACTACAGACATATTTCAAAGCCTAAGAATTCAATTCCAACTCAAAAAAATCAGCAAATATACAAATTCTAAGTGGATAAAAAAAGCTATCAAAAAAATTTTTAGCTCATTTTTCTTCAAAAAAACTTAGAAAAACTGATCCAATAGCTGTCAAAAAAAGTTTGAAAAGTGAAAAAAATTCAAAAAGTACTTTTTGGAACTTTTTAGGCTAATCCATTATTCAAAAAAACATGTTTAATGACTTTCTTGTCGTGATTTCGAAAAAGTATAACTGAAAAAAATCGAGAAAAAAATATATTCATTTTTAACCAATTAGAACTTGAATTTTTCGCTGCTCTTTCGAAAAAATAGAAGCCTCATTTCAACGCCAGAAAAATCACTATAATTCGATTCAAAGACCATTTTCCATCCCGTTTTTCCCTAAAAATTAATGAAAACTGACCAAATTGCTCTTGAAACCCGCGTGGTTCTGGTTCTATGACCGGCGGCTGATCATCGTCCGCATCAAAATCTTCGTCTTCCTCGTCGAATTCTTCATATTCGCCTTCTGATTCTCCACTTTTCTCGGCGGCTTCGTCCACGATCTGTTGAGAATTGGTGAAATAAGTGGAAAAATATCTTTGTATCGAACGAAAAATAATGAAATAGAGAAAAATTTCCATGAAATCTCTTCATTTTGCTCGAAGAATTGTAGTTTTTTTGATGTTAAAGTAACGTATTTTCGTGTAAAAATGATGAATTCTCGCTCTAAAAATTCATAATTATTATAGGGAAATGATAAAAAAATATGAAAAATTAGCTATAACGATCAAAGATTTGAAAAAAATGCCAAACTTTCGTTTGAAAAAAAGGTTTATTTCGTTTTTTTACCTATAGTGAAATGTTAAAATAATAATTATGATGAAAAACCATGGTATTTTCTTAAAAAAAAAAATTGAAAAAAAAAGTTTAAAAAATGATCTTTTTCAAATTTACTTTTTATTTTTAAAATTGTATTTTCCTTCATAAATTTGCTACCTCCAGCCTTAGCTCAAAAACTCAAAAATAACTCTTTTGACTTCAAAAACGAAAATATTCGAAAAAAAACCTTTTCTAAACTCCTTTCAATTCTGAAACCTGATGGGTTGATTAAAAACCTACTTTTTTCAATTTTGAAGATTCAAAAGAAGTCAAAAAATCTTTCACTTAACTCTGAATGCTTCTAAATTGTTAAAAATATCTAGAAAAAGTGGTTTCTAAAAATCGGAAAACCACTACAAAAACGATAGTTTGAACGATTCCGAAGCTTCGAGGCTCATTTTCAGACTTTACCTCACATAAAGCATTAAAAAATAATTTTTTCAATTTTTTAAAAAGCTTTTAACGTTTCTTTCAACCTTAAAATTCTAACATGGAACTCTCAAACCGATAAAAAAAAAAAAAAATATGAAAATCCAACCTTTCTCGGGACGACCTTCGTTTCCATGCGACTTTCAAAATCTGAAAAAATATTCCGATTGGAAAAATATTCCTTCTCAAGTTCAGAAATTTCAATGCAAATTAACATCTTATTGACATTCTGAAAATATTTACAATTGATTTATAAACAAGCTTCAAAAAGTATATAGTGAAACAGATACCCATAAAAGGTCACACACGTTGAAAAAACTGTTTGAAGACTGGGCAAAAAAAAATTTGACAGAAAAATGCAAGAAAACATAGGAAACTATACACAAAAATCCAGTTTTGAGGAAAATGTTGGAAAAATTGTACAAAAAAAATCAAAGAACTTACGCATTATAAAATTTCAAGCTTTACAATGTTCTTATATATTTTCTTCTTTTGAAAACTAGCCATTTACTAATTGGGGATCTAAAGGTTCTGTAAGCAGGATGGTATGGACAAAGATAAAATCATATAAATAAATAAAATCATACGCGGGCTGGGACCACTTGAGCGAAAATAACCTCAGAAATTTCAGAGTGGTCCCTATAGGGGCTCGGAGAAAAACAGCTTCAATAGGGGTCGAAAAAGGTGGTCCCTATAGGGGTTTAGGGTCTGACCCCAGAGCCCATAAATCTCAAGTGAACCCCATAGGGGTCTTTGAACTTTAAAAAAAAAAACGCTTATTCATTCAATTTTTCGCATGGAAGTGGTTCTTCTTCGCGAAAATCATCGATTAGCATGTCCCCTATAAGAGCCACTAAATAAAAACACTATAGGGACCATTTTTGCAAGCTTCAGCGGCTTCTATCCTTAAGGTTGCCCCCTGTAGGGACCACTCTACAGATGCGAATTTCCTAAGACGTGGGTCAGCCTACGTATGAATCAAATCCAAGTTCATAAGTAAAAATAAGTGAAAATCATTAAGGAAAGGAAGAAAAGGAATAAAATTTCTAGTAAAGATCAGCCCCAAGCTTGCGTCGTACTATAATGTAGTACCAGATGATCGTCTTTTCCATCGACATTCTTGACGCCGTAACATTCGCGTAGAACCTGAAATACTTGGAAATTTAATGAAAATAGGCATATTGAAAAAAAATTCAGCAAAATTAATGAATTTCCTATGATCCTCAACTTTTGCAGAATAGAAAAAAGAGGAAAAAAGTCAAATTTTTTCGAAAAAAGGATATTTTTTCGATGTTGAAAAAGAGCACGAATCTAAACTGAAAAAAAGCCTTGATTTTAAAAAAATATGAAATACATTTTATTTAATTTTCTCTATCGTAGATAATTAAAAATACCATTAGAAAAAAATATTGAAATGATTAAAATTTAACAAAAAAATCAATTTTTTTCCCTTTTTTTCCCTAAATTTATCCTTTTTATTTTTTTTATTTTCCTACGTAAAAAAATTTATCCTTTCAGAATATCTTCAAGAGGACAACATTTTCAAAAAAACCAACCCCAAAGGTGTGATCGGGCGAAGGGGAAAAAGTCTGAGAGACGTAGAAAAAAGAGCGATTTTTCCTGCGGCAATTGGAGCATTTTTCGGATCACCTGGAAGAGAAAAATGTATGGAAATACACAGAAATCTGTTCAAAACCGTACGAATCAGGTCTCGAATTTCTAATTAGTTAATTCTTTGTAAAATCTTCAAAAATTTTTTTCAAAAAAATCGTAAATTATTTTACTCGCTGAAAAAAATATTTTTTTATAAACTTTTGAATCATTCAAAAAAATTCTTAGAATCTTCCAAAAAAACGAAAAATTTTACGTCAAAACACCATATCAAGCTTAGAAGAAATAGATAACTGTAAATAATCTTCTCGTTTCAAAAATTTCACAACCAATGGCTCAATATTAAGCAGAAACAGTTCAAAATGATAAAAAATAAATCTAACTGGAACTAAAAAATTTTATCTATGTAATCCAATGAGAAAAGCTTGTAAATCACGCCAAAATTGTTTCAAAATGGTACAAAAATTGATTTCTAGCCTCTTTCTTGAAATTAAACCATACCAAAGAAACAGCTTACTTGAAAAATCAACTAATATCCAAGGAAACCATAAATAATTTTAAAAAAATAGCTAGAATTCCCTTAAATGATGACTATTCACCCCAGAGAACCAGGCGACCGTTTTCGACGGGTCGACGGTGAACTTTTTCTGCTTCAAAATCGGCGCATCGCCAACGGTTCGAAGCATTACCGTCACTTTTTCGACGGCTGCCGCTTGGGGCGCCGCTTCGGCCATTCCCTGAAAATGATAATTTTGGAAAAAAATTGAAAAAAATATAATTGTTAAAAAAATCTCTACGCTTTTATCTTAAAATCGCACGAAAAAGCTTCCAAATTTTCACAAAATTCAAAAAGTTACTAATCCGAGATCAAAATAAAGAGCGGAAACCATTCGGAACAGGAAAATTTCCCAGGAATTCATTTCTTATGACTTTTAAAGTGATCCCTATATGGGTTAGGTGGAAAAAAAGAGCCCCTCTATAGAGAGAAAAAAAGTAATCCCTATAGGGGGTTTTTATTAAAAAGGTTATTTTTTTAGTTATTCGCTCTCAAAAATGAGTTCATAAAAGTTGCCCCAAAGTCGCCCCTAGAGGGACCACTATAGAGTTCCTAAGTTGAACGGTAAAATTAAATGAAAAATTCGGGAAAATGTTCAAAAAAGGTTCTGAAAAAAATTGAACGGAAGAACATCTCAAAGAGAAAACTTTTCAGTTTTTTTCTTGAATAGCAAAATTTTTGACCTTTAAAATTGTGGAACTATAATATGAACGTTGTTTCTAAAATCGAATTTTCTTTGAACTTTCATAGAAACGTACATTATTTTGTGTGAAATGTTGATAGAAAAATCTGGATTTTTAATGAAGGAAAACTTTTTTAGAGGAATTGTTGTATGAGGTTTAAAGCATTTCATATGTAGCTTTTTTTTTTCTTTTTTGTTTTTTTAGCAGCGATATTTTGAAATTAACAAATATTATTACATTCTGCTGCAAAAAAACTCAAGAAATCCAGTCCAGTCTAATATTGGATATAATTATAATATTTTTTTATTAAACCGGAAAAAAATGTTAACTAAAAAAATCTCTACAGTGTCATGAAGTCTACAGACGTCTTCTAGACGCGAAAAAGGTTATAAGAATTTTTTAAACTTTACAAAACTGCGAAAACTTCTCATTAGCAACTTTCATGTATATAATTCAAGTTTTAAAAAAATTGGTCACTTGTTAATTAAATTCAAGAAGAACTCTATTTGCTAAAAGTCTTCATGAAAACAAGCTAGAACTACGCAAATTTCTGAAAAATTACACTTTTCAAATAAAAAATGAAACGAAAAGCGTACATTGAAACCGAAATCACATCAAATATCATAAAGCCATTGAGAATAAAATTTTCACGTGTCAAAAATTTCAAACGTGGCATCAGCTTACAAACTTGGATAATATGCGTAACAATTCAAATTTAAGTAACAATAATACACTTCTTGAATGATAAGGGATGCTTAACCATATGGAAACTTGAAATTCCTTATTTAAATCGAATTTTATAACTACAATAAAAACTGTATAAAATATAGCAATGAAGTAAAAAAAAAAATGTAAATGTTCTGAAAATCCATTGAAAAAGCCAAAGAAAAAGACATCTTGACAGAAGCTGCAGGCGCCGCACAGCTATACCGCAACCGCCGCACAGTTTACCCAAGTCAAGGCAAAAAACTGGGGAAGAAGCGGAGCGTCGTCGGAGGAAAATAAGACGGGAAAGGAGGAGAAGGAAAGGGAAAACAGACACGACAACGCTCTGATTCCGCCACAAGATTGACCCCATCAAAAAAAGTTCTATTTCCCCACTTTGTTCTCATTTTTTGCGTTTACTTACTGTTGGATTATAAAAATTGTTATTTTTTCAAAAGGGAATAGTAAAAAAAGAGTTTTACGCTCTCAAATTGTACATAAACTTTTTCAAAAACCAATATTAGTTGTTTTAAATTGTAAAAATTTTCTTTTTTTCTTTCGTTGTTTTGAAAAAAATCCAAGTTGAAAAATTGAAAAAAATCCTCCAAAAAAACCCAAAAAAACCATTCTGCGTTCAAAATTTCCGTGTTAATTCATTTTTAAAAAGCATCAATTTCCGTTCAAAAATTTGATAATATTTCGTTTCTAGTCTTTTTTTCGTCGATCCTGTGGTTTAATAAATCTCGGAAAAACTGATATATTTGAAAATCTCGAAAATCCCCATCAGAACATCAAAAATTCTGCGTGTCATTCAAAATGAATGCATTTAAAATTCCCACTAAAGCTTGATATTTTTGTCAATAAATGGCCTGAAAACCAATTTTTTTCTTCTATTCATTACATTTTTTGAACTTTTTCCAACTTTTAGAACTTCTTATATTAGGCATTAAAAATGTTAAATTTCATTTTTTTCGGTGCCAATTTCCTCTATAAACTTGATCAGATTTTATTTTTGCCTTGTTTTTCATTAAAATACCAGTTTCAAAGCCAATTTTCTCAAGGAAGAAGCCCGTAAAATCTCAAAACTTCTAAAAATCCATGGTTACGCTCCTCATGAAAAAATATGCTTCTCCATTTTCTTTCTCCCAACAAAAGCTCAACTTTTTCCAGGGATTCACTATAAAATGACGATTCTTTTGTGATGAGAAATGAACAATTTCCTCGGGAAATTCCGCAAGAAACCGGATAATAATGGTGAGATTTTTTTTTTCGTTTTGATTAAAAAAAACCGGTTCAATTTTCAGTTTTTTTCAATAACAATCACGAGAAACGCGATTCGATCACCACAGATCATGTAGTCATTCCGCAGGCGACGGGTAAAAAAACCAGTGAAATCGGATTTGGGTCAGTTTTTATGGGATAAAAATTCTTTTTATAAAAATCCAAAAGCATATCAATGAAAAATTTCGGAAATTCTCAGAAAAAAATTTAAATTTTGAATGCTCAAGGTTCTAAAAACTGAAATAAACGAATAAAATAGTCGTTAAAAAACTCTAAAATAAAAAAAAGTGATAAATCGCCCCATTGAGAATTTCCAAGTATGGTAGTCTTTTTTTAATTTTAAATCATAAAAAAAATGAGCTTTAAAAAATGTGTTCCCAAAAAAAAATTACGGAGACCAAAAGCGAGTAAAAATTCAATTTCCATCAAAGTTGCTCCGTTGAGAATCCCCAGCTACTGTACTAAATCGATATAACTTATGAATATTGACGCCAGAAAAAGCTATTTTTTTCCAAATCTAGCAACAGAAAATACTCCAGAAATTGAGAAAAAAATCCAGAAAAAAATTAATTTTTTTCAGGAAACGGCGTTGAAAAACGACGAACAAATACAGGGTGAAGAAATATTCTCAATTAGCCTTTTCTTTAAATCGTCTGCTACTGGATTCTTCGGCTCTTTCCTATTTTATTCAATTTTTGGAGGCCACTGGTTCGTTTTAATCTTTTTAATTAATTCATAACTTGCCAAAAATTTAAAAAATCATGAATATTCAAGAAAAACGTCCTAGTAGGACAAATGCCCTAATAGGGACCGAAAAAGTGATCCCAGAGGGGTTACTAACTAAAACTCCTATAGGGACCACTTTTGCGAGCTTGAGCGGCCCCTATAGGGGTTAGTAAAGTAGCCCCTAGAGGGCAGCCAACAAGTGCTTCTAAGGTTGCCCCAACAGGGATCACTCTGGAGTTCCTAAGAAAAGAAAGGAATTTACAAGAGGACATTTTTTTAAAAATTATTGTAGAAATATATTTTTTGGTTCATGTCAACCTAGCAGTGAATTTATATCATCTTCAAGCTTCAAAACTGCAAAAGAAGGGGCGTGACCGGCCAATCAGAGGCCTAGTTCATTGGAGCGAACTTTCTGGACTTTTTGAAGTTCTGAAGTTCAAACTACACTTTTCGAAGCTAGTTTATAGTCTGGCAAAGTCCAGCTTCCTCTTAATATTCTCCTAATCGTTCCAGGACCCATTTAACTTGAAATCCGATGCTCCTTTGAATTTTATGACAAGGGGATGGTCAATAAGAACTAAAAAAAATTTTTCAGATAAATTGAATCTCATCAAGTTTTGGATGCATGTCGAAGGGTTCAAAGCCTCATTTTCCGACGGGAATCAAGCCGCTCAAGAATGTCAGTTTTTTCGAAAAATAGTCTAATCACAAGGTTTCGTCCCCCAAAGACCTGTGACTGTGAAAAAAATAAAAGATCCGAAATTTTGTATTTTTTCAATGAATAATCTGAATTATTTCCTATGAATTGATCATTTTTCAGTATCCCTACTCGACGCCAAGAACATTTACGAGAAGTACATCGATTCGGAATCGAAATCCTCGATCGCCGTCCCGAAAAGGATCAAAACATTCGTTGAAGGTAAGTTTTTACGATATTTTTTCTACTTTCTTCTTCAAAATTCCCCGAAAATCTGAATTTGCGTATCATTTTCTCACTAAAAGTGTCCAAAAATCATCAAAACGTGACATTTTCCAGAGAACATGGCCCGAAAAACCCTTGTACTTTGACTGTTTCGACCCAGCTCAGGAATTCGTTCGGCAATTATTCGAATTAAGGTTATATTTTTGAAAATATTGATTTCAATCTAACAAATCATTGATTTTCAGGTACTTTGAAGAGTTCCAAAACTCGATCTACTACAAAAAGCACGAGTTGGGTGTTCTATCCGAGGGTTGCAGTATTTTTGGACGTTTTGAAAGTACAGCCACTTCTTCAGTCGTTTATTGAGGTTATATTTTCACTGGATTACACTTTATAAACTCGCATTCTTGTCTACCTTTTAGAGTTGAAATTTTTGAAAAAAACTGAAGATTTTTTTGAGAATTTAAATTGAGAATTTAAATTGATAATAAAGAATTTACTGTTCTCTATCAAGTTGAGAACCTAGAAATCGTGATTTTTTTCTTTTCTAGACGTTTAAAAAAATTAACCTAGAGTGTTCCAAAAATCAATTTTATCCGAAAAATAAAGAATTTTGGATGTTTTTTTAAAGTACAGACACTTATTCAGCCGTCCATTCTTATTTAATTTTCACTTCTAGACGTCAAAAAATTACCATGTAAAGCTCAAAAATACAAGCAAATCGAGGGTTGTAGCATTTTGGACGTTTTGAAAGTACAGACACTTATTTTGGACTATTTTTCCCGGGACTGTAGCATTTTGGACGTTTTGAAAGCACAGCCACTTCTTATTTCGGACGATTTTATCGAGTTGTAGTATTTTGGACGTTTTGAAAATACAGTCACTTCTTATTTTGGACAATTTTTCCATGACTGAAGAATTTTGGACGTTTTGAAAGTATAGCCACTTCTTTTTTTGGAAATTTTTTCGGGATTGAGGCATTTTGGACGTTTTGAAAATACAGCCACTTCTTTTTTTTGGACGTTTTGAAAATACAGCCGTTCATTCTTACTTTATTTTTCACTTCTAGACCTATGGAAATCACCCTAAGAGCCGAAAATACTGGTTTACTTAGGACTTTAGTATTTTGGACGTTTTGAAAGTACAGCCACTTCTTTTTTTTGGACGTTTTGAAAGTACAGCCACTTCTTTTTTTTGGACGTTTTGAAAGTACAGCCACTTCTACAGCCGTTCATTATTCTTTCATTTTTCACTTTCTAGACGTCAAAAATTACCTTAAAAAGCTCAAAAATACAATAAAATTTATCTTTCTTATTTCTTCCATTCAAAAAAACCGATTTCAGTTCGTGAAAGAGAAGGAAGACCAGGACATGGTACAGTTCCTGGTCGCCTGTGACACCTACGAATCGAATGTCGAGACCTTGGAAGATAACGAAGCGTTGGACGATGCGATGGCTCTTTACGAAAAGTTTGATTTTTTGAAAAAAGTGATATTTCTGTAGAATATTTCTACTCTTTGACACTATAGAAGTCTTTTCCGTTTATGAATTTTTAAACTTAATTTTAAAAAAAGAAATCGACCCTTATAGGGGCCGAAAAAGTGGTCTCTATAGGGGTGATATCAAGGTGGTTCCTGTAGGGGTTTTGGGTCTGATCTCTTAGCCCCTAAAGCTCAAGTGGACCCGATAGGGGTCTTTCAATTTTATTTGAAAAACGCCTTTTAATTCAGTTTTTTCCCATGGAAACGCTTCATAACAATAACCGACAAGCATGCCCCTATAGGGGCCACTTCTGGAAGCTTTAGTGGCCCCTGAAGGGGTTGGTAAAGTGGTCCCTAGGGGCCTTCTAATTGCCCCTGTTTGCCCCTATAGGGGCCACTGACTGAAACCATATAAAGAGCGTTTTTGCAAGCTTTAGTGACTCTTGAAGGGGTTGGTAAAGTGGTCCCTAGAGAGACTCTCCAAGGACCCCTCAGATTCCCCCTATAGGGACCACTCTGAAGCTCCTAAGTTATTATATAGGGAAAAAATTAATAAAAGTGAAAAATGGCACCATTTTGCAACCTTCTTCCAATGAAAAACCAAAGTTCTGACCATTTTTTTCTTCCCAAAAGTCACCGCCTTTTTCAATGTTTGCCCATCTCTCTGCAAATATTGAAGCGTATATGCGTTTGAACGTGGTGAAGTCGTTCTCACAAAAACCCTTTTTTCTTCATTTTCTTATGACTTTGTCTTTGGGAATCACTTTTTGGAGGTTTAAAGGATCATAAGCGATTTCATGAGGGTCTTAAGAGGAAGAGCTATTTTTCTTTATTTTATTCTAGGACTTTAAAGGCCGATGGGCTTTTAGGTACTGCAGAGAAGTCATTAAAAGTTCTACCAGGTCTAAAAACTCGTATACTTTCAATCTCAAATCCAAACGTGCTCAAAAAAATAAGAATCTAGAGCCCCTTTTGGAGTTCATAAAGAGGTGTAAAAAGTTTCTTTTTATCCTCAAAAGGCCCTTTTCAAAGAAATATGAAAAAAGGAGCCTGTAGGGCATTTTTTTCAAAGGATTCTTTGGAAGATCTTCTGGAATTTGCCTGTGTGAATTCTGAGCCGATTCCAGAGCTTTCTGATCTTTTGAGCTATTTTTTAGGGTTCAAAGCTTGTTTTCTCTGATTTTTGGTTTTTAAAGTT